ACTCTTCTTCTTCAGGCCAATCCAATAGTCAGCAGATGGGCTAAAATCCAATATTTTTGATTAATAAACATTGTGATACAGTACTGGCTTCTCAATATTGGCTTGGGGGTGGGAGTAGTTATACTTAGATCATTGTGTGCGACCAGTTCCATGGTCAACATTCTGGTCAGCATTTCTTCTAACTAAAACTGAGTGCAATTTTTATGTCATCAACAAAAGTGGTGGCATATTGTGGTGTTGACAATTTGTTATGGTCTCCGTTTTTTTGTGACGGCGGTTGGTGGTTGGCGTCTGTTACAAACTCTAAAAACTACCAAACATTTAACAAATACTGTTTAGACTAACTCCAATTTGTTTTTAAAGTCTTCTCCAGGTTCTTAGACCCCCAAGGTAAAAAATGTCAAAAAGGTCTTTTTCCAAATTGCTTCATTTTTACCATTTTTTTCAAAATCATCTACAAATTCTCAGAATTTCACATTTGACTTTGGATTTGAGATTTGACCTTCAATGAGCGTCTCATTAGTCGATTAGTCGATTCTTTTTTGCAAACCATCTACAAGATCTCAGAAATTCAAATCGGATTATAGATTTAAGACGACCTTCACTGACTTTCTCAAGGTAAAAAGGTCATTTTCAGATTGCGTCAAATTACCATTTGTTAAAATCATTCAAGTTCTAAGAAATTCAAATAAGATTGAACTCAAAATGTTAATGTGAGCAACTAGATGGTGACATTTTGTTATATTAATGACTGGTTTCTTTGTACCACCTACCTTATCGTGTCTTTAACAAAGTCAAAGATTCCCTGTGAATGAACTGCTGCTAAACGACCACCTGTGAATCCGTTGCATGAAACTTCAGCTTCTGACCATGTGGATAACGTTACATGAAAGTGGTAGCATTTGCCATTATATTCACTTCCCAACTCGCACTGGTATTGGCCTAAGGAACACGATCAAACGTTTTAGTTAACTTTATCCTCAATTTTATTACGAAGAAATGAAAAATGGCACACTTCAGAGGCTAATGAGAAAAAATGCCTTTTATGACGTGCATGGACCTGGGGACAATTCGAGAAATACGGGCTAAAAAGCTAACCATGTGTTCCATATATCATTTTAAAGTATTCGCTATGCACATTTTAGTGACAGATACTATTTTTCCTAGAAAATGTTGATGCGATCTACCATATGTTTAAGGTTAAATATATCAACACCGCAAAATACGTTGTAAGACGTAACACTTTACCCTTGCAATGTTCGTTTAAATTGGGATTACTTTTGGAAAAATGACCAGAACGCCACTAAAATTTTACATATTGTTCATTTGACCATTTGCATTCATGACGTCATGACTGCGTAACGATCATGATCCGAATTTTCTTATAGGGACGCTTTCAAAATTGTCAAAATTGTTTTGAAGGCGAAGGGGGTGAGCGAGAAGTTAACCTCTATCTGATCTTCTCATTGAGGTCAGATTTGAAAAAAAAAAATTCCTCAATATTGTCCTTGCGAAATGTACAAAATACTATCCAATTAAAAAAATTACAAATAACATTAGAATAAGAGCTGATTTACGAGACTTGATAAAATGTAACGCATCAATTTTTACCTCAAATTCCATGCATATTAATTTTTACTAAACGCTTCAAGTAATTTCCTGACCGTTTCTCAAAAATCAAAAACATTTTAGAAATATCGTCCTCGAGATCTTGTTACAATGTGAATTTTATCAGAATTGAATAAGGATAAAGCATTTTATTTTTAGGTTCAGTAAACTTGACAAAATGTAACGCTTGTCGTTTTTGACGTTATAAGTCTATTTGCGCCATATACTGCCCATTGTTTTGTTTCGGTATTTTGACGCCATAATGTTACGCTAAATGTCCCAACTTTCATTCTACGTGTATTTGTATTCGTACCTGTGCACGAGTTTCCATTCTTCCAAGCATTATCAAAACTCATGAAATATGGAATATCTTGTAAAGGTTCTCATACAAGAACCTCTTGTAATCTGATACATGTAGCTTTTCAATAAGCTTAGACTTAATATTGTTTTGTTTAAATGACTGAAATTAAGTTTTATCTAAAGGTCTTTTGGAGAATTCGCATTTCACTTAATTTGTCGTCCTACGATTCTTTCCCTTCAATTTTATTCAATATTCAATATACTAAATTGTTAACGACATGTGTTTCTTTCAAGACTACCAAATTATATTGTTTTTGTCGCTGTTGTTATTGTTGTTGTTGTCGCAAATGATTTCAACAACTGAGTTTACATGTTATATATACCTACCAAATGACAAGTGATGGGTGATGATGGTACACAGCGTCAGGCAGATGAAAAGTGTACCTTTCACGATGACATTCTCCATTTCTGCTTATTAATGATATCAATATCAAATGAAATTCTCATTTTCAAAAATATTCCACCGTGTTTTACATCAGGGTGAGCAGTCAACAACTATTCTAATTTCTTCCGTTCTTTCTGTTTATCTATCTAGTTTCGCCGATGTCACAAAAAGTGAGATATCTGCAGACTTTAGGATGTCTCTGACGCAGGAAATGACTTCAAAGATTGATCTATATTGTCTGCTGTCCATCTTAGAGAATCGAATACTATACCAATAGCATACCAATAATTTACCATTATGAACAGACTATGAAAGGACACTGTTTACACGGCTTTTGTTCGAAAAAGTGCAAAAACATTGAATTAGGAACACATTTATTTTTTAAGTGGTAATTTCCGAGAATACTTGTATCATAAATTGAAAAGCACTAGAATCCCGATAATTCAGTCCAATAAATTCCTAGAGTATTACATAATTGACGTCATACAAACAAATGCTAGCTAATAGTACATACAGGGTGTCCAAAAACAGGACCGTAAGAAAGTTGAATAACTCGGTCAATTTTGCATAATTTGCCTTGAAATTTTAGAATTATTTCAATGTGAATTTTGTTGTGAAAGTTTGATGATAATTTGTTTATTGTGTCAAAAACTACAGTACTTTACAAAACATGCTCAAAGTGGGCACTTCTGCTCTCTATGCACAAACGAATCCCGCGAACAAAGTTGTTAATGACCCTGACCTATACACATTAATGTGGATGGTAAATATTGGGGTAGTTATTGCACTCTTAAGAATGTTAGGGGCCTGTCAGTATACACATTGGCTTTGAGAAATCCTCAAAGTTAAATATTTGGGGGATTTAGATCTGGCGAATGAGTTGCCCATATGGTTTGCATTCTGCAACTGATGAGCTGACCATCAAAGTATTGCCTAAACCATTTCAGCATATCATTTGCAGTGTTGGGGTGGTATTGGCTTGTTGAAACCACTACTGCTTAATTATCTCTTCAGATGTCCCTTCTGGTGCTTAGTGACCTCCGAAACTTGGTGAGAATTTACTGGTCCTTGTTCATGGTGATAGCACGTACCCAGTCACCATCGAACCAAAAGGGACTGAATATTCCATGTTTCCTCATTGCCACCCAGGCAGTGCATTGTTCAGATTGCAATGGATGCTGTAACACTTCATCAGGAGGATGTAAGCCCCAGTAGCAATTGTACTTGGAACAAACTTGTCCATTCAGAAAGACATGTGTGTAGGAGGATCATCAACAACTTTGTTCGCCAGATTGAATTGTGCATAGAGAGGAGAGATGCACATTTGGGCCATGTTTTGTAAGGAGCTGTAGTTTTTGACTCAATTGGTAGACTATTATCAAACTTTCACATCAAAATTCACATCAAATGAACTAAATAATTCTGAAATATGCAAAATTGACCGAGTTATTCAACTTTTTTACGGTCCTGTTTTTGGACATCCTGTAATATCTCATCCCAGCTATACATGTCTATTGACATACCAACATGATATACTAGTAAACTGCAAAAAAGATAATAATAATTTCATTTAAAATGGTAAAGATACTTAAACAGGCACAATGTGTATTTCTGAGGAAAATGATGAATTGATCTTTGAGGTTACTTACACACTCAATCAAATATGATACATACCTTAATTTTGGTTCAAACTGAAGTGGTAAAATGCCTCAGATAGAAAACAGCACTTGAAGTTAGGGATCCATAGTAGTAAATGTTCACTTTTCACAAAGTATATGTTTTTATATAACTCTTGATTTAAATTAACAATTCTTTCAGAATGAATGAATCACGCGATGCAAACAATTTCGCCATAGGTCATTGACATTGCTAAAAAACTGGAAATATACAGGGTGTCAAATAAGTCCCGTCCCCCCTGCTACAGCTAAAGCCTTAACAGACGGTACCTAGTGTGATATACCATTGGAAAGATCATCCAAAGTTATGTTAACTCACCAACTCTCAAGTATTTTGGATGAAATTTACCTATATTTTTATGATGTCTTTTATAGTTTACGTGCACTCCTTTAAGTAGCTTTTTTTGCGTCAAAATGACAAGGATATGACCTCAGAAATACGTCAAAAAGTTGATCTTTTTCGCATTCCACTTGTTACAAAATGGTTTTCAGCACTTTCCTTGCCCCTCTATTTTCTACACATCTAACCCTATCCAGAAATTGGTTAAATTCATTGCCATAAACATATTTAGTCATCTTTTGGTCAAATTGACAGAAGATTTTTTTTGTTCATTTATTGTGTACTCTGATGTGGTCTATTTGAGCTGTTTTGGTCGATCAAGTAGTTCCATCCAACAAATCCATTGGGGATAATATACCTGAGTTAGCCTGTGAATATATATTGCTGTGTAACAGGTCGTGGCGTGTCATTACCCTTGACCGGAAATAAGGACCAATCAGAGAGTGAGGAATTTAGCAGTAGTGCTTTTAAAATCTCATATATTATTATTCCGGCAAATATGCCAGTGATGTGAACAGACATTATCTACAAATCGTATAAGCAACACAATAGAATGAACTGTAGTTTATTTTAGATAATATACATAACATAACACTTGGCAAGCTATAAGACCCAGTGTGGTACAAAATACGTTTATAGTACAGTGTAAGCTTAATGGATCACTGTCCATTTACCTTACATAAGAGTGAGTGTGGGTTTTAAGGCACCCGTCCACCACCTATAGCCAGTATACTCATAGTTTATTTGTGTACAAGTATGTGTTTTTTTACTATTCCCAAATACGCATCTGAACAGCGTGATAATTCCACTCTGAATCAATAACCCAATCAGATGGCGGCGAATCATCCATATCTTGAGACAGCAATTCACAGTTGTTAATGTTTCGATTCTTGTTGAAATTGAAAGCAACACAGGTGGGAATCGTGTTACAAAGACGAGCGCAGTCAATCCTTGACCTTGATCCTGCCACACGAAGGACATGATTCCTCAACCTTTGACCTTGGTAGCGTAGGCAATCCTGATCCTGCTTATGGTTAAAGTCGATTACTGAAAAATTGAATACGATTAAATGTACATGCAGAGGTATGTAGGTTACACATGCCTGTTAGATGTACATGGCGACGTGAGCCATTTTAAAATATATTTACTAGCACCAAGAGATAATGTATAACATTGGTTTTTATTATCAAATGTAACATATTTTGAATGCTGTAGAAGGTAGACAATTTTAGAATTGTGATGTCTCAATGTTCTTGAGAATGATGTATTCTACAGTATGAAAGAGGATGTTCAATATTTTGATCTGAATGAGTAATATTAGCTATCAATTTTTATAAAATCAGATAAAAACATTACCATCATGTGACCTTTGTTTTCATTCATGAGTTATTTCACAATCAATATTTAATTTTGGCCTGTCTTGTTTAAAAATACTGTCACGTCGCAAAAAGGTGGCGCACTTGTGTTTTCAGGGTATCGTATGAATGTAACTTTAATTCTTCGGAATATTAGTGAATATTCTCATTAAAGCTATATATAATTTTAAAGCTGCTTTAATGAAGTTTTCAAATCAAGTACGCTCCTTTCACAATTCTTACGCGTTCCTTTTTAGAAAAGATTCTTTTACCCAAAAATCTGGTAAATAAAATCGTCGACACGTTACATTTTGGATAATTTTTCGTCTTTAAACGCTCATAACCTAAACAACATTTGACTATTATACTTTATTTTCGTCTTGACAAAGATATATGGAAGTGTTATTTCAAAGAATTAAATCTAGTAAGCATCCCATATTGTGACGTCATATAGTTTGAAAAATAGAATCTGTCGACAGCGACCTTTTTTGCTCATTTTTTTGTTACCTTCAGCTTTTCAGGTGTACGTTAAACAAAAAATACGACACCGATTTTAAATAAATCATACATAATTATTTTGCTCATAAACTCTAGTTTATCAATAAATAGTTGATTTTGTTCGCAAACGTATGTGTTTTCTGTTGTATGTGGAAAAGTGGAGGACGAAAGGTTTTCAAAATTCATTTAAATAGGGCAAAAGGCCATTCACCTATTTTCAATCATAGCAGCACATATATTTATTTCACTTAAAATCAATATTCTGGGTTTTTAACAACGCCGTCCTCCCATTATGAGGACGTAAATAAATAGTCAAGGACGCAGAAAAAAATTGTTGGTGCGTTCTTTGGACGCATTACTCACCATAGGTTGCAAACAAATGTTATTTTATATGAAAAACGTCCCTAATTGGCGAAAACATATCAGAAATAAAATTGTCGAATGAAAAAAATAGAAAGTAAATTATTTTAGGTCAAACGGAATTTTCTCCAAGTTTAACCCAATAAATCAAGCTTATACAACTTAAACTTAAAAAATATAGTATAACTTACCTTAATAATATTTATTTTGCTGAAACAATATGATAAAACCGGTACATTTTGGTCAAAATGTGGCCGGCTTTGCAGAAAGATTTCAATGTGAGAAGTGATATAAACACTGCCATCTTTTGGATTTTATAGTTATTTTTTTTGCTTAGAGAAATCAGTCTACACACGTGCCATCTATATTCAGATATACAGCTGTGATTACATTGAATTGCATTGACTGGGGTTTATGATTCGTGTTTTATGATGCCCCTTACCCATTGATAATATGTATACGATATCAGAATTATTCGTCTTGAATATTTTGAGATATAGAGGCAATGTGGAGGACGAAAGGATTTCCAAATGTGTACATTTTTCTCAAAAAACGTCACATTCTGTCGTGTTAAAAAGCGAAAATGTGTAACAATACGTGCGCGAACTATTTTCGATGTATCACTTACTTTGGCACTGTGCACCATCTCCAGTGTAGCCAAAATTACAAGTGCACGAAAATGATGCCGGGATGTTGCTACAAACAGCGTTTATGTCGCAGTTATGTGTGTTCAGAGTACATTCATCGTCATCTGTGCAAGATACACCGTCGCCAGAGTATCCTGGTATGCAATTACACGAGAATGATCCTGGGATGTTACTACAAACAGCGTTAATGTCGCAGTTATGAGTGTTCAAGATACATTCATTGTCATCAGTACAAGTTACACCATCTCCGGAGTATCCTGGATTGCAATTACACGAAAATGATCCTGGAAGATTACTGCAAACAGCGTTAATGTCGCAGTTATGAGTGTTCAAGATACATTCATTGTCATCAGTACAAGTTACACCATCTCCGGAGTATCCTGGATTGCAATTACACGAAAATGATCCTGGAAGATTACTGCAAACAGCGTTAATGTCGCAGTTATGAGTGTTCAAGATACATTCATCGCCATCTGTACAAGTTACACCATCCCCGGAGTATCCTGGATTGCAATTACAGTCAAAACTTCCGTCTGTATTTGCGCAAATTGCATCTTGGTGGCAATTATGCGATCCTTGTGCACATTCATCGATGTCAACTAAAAAACAGATTGGACATTATAATTATTATAGCAATCTTGTATCCTTATTTGTTTGATACTGGATCTCACAGTTGACATTTCATGTTTCATTTCATTGCATTTGTTCAACCAAATCTTACCCAATTGAGATTCACAAAGGAACCCATGTGTGTTGCTACATGAACCAGTTTTCCAAAGACCTAGATTTGATACATCAGCAAGCACACAACTTTGAGACATTAATAAGTTTGACGACGGGACAGTTTTCCATTTCAGCCAGTCTGCGAAAGATGCCCTACCATTCCAGAAATACAAGCCCCGCTTTAAGCCGTACCAATGCCAAGACGACCTGTATAAAACGAACTATGCAATACTAACAAATATGATACGATTAAAGTCCCATGCAAAATTTGAAAACATCTTTTATTCTCTTAATTTTTACAATTGTTTTGAACATTTCCGGAAACAATGTTCAATTATACAAATTGTTCTAGGAGTTGTATTTCAAATATTTCAATTTCAGCAAAATTAACACAAACATTAGAATTTTTAGATAGTTAATTGCTCCAGCTGAATCAGAACAAATTTACGTTCTTCGTGAATTGCTAACTTTTCATTACAAACAAGGTACGAGGCAAAGGTGTCTACTAGGAGTCTAATTGTCTCAAACAATTCACGAGGCCTTAAACATATACACATGGGCAGTTTGAGCACTTACTGCCATGATGCCACATTGGTATTTTCGCCATCTGATGTTATAGTAGCCAAATGGGCACCTTGACTAGCACAAGCAATTCTTGCATTCTCCCATGTTGCGTTTGCAGTTCCGCTGGATGAGTAACAGCTTGATTGATAGCTGTGCCAATTTGTAGGACATTGCCCTCCGCTATCTGTGATTATTAACAATATTCAGTATCAGTTGCTCATTTTAGAAACATCATAAATCATTTTAATTAATAATGGCTGGAGGGCTCTTCATACTTAAGATTATTGTATGACATGTTGGGGCTTGTTTATTTACGGCCAGCAGTTCCATGGTCAACATTCCGATCAATGTTTCCCCTAAAACTAATTGTAATTTTTTCTTAGTACCACCTACCTTATCGTGTCTTTAACAAAGTCAAATATTCCTTGAGAATGAACTGCTGCTAAACGACCACCTGTGAATCCGTTGCATGCAACGTTTTAGCTTATTTCATCCTCAATTTTATTACGAAGAGATGAAAATGGCATTCTATAGACTGAGGCTAATGAGAAAAATGCCTTTGTATTCGTACCTGTGCACGAGTGTCCATTCTTGGTGACATTTTGTTATATTAATGACCCGTTTCTTTGTACCACTTACCTTATCGTGTCTTTAACAAAGTCAAATATTCCTTGAGAATGAACTGCTGCTAAACGACCACCTGTGAATCCGTTGCATGAAACTTCAGCATCTGACCATGTGGATAACGTTGCATCAAAGTGGTAGCATTTGCCATTATATTCACTCCCCACCTCACACTGGTATTGGCCTAAGGAAAATGATCAAACGTTCTGTTACTTTAATTATATACTATTTATCTGTCCGAAGATTTCCAACAAATTCATTCATTTAGATGTACATGTATCTCTTGCATTTTTGCTCATTTCAGCTAAAACTGTCCTTAAATACGAAGTATTTATAAAGTTACTGGATATATACCCATGCGGGGTCGGTCAATTGATTATGAGCTTAACTTTAATTTCATCTTTAACGTGTTGAAAAATGAAATATGTTGCAAAGACGGTTATTATTACTCTCTTTATGCTTACCTTTGTATTAGAAAGTAAAAGGAAGTCAAAACAACCTTAAAAGGATGTTTATTTTTTCCATTATAATTACATCATAATCATTAAATTAATAACATAATTTTGAAGAAAATAAAAATAATTTCTGAAATATTCGAAGATGTAATTTTTATACCTACCAAATGACAAATGACGGGTTATTATATAACAGAATGTCAAGTATATGCAAAGTATTCCATTTACAACTGTTTTCTCCATTTCTATGTTGTTTCAGATTTTCACAAAACTAATTATCAAAGAAAATACACCAATAAGTCTTACACCGGCGTGAGCAATTGACAATTATTTTATCTGTTTATCCATTCGGGTTCGTTGCTGTCTCAAAAAGTGAAACACCTGCTGAAAATGTTTTTGATGCAGGAAATGACTTAAAAGGTGTATTGTCTGTTCTCCATCTTAGAGAATCGAAAATAAAGTACTTTAACAAAGTCATTAAGAACGGACAATGTATGTGTACTCTGTTTATATGGCTTTTGTTTAAATACGTGTGAAGTACATTGACCACATAGTATTGAATTATAAACAAATTTACTTTTTGAGTGGTCATTTCCGAAAAGCAATTTCCAGAACCAATACCTGCATCAAGAAATGAAAAAGAATAGAAGAATACCAATTAATCTACTTCAATAAACACTTATAGTGTATTTCATAATTTACGTCATCCTGTTGGATGCTATATTCCAAGGTTGCTGCTTAATAGTACATAACACCCCATTTCAACATGTTTGCAACCCTAACCCAATTCAGTATTTGAAATTATGCATGGCAATTACCAAAGTTTGTCATTTGAATTTTCGATATACTTTCTAAATACTATTTTATTTTTTCTTGACTTTATCTGGACAAGAATGTCTGTTAGATATAATTTTTCAATCCCTCAATTTCAGGAAGTTGCAGATTGATGACGAATTTCAAAATTGCTATCCTATTGACTTTATTAGGACATAAATGGCCCTTAGACATAATACAATACACGGGTCGATCAAACTTGCTTGAAACTGTATGTGTTTCATATTTTATTAATTGGTAGTGGCACAGTGTCAATATACATTTTCAATGATTAATCTAGGTGGAGCGGCGTGATTTTTAAAAAATAAGCTACGGTTCTGAAAATTTCTAAACACTCAGTAGTGTCATCTGTCAACAGACTGTAGTTTAAACCTTCTTTAGTAGTTTCTTATGCTCATATTCAACTTCCTTCAAAATATCCCCCTCAGCTGCAATGCACCTCCTACACGTGTCCATCCTATCCAAAAACAGATGTTTAAGGCCTCCTTGATGGAGGTTGTAAACGCTGTCGTCAAATTTCCAGAACTGCAGCTTAACAGAGTGTTATAAATCATGCAATCATTGACAATATGTATTGTTACTATGTGCCACTACCAATAAACCAATTTATATTAAACTCATAGTTTCAAGCAAACTAACTGCACTGGCTCGTACTAAAGTTTGAGCATCCAACTCCTCTAAGACTTATTCTAAGACTTATAAAATCTAGAACCAACGGTAAGAAACGTTTTCATTGTCCCTTGTACTTTAACATACACTAAAATACTAGTCTTGTCAAACCTTTTGAGGGGAGAGTATCTCAAATAGATCACTGTTAATTTAAGCTTTTGTTTTAAAACTACGAGGCACTGACATGCCCACTACGATGATAGCCCATGGTGTGAAAGGATGAGTCAGGGAATGAGTCCGAATATCGACCTAGAAAATATCGAAAATTGTAATGTCTGAAAAACCAACTCAATCACACACATGATCAAACCCCAACATATTATCCTTTTTCTGAGAGCCCCCAAAAACAATTTGTATTACGATTCATGAAAAAATATTGATATCAAAGACAATGCATATCAATATACCAGAATTGAAAAAGCTATCAAATGTAAATACTAAATGAATGATTTATATGAGTTATATTAAATGGTGACTCTATTCCATTTACTTGTTGTCACAAACATCTTGGAATTATTTTAGACCAGTCTTTGAATTTTGAGGAACACATTAATAATATTATTGTTAAATGTAACAGGACGTTGAACCTACTTATGGCACTGAAACATAAGTTAAGATCAAAACATCTAGAGAAGATTTATATGGCATTCATACTTCCTCAGTTAGAATATGGTAATATCATATTTCATTGTGCAAATTTAAATTTACTTTCTAAATTGGAAATAATCCAGTATTGGTCAGCATTAATTGTGAGTGGATGTATCCAAGGGACAAGTGCAATCAAAGTCACTTCATGTTTAGGGTGGAGGTCCCTAGGGGCCAGGAGGGAAGGAAAGAAACCACTGTTTATTTATGATGTCATTACTAATAACAATGTCACACAGATTAGAAATGATTTTTGAATACTACTTGGAGCACTATCACTACTCAATTTTTCTCCGAAGGTGCAAAAACAAAAAAAGAGACTAAAATATGAACGAAGATATGCTCATTAATTTCTTTAAATCATGTTTTCTCCTAAACCAATCAACACATCTCTCTATAATTTTAAGATACACTTAGCCACTGTACTAGTGACATAGTGTAGAAATCAGTACTATAGCAAATATTTGATTGATGTTATAGAATGATAATGTGATCATCGTTACCCCTCCCATAAAATATTACTCTAGGGAATAAAAATGCTCTAAATTCTTTGTCCACAAAATAAAAAGAAACAAACTACATGAATTGATGCAGAATTACATCACCTTTCAGAAAAATTATAGCGAACAAGTGGCCCTCCGACTTCCCAAAACCCTTGTCATATTCTCACCAAATAGAGCAGCGATTTGACCTTATATTTACAATTTTGTCAAGTATTGTTTTCATTATAGCCGTTCAATATAGTTCCAGATCTTAGGCTGAGTTATCCCTGTCCTTACCAAGGGTCAACAATTCACTAAACCTCATTTTTCCAATTTGGAGTACATAATGCTATTTATAATATTTTTTTAACATATTATTTATTTCCTTCATAATCAAAAAATACACAAAATATCTACTACCAATCGCCATAGGCATTCTAGGTAGTTTAAATTACAATAGAGGATTAATTACAGTAACCATAGATGGTTTATTGGTAATGTGAGAGATTGGGAGGGAGGGGGGGGGGGGTTGTCACAAGATACAAATGAGAATAACATTAATTAATTTGATGGAAACTTATAACAGGCCTGTACAAATTGCATCACTATATCTATCAGGATTTTCTGAGAATCAATAGTGAGTTCAATTTCGTAAATTAAGTATTTGACCTTTACGTATATGAGATGAATTTTAAATATATGTTTGGGGGTTCCTAAGTTGAGATTATTTTTGTCAAAAAACACAGAATTCACGAATGTTCAAGAAAAATTATTATCATTATCTTCAAAAATGTGATGATAACCAGCAGTAATGTCAAAGGAGAAATATTCATCAGAAAATGTGATGATAGCCAGCGCCGGTAAGGTTGAGGAAAAATGTAAGGGATTCAATGACACATGACTCTTATAGATTATTAGACATGCCCTTGGAATATATAAACATTCCGATACCTCTGTAATATTTAATTAGATATAAATCTTACCTATTTGTTATTGTCTTATGTCTTGTAAAACATAACAATAAATTGTTGGTTGACCCCTTGCGATGATAGGAATAAATTCTTGTAACAAAATGTTGTACATAGTAAAGCCTGATATTAACTCGGCAATCATGAATTACCCAAATCTTTCGCCTAATTTTGTTGAATCTGCTCCACTCGTATTTGAAAAAGCTACAAAGCATGCAAATGTAATTTCACTAATTAATTCGAATGCAAATGTTTATGTTTTTGACCCCTTGTGATGATAGACATATTTCGACCTGAAAGCTGCAAGTTTTTTCAGCATTTTCAAAAAACAAGACATATTCAACTCTTTAAATATTGGTTCAAATGTTGCTGCGCTAAAATGTGCTACGGATTCTTCATATTCCGGAGTACCATATAGTAATATGACTTAAATACCTGTCGCCGAAATGGTAAATCGATTCCCATAAGGTTTACGGTAAATTAGCCATCTTTGTAACTAGTGAACCTCCGAAAGGGCACCTCCGAAAGTAGGTCAGATCCTCAAAAGTGACTCTCAGTTTCAAAATGGTATATAGCAACATTTGAACAACAGATTTTGTACCTCCCGTTTACTCAGCTAGAAAGTGCTCTTCCTGCTTCCTCATGTAGTTATCGTATTTTTTTGCAGTCACACACATATCCCCAACATTGCCGGGAACCAATTAGGTAGGGGGGGGGGGCATATTCGAAGTCTGAAAACACTTTTAGGTCAGAAGGGCCTAAATTTTAAAGATTTAAGGCCCATTTTTCTGATAATTTGGCTTAAAATTATAGAATAGGGCCTTTCAAGGCCCACCTTTAGAAAAGTTTTCGGCCCACATTTTTTGAGCCCATTTTTTCAGGGCCCACACCCCAGGTCCACCATAATTATATTCATTGGATAATTTCCTTAACTTTATTCTGATTCATTAAAGATGTCAGTAGATAAAACCAAGTTTAACATTGCAAAAACTTGATTATATTGGAAATATTGAAATACCATGTCAGCGTAACCTGAAACATACATTGATATTATTTATAATTACTGCAAAAAACGTTAAATGATAATTAATTAATATCATAAAAAACCATGTTTAGTGAACTCCTCGATATACTCCTATCTTTTACCATAAACATTATGCATTCAAATCACTATTATACTAATTACCATAGCAACTGTTCATAAAGTCGTGTGAAACATTTGTTTACACGAGACAAGCAAAGGATAGTTAGGTCATAGTAAATACTAGTGGTACAAATCATTTCCACAGGTGATCCACTCGATTACGCTGGTTACCAAAACGACCCGTTTTGGTAACAAAATGTCGGAACGTCGAATGCACGATTTTTCTTTTTTCCTGATTACACGCGTTGTAGGCAGAATCCCCACGATGTTTTTTTCTGACAACGTGCATCAGTATCATATGTTTTAGAAAATGTACATGTTTGCGAAAAAATAGCTCAGAAGACAACAGAATCGTCGATTTACTTCCTCACTTAAGTTACATAAACGGTTTTTCGAAAAACAGTGAAGATCTGCACTTTTAACCCAAACCGTTTATGTAACTTAAGTGAGGAAGTAAATCGACGATTCTGTTGTCTTCTGAACTATTTGTTCGCAAATATGTACAATTTCTTAAACATATGATACTGATACACGTTTGTGTTAAAAAACGACGTGGGAATTCTGCCTACAACGTATAAAATAAGGAAACGAGAAAAATCCTACCTTCGATGTTCCGACATTTTGTTACCAAAACGAACCGTTTTGGTAACCAGCGTAATCGAGTGGATCACCAGTGATTTCAGTATTTTGTCTGTGTTATTTTCCAGATCTGAGACTCGAATATACCATGTATATCCAATCCTTAAAGTTACATCGAAGTACACGGTTAATCAGAGAAGATAAAACTAACATTTATTCGAAGGTAAATATATACAATATAGGGGGTAGAATGTATGATTTATTGTTTAATAAAAGCATAAACTAATAATCATTCAAAAACATATGATTAAATTAAAAACATACATTAAAATGACACATACATTTCGAAAATATACATACTTTCAAATGGAGACTTCTACTCGTGCTAGACTAAAAACATTAATTCGTCAGATTACAATGCGTGGTTTAATATTGCACATCCGCAACCAATAAATTCCCACTCCAAAACTGCGTGATTTGACTTTTAAGGAAATGCTAAAATTAACTTCACCATGGAAATCGTGATGTGTTGAAAAGTCAGCAGAACCTTGTTCTGAAAATCTGGAATAGGTAATGTGTCATGGTGACCCAGATGCGAAACATTACTGAGCTATATGAAAACTTTATTTTAAAACTTCATGGAAGTAAACAAAACGTGATTGCATCCTTAAAGTAATTAATCATATTTGAGGACGTGCATCATCATCAGGGATAACGAATGCAATCTATGCAATATTACTCTATATACGATAAACTAGATATAAGTGAATCAAAAGATAAATTAGAACGGGGATTCAACTGCTAAATCAGTCTTTATCGCTCCCTAGCCACTCTCAGAACATGAAACTAATTTTTTTGAGTCTAGATTGGAGCACATGAGGTAAAGTATCGGTCTGCCGTTGCCTGTTATGGAGTCATAAATGAAATATAGCATCTTTCTTATTGAATTTCATTGCATGGCAAGTTAAATATCATAAAAGTCCTTAATTTAATGTTCTCATGCAATACCTTAATGTATGTAAATATATTTTGATTGGGTTTGTATTTGATTATTAATTGTCAGGTATCACCTTATCTTTTTCCTAAATGGGAATAATCATCCCCAAGTTCCGGGGGACGTTTTCTATTACCCAGGGCCAACGCGTCATAATCGTCTCCATTATCATCTACATATGTGGGATCAACATCTATTGGACATGAGTAATATTCCTGGGAATGATTCGTCTGATCTGCTTCGTTATGTTGCAACAGTGGTGTTTTTCCATCGTTTAAAGCAACACGCTTGTTGGTATCTTGTATTGCACTGTTTGGGTCTTTTGTTAAAGCACGTGGACCTTTGTTTGGTTTTGCGTACAATGCCGCAATTTCACTCGAATCCTGGTGTTGTTTTTTAAATGGCTTAGAGTAAAGCTGATCAATGGAGATATTTGGATTATTGTTGTCTATGTCAACCTCTTCATATCCAGCTTTTGATTTGTCCATGGCTATAATATCAGAACTGTTGCTATGTGGTGGCTTGTTCAAGGATTCACCACTCTGGCCTGATGTATCTTGTTGATCAATATCAACATCTTCATATGCTAAAGCCGAAGTCATATCGTCTTTGGTATTTGATCGGACTGGTTCGTTTTGCTGGGTATTCATGTCAAGATCAACTTCTTCATATGCTGATACCAGTCCCTTTGGATGCACACATAGAACTGAATCAATGTTGTGCTCCTGTGGTCCAGTTGTCTCGTCATGATTTGTATTCTCGCTGACGCAAAAGTTGATGCCATTCGAGTTTTTTTGCGAAGAGGATTCATGTTCGAGTTGTGTTGCGTTGTCGGAAAGATGAACGTAAGAATCGTCCTTACCACACTCCTTGTATACATTCATACCGATGTTCCTTTTGAGAGCTCTTCTTCTGAAAAGACGAATACAATTTACGCTTGTACAGGGTGGTCAAAAAACTGGAAACCCTTACACCATTTTCTTAATATCTTTGTCATTCTAAGAAATGACTTTACACATTTGTACATCATTCAATTTCCTACCTGACTGCCTTATTCCATGACCATCAGATCGATAGTCACAGTGTTACAGCACTTTAAAGAACATTCCTGGTGGCCACTATTGCGCTGTAGAGAAACCTGCACATGTCGTCCAAACTGTCCCTACTTATGGGGATATGGCAGAGATAGAGTGTATAAGAATGACATCAGGACAATTGCAAACCTCTAAAGTGAGATCATCTGTATCATTCAGGCCATACCTGCTGAGGAATGCATTTGAGCCATTGACAAATGTGCAGATTTACCTACTGCACGATGATGGCCAAACCTGCAGCATGTTGTTCAAAGTGCTGTAAAATTGTGACTGTCAGTCTGATGGTCATGAAATATGGTAGGGTGGTAGGGAATTGAATGATTTACAAATGTGTGAAACATCATGGAGTAATAAATGACAAAGATTATGAGGAAAATGCAGGGTTTCCGTTTTTTGACCACCCTGTATGACGTGGACAGACCTGGGGACAATTCGGGAAATGCGTGGTAATCTCAGCTTTAAGCGTTAATCTCTGCCTGAAAAGCTAACTATGTGTTTTATATATCATTTTGTAGTATTTTTTATTTGCATTTCAGTGAAATTATTTTTCCTTGAAAAGATGGGATCTACCATATTTTAAAGTTAAATATACCCAGATATCGTCATATACGCTGTAAGACGTAACACTTTAAGCTTACGAGGCTCGTTGAAATCGGGATAACTTTTGAAATAATGACCAGAATCCCACTAAGATTTCACATTTCATTCAATGGAACATGTGCATTTATGACTTCACAATTGCGTAACGGTTTTGACCTTAAATTGTCTTAAGGTTTTTCTAATTTAGGTCTAATTTGAAAAAAAATAACTGCACAATATTGTCACGGCGAAATTTACAAAACAATAACCAGTTTGTTTATTTCGCAAATACTACTAAAATAAGAGCTGATTTTCGAGACTTGAAAAATGTGACGCATCGATTTTTACCACAAGTTCCATACATATCAATTCAATTTCCTGACCGTTTTTCGAAATTCAAAAACATTTTAGAAATACTGTCCTCGAGATTTTGCTACTCTGTGAATTTTATCATGATTAAATAAGGATAAAGTATTTTCTTGAAACTTGAAAAAATGTGACGCTCGTCGATTTTGACGTTGTAAGGCTGTTTGCGCCCTATACTGCTGCTCATTGTTTTGGTATTTTGACGCCATAATGTTACGCTTATTGTCCCCAGTTTCGTGCGACGTGTAATAACCTACGCATCGGATGTATTCAATTATTCCAAAAACGTTTTCTAGAATCGGGATTAGATAAAAATCGATACTAATAACAAGGTTTCAGTTGTTACTTTTACAGTGGAAAAACAATTAAAAAACATACCTTACATATAGAACAACACAAATAATGGTTGTCACAGCTACGATTCCCACTATGCATGCAGCTATAACAGTTGCTATTATGACTACATTGTCGATACGATCACCAACTGCTATTTGAATGGTTGTATTTAGATGCGAACCTGCTGGATAAAAATATAATATCAAAGTAATTGGTACTAAATATATTATGATTTTAACATGTTATTTGGAGATTTCTGACCACTAAAAAAATCATTCGAATTTATTTTTGTGTGCATAGGGTAACCACCTCATTTTACCGATTCAAGATATTTATTTGGTTATTTCATTGACCTTCAAATCTGTTTGAGTCAATACATGGAACTGGATAAAATATTTTTAATCATTATTCTTAGGGGGGGATGCAATTCAAGACGCCTTTTCTGGACAAAAATCACTTTTTACGGAGAAGGAAGGTGAAGAAGATATAGCCCATATCTCTAGGAAATTTGACCAATCCATAAAATACGTGCACTCTCCTCCATAAGTTTGACAACCTTAGCTCCCCATTGGAATACATGTTAAAGCCTCTTTACGTTTGAATTTTTATTTACTTAACCTGCGATGAAAATATTTATGATATTAATAGAAACGTAACTTGACTATATTTCCAATACCTCCAAATTTTCTCATCTTTTTTCCTCAATTAATAGGTCAAAAATTGATGATAAATTTTATGAATTTTTTGAAAATTGACATTCTCATGTTAACAAATGGGAAATGGTAGGGTTGCCGCAAGTCATTTGACAAAATATCCAACCATCCGAGTCCTTGCAAAAAATACAAATTAGGTAGGCAATTGAATTTGCTAACTTTATTTAACGAAAAATTGAAACGTTTTTTCAGGGTCTATAGATATAGGGATCAAAATTGTCTTTTAAAAAACTCTTCCATTGAAATAACACAGAAGGCGAAAAATGAATTTTTGAATTGTAAATAAAGTCAAGTTCCGTTGTCTATTAATGTTATACGTATTATATCGCAGGGTAAGTAAATAAAAATTCAATCGTAAAGAGGCTTTAACACGTAGTTCAATGGGGGAGTAAAGGTTGCCAAACATATGGACGGGAGTGTACATTATGTTGGTGACTTCTTGGCTCTTTTAAAGTGTTAGACAAAAGATAAAACTGAGAAGATAAAAGAACAGTTTTTCTCTTTTTTCTTTGGGGGGGGGGGTGCTATATGATGATGTCTGGGGACTTTAGTGTCTGAGGTAATAAATAGATTAAAGGTGTTTTTCAATTGTCGGGGGGGGGTGAGGTCTGATTCTGCCTAAAATTGATTGCTCTTTTACATGGATTGAACAAGATCGAATACCTTGAATTTTAAGCGTAAAATACAAATCCTATCGTGATTAATACCATATGTGACAGCTAATTTTCGAAAAAATTGACTAATGTCACAAATGCATCTTTAAAAGTACATACTGGCCCGCCTACATAGATTTAATTTGTAAATACACACGTTTGCATGTACCTGTAGTTGTAACTTGTGTTTTTTCTGATGTTGATGTTCTATATCCTTCTGTTGTGAACGTTATTGCGTTAGTTACAGGTGCTTCTGTAGTCTTTATATCGGGTGGAATGCATCCATAGCAAATTCTTTGGAAATTGATGTATTCATTTCGCTTATCAATAGCACATGTTTCTTTGCGAACGTAGTGAATTTGCAAGAAACATCTTTTCTTTCTGTTACATCTTCGGTAATCATCACTTATCTGTTTAAGGTTATAACATTGATTGTTTAGATCGCAATTGTTTTGATCGCAAGAATCACATTTCTTATATAGATTAGAAACTTCAGTTATATTTATCAAATAGTCATCTCGACAGTCGTTTAAGGCAATCTCTTCTTCAAAACACCCTTCCTTACAAATATCTTCTGCAAAAACAAAAAATCATGGTATTTCAATTAAATGCCCTTACAGAATTGAATTTTTATTTGATAAAAGTAATAGCAATATTCGACCAATTGGTTTTCTGATTTGTTTGTTTATATCCAAATCAGCTACATCTTACTACATGATATGACTGTGATAAACTATCAATTAAATTTCATTCTACTGTTCTAGTTTATGTTCTCATTCCACGTATGATCTTGGCTATCTCAGATTCACCTTCTGATAATGGGTTAAAAAAGAAACAATTGGAATACTTTTGAAAAATTTGCTTCATATATTTTAGATTCTCTAATATTGTTTGCTGCCATTGAAACTTTAAAGTAAAAGAATACTATACTTCTATGTTGTCCCTCTGCCGTGTCTCCCCAAAGTAAGAGTACTGACAAGATAATCCACATGGTTTATGCCTACATACAACAACTGAATCCTATCTTATCCATATAAAGCACTAACATCACCAAACGATACTAAAGAGAACTCTGATCAAGGATTTATCGTATACGAGATGAATCACATTTTATAAAGAGGAAGTGAACACATACAGAGATCGAGTGACTCAGATTCGTATGTTTTTAGCTTATTGTATTCACTATACTGCAATATGCCAACAAAGAACATGTCAAGCTGCACTGCTTTATATTTGTTCATTTTTTATTTTCGTTTTACATTTTTTGGTGGATTTAAGTTCAAGGACAGACTGGTAAACCATCTATTGATAGTCCTTGCTCTTTGTTTATAAGTACACGTTCTTTTCACATAACTGACGTTAAATCAAAAATACGAAGTTATAAAAATGTTTGTCAAAATTAACGAAGTATAAATATTGCAAGTAAGAAAACAATGTAAGTAAACACAGGTCGCAATGACATGGTGCGTAAGATAATTCATATGGTCACCAGGATCTCTACGATTTACATTGATAAGTTTTACTCCAGTGTTAAGTTATACATAGTATAGGTTCGACTTGTTATCACAAGGAAAGTTTTTTTATTAAAGACCAGATAAGGTATAGGAGTAAGCTGCGTGCCTTTCAGTAACGGGATATTCTTTTTATTTCTGCATTGTCTTAAACGAGTACACTGTTATCTTGCCTTTAATGAAAAATGAACTTATCGATAACATTGGCAAATCCCATTGAATTAGAGTGTATAGAGAGTTTCCCTGTCTCTCAAAACAAAGATCAAGAATATAAAACCTTAATTCATTTTTACACTCGGCATAGCTTAATGTTTTTGTGCTATCTTTATATTGAATATACAATTTATTGAATTTATTAAATATTGCTCTACCCAAAGAGTTGAAGGTCAACGATATGTAAGAACCTTTCCCAAACGAAACTTAGCAAGAAAATATTAATATCTGCGTGACAGCACCCGAGTAATGATGAACCACCAATAACCTCACTAAGCCCCTATTAATTTGAAAAGTATGGTCTATCCTACCAGTATATAATAAAAGCAACACCCGCCCCCGCCCAAATATTTAAAAATAATCACCACGATCTAAAACCAAAATCAGAACTGACATTTCATTCATACTGATGTCATCACAATACGTTGCAGAAAAAATGAAATTAGATAAAATATCGAAAATACTAAAATAGTAGGTTAAACAAGTTAAAAGATGCATTCAGTTTCATATTGATGTGGGACAGGGTGGTGGTTACAGCGTGTCTACTTTATTTACCTTCATGAACACCTCAATTAACCGAGAGGCGTGGGAGAGTAAAGGTTCATTCACATTTGCTCTAAGGCGGTCGTATGGGGGCCGTAGCTTCACACATTTCCATCGTACTGCTTCCTAATATATATTATGCTGCATATACTCTCAATTTTGGTAAGCTATGGCTGCCGTACAGTTGCCATAGTTCATATTTGACTGAGGCATATGGCCTTATGTCTTTGTAAGCTAGTTTAGGATGTTATAATTTGCACTTGCGTTCCTCCTTATGTCTATCATTATGTCATTTATCAATAATAGATCAATATCAAAATGGAAGCATCTTTCTTATGTACTAGTACAGTATACAGTACAGTATATAGTGATGGCTTGCCTCCGATTTGTTAATATTCAGCATTTGTGGATATTCAAACCAGTTTAGATTTGAAGTACACAATCAAGTTGCGATCACTCTAGAAAATGAACATGTTTGAATAAACATGCTGAAAGAAGCACACTCAAACAGTGATACCAGCCCCATTTTTAGAATGAATAAATCAATCATTTTAAGTGCAAATAGCGGCTACCGGCTACCGGATTAACCTATTGATTTGCATAAATTTATCCGACAGTTTGAAGTTGCAATATCGAACAACCTGTTTGTCGACTAACAGGGATCGCGTGACTTTTCATGCCATTGTCACATGATCAAACAAACTTAAAATGTGTTTTGCGCCATGTTTTGCGCATGCGCCATGTGTACTTCCGCTATTTAGAATTCCGAACACATCGATAGAGCGTGCTGTTTACAACAGACAATTCACCACGTGGCACAATTAGTTGTACACGAGGAGTGGAATGCCCTCCCACAAATTTGCGTTCATCGGTGAAACAGTGGTATGCTCGAGCCAGGCTCTGTGTGCGGGCAAGGGTAGTCATTTTAAGCACAAATTGAAGTATTACTTACTTGTTTAAAACAGCAGATAATACCACAAAAATCAATTGTATAAAATTACAGTGAGATACCAGTGATGGTAAAAAAGTTATTAAGATTCAGAAAGCGTCCCATCTTTAGTGGGCCATCCTTATATCGTATTTTCTAGAATACACTAATCGGCACTCTTACTTTAATTAAAAGGAGCCTATTTCAAAATAGGTATTACTTAAATGACAAGTGTGAGAGTTAACATACTAATACAATAACACATGTCTAACATTCAGTTCCCGATACCGTCCACGTTTACGTAACGCAGGCTTGGATCAATGATGGGACATCTTTAAATCGACTTCGACAGATTGAGTTGTTATTTATTATACTTTTATCTGTTTATTGTCCATCTTGCTTCGCACTCAAGACTTGTTCCTGTTCAACATTGTTATCACGCTTTCAATGACTGCTCGTCTTCATTAATTGACTCATAATGACCTTCTGTTGGTACCACATTGTCGTTTTCTTTTTGTATATGCCTCGAAATGGAACTTATAATCGGAACAGCTGGAAATTCATGTTGTTCATGTCGTGTCTCGGGTTTAACGCTTAGTCCTGGTTCACTGTCTCGGTCTATTTTTGTTGAATCGTGACAATCGCTTTTAAATTGGTCACTTTGTTGTTTGCTTTCATCCGATGATTTTCTGTAATATGAAAACATTCATAATGTGGACACCAAAAATATATTCGCGTACAATTATCAGAAATGTCAGTCTGAATTTCATTTTCTCAGATGTTTTACAAACAAAAACAGGAAGTTATATGTCAAAAAATATTTACTATACCTGTAGATTCTGATGACACATGCAATGAAAATGCAGAGAATTATGATGATCAGGATATTGAGGACAAATGATGCAACCACCAGGACGACCAGCGCTGGAATGTTACATGCTAAACTTGTATATAGGCACTCTACTATACCTAACCCCTAGAAATGCATAAGATACTCTGTTTGTCTAATTGCATTGTTAAGTATATTTTTGAAAGTACCTTATTAACATCTAACTTTCAACCGATAAAACCATTAATAAGGAACAGACAAATGAAAACAAATAACATAATTGTTACTAATAAGCCAAATGGGTTGCTCATGAACACCAAATGCAAGGTATAGTAGAGTGATGGGGTATATTTGCAGTTATATATTAAGGAAGACATGCTATCATAAATGGATCATATATAATACTGTCAAAATAGAATCGCAAGTGAGACATCTTTGATTGGTGTGAGTTTCAAATTGTTCACCAGTGAATCCAATTTTAACGTTATGAAAAACGATTTTTAAATTGCGTTGCGATGGCATAAATGTATTCTCCTGCACTCATGAAAGAATGCGAAGGTCATATGATATTATACTCCGCATTTGCCAAGTTATCAGTCAGCCAGTTTACTGTTGAAAATAACTTCAATGACGCATATTAAATGAAAAAAGATAAACGTGGACCTACGAGGGGGTATCATTAATTAGTGAGACTTTTTTGAGGCAGCATCTTATATTCATTCAATTGCAATAAAACTTGGTAGGTATATGCCCTTGGAAATAGGGTATTGAATGAACACACTCATTAATTTATTTTCATAGATACCTAGCAACAGCAGTTACCATGGCAACGGTTGCTAGGGGTTGGTGGAGCAGCTAAAAATTACCGGAAACAAGGGCACTTTTTACTATGTAATTTTTTACAAAATGACAGTTTCTTTTCAAATTTTGTTTACACAGTGCCCTGAGGTGGTTGTTATGACAACACAACCAATTATGATGTCATCTCTAGTACATGATGTCACACATGGCTGTGACATCAGAGACACAGCCATTTTGCAGTACTTTAGGGTGGAGCAAAATTGGCTAAAATAGGGATGAATTCCAAAGAACTCAATGTTAACATAAGATCTGTTATAAAATAAAATGCAATCAGAGGTATTCCAGCACTAGACACCTTAAGGGGCCTACATGAGGTGTATGGACAGGAAAATGTGAAGCGGTCAATTGTTTACAGGTGGTATTCTACATTTAAAGATAATGGAAACCACACTGTTTTTGATGCTCCCAGATGTGGTCGCAAAGCTGATACCGTGATTCCAGAAAACATCAAACTTATTGAAGATATGATATCTATTGATGGTAGACACACTATTACTGAACTTTGCAAGCTATATCATAGTTCGGCATGTATGCTTAGATGGCACTATACTAGTACATATTCCATAAAGTCATGAAATATAGAGAAATTGGAAAATTTGACGTAAAATCTTGAAGTTTTTTTATATTAATAACTGCTCCGGGTCACTGGTCATGACGCCACATAGAAATCTCTTAAACCACTATATGATAGAGTTAACTAATCAAACTACGTGAGGATGTAGCATACTACCAAGATGTTATTTGGTGAAAATATCAATGCAATTGAAGCAAATTTGAAAAAGTTATGGTACTTGTCTCACTAATTAATGATACCCCCTCGTACGTGAATTGTTCGGTCCAGTTGTACTTGTCGCTACATAATTGCTGGTTGTATGTTCCCTTGAGAATGTTTTTCGTGGCCCCGTGGTTGTAATAACTTCTGTTCGAGGTGTAGAGTGTGATGTAGTCATACCTACTATGGACGTTGGAGAAGGAGAGCTTGGTGTAACTTGTTGTTTTGTACATTCATAGCGAACCTGCTCAAAATCAACTTCGACGCGATCGAAGCATCTCCCAGATATCCTCGAGGGAAATGAACAATTTTGTTTGTTACTGCACATACCTTTTATAAAACCCTTTCTGCTCTGATCAAATCTAGCGCAATAGATGTTCTTATTTTGACATTCTTCTTGGTCAGTAGATCCTTTTCCAATGATGGATTCTGTTATGTGTATTATCTTATTTGATGTACGCTCTAAACGAAAGACCCCGTCGACACAGAGCCTAAGACAGCCTGGAATCGTGTTAATGTTCATATGGAAAAGGATGTTGCGATCAACAGTAATATGCTACACTTTTACTGAAACACAGGCTAATTCAAATCGAATTTTCATAGATATAGTTCTGTGCTTATTCATATAATTTGCATTCTAAATAATCCAAACGAAGATATATTAAAAAATAAACAATCAATGTCTTGCATATTGCATTTCATTAATGTTGAATGTGTCACAGAACTTGACGAAAAAACGACATCATAAACTCCCAAGCTCAACAAATTGAATTCTACTCCTCATACAGCTCAGTCTCAAATAATGCGGAGCAGACCAAATCTAGTTTTGAATTCAATAAGTGTATTAAGGCAACCATCCATTCGCATATCCCAAGTCCACCTCCATAGTTCACAAAATGATATTTACCATCGTTAGGATGACACACGGAGAAAACCGCGTTAATTTGACTACTGGCGACAATCAATGTGGCGACTAGAAACATCTCCACGGCGAGCACCTGCTTCCGTTCCTAGTGTTGCGAATTTGAATGCGGCAAATAAGTTAAATCGCTAAAATCAAATGCTGATTATTACATTTTCATAGAAGACTTGAAATTTTGACAAGTCGTGATGTCCCCTAATTTCTGGTAAGTAGATCATAGACAAATTGATAAAACTCTACTGAAAAGTAAACACAGTCGAGTAGATTATAAGAGGGATAAAGCGAAATCATTAAAAATATAATTTTCATCTTAAAATAGTTGAGATTATTTGATTGGATATTCTAAAATTTACATATACTGTTACATTACTCAATCCATAATTCGTGTTCCACAAGCCGTATTATTGTTGTGTATGCATTGTTTTCAATACTCTGATGATATTGTTTTAATAATTTAATAGTCTATAATGTGTGTAGCTTCCTACAGTTAAAAGATACGTGGTATTGGGTCTTAATTCACTCTTTACACAAATAATTGAAACAAGATTGTCGTTAAAACCACGACCATCCTATCAAGCCAAGTATCTCAATCATGTTCTTAATCTATTCCTTAATCGTAACTAATGGAAACAGTGTAGTTTGTATTGGTATTAACGGCGCGCTATACCGTTTATAATCAGGAATCCTGTAAATCTCATCTAGTACAATTTGTTCCACACAGCTCCTGGTGATCCTGCCGGGTGAGCAAACGAGGGTAAAAAGAATGACGCCTTTTGTCCAGGAATTTGAATGTGCCGTTGGAAAAGGGACAGTACCAGGGATAATAACATTATGTACTGGTGACAATGTATATTAAATGGTTTCATGGACAGGGAGTAAATTTGACACTTTCCAAAGTCCAAAAGATTTTAATATGGATTTCCATCTACGATCTAAAATGGCCGATTCGTTTTCAGTTTTGACCTCCTTGAAGTGGAAGTACCAGATAAGAAGTATGTAAACACTTTAGATGACTAAGATGAGTTAACAACAAATCATTACCGAGACATTAAAAAACAGAATTGACATTTGATGTTTACTGCCGCAACCATTTCTTCATGTATCACAGCATACTTCATAGCTCATGAATGGACCATGTAATGAAGAAGAGTGAGAGAACTGAGTCAGTAAAAATTAAAGATATAAAGTGAAATAGAGACAAAACGCCTAAAACCATTGACTAAAGTAATGTATTTGCCATTTAAATCTATATGGAACTAAATAATATACTACTTATACATGAAGCGTTTAACAATTGAGCGTTGTATTTCGGTTATTAAAGAAAACCGATGAAAAACGGGGATTGTGGTACTCTCGAATCTGCAAACTACTTTTAAAAGTTTAGTAAACGATGTCTTATCTCAAGAATTGGAAGATAAACAAAATGTAAGCACATTGGCAAGGTAAGCAAATATCTTAGGGTGCAGTATCAATCGTAGCTCACATGAGTCACAAACTTGCAAAACCCTAAGTATTACTTATGTTCAAAGAAACAATAGTCCTAACATCCCGTTTCCTCAAGAACCATGATCACAACCAAATTCACCTGACTGATCTAACAATCCCATTTTACTGAATTACAAATTATACTTTCCTTCTCCATATAATAATTGCAAAATAGGTTTAGATGATTTTTGCTCGACATGACAAGCATGAAAGCTGACAATAAAAAACACTTATACACAAGTCCAACATTCAGTTCCTGATACTATCCACGTTGACATACATTTGATTCCCGGGTTGTTTGTCATCAACTTTGATAGACTTTATGCTATCATACGCGGGATCAATGGAAGTTTTCCCAATCGATTTCGACACATTGAGTTGTATTTTATCATACTTTGATGGTTCATCTGGCTTCGTATTCAGCGAAAGATCTTGTTCAACATTAACACCATACCTCTGCGATTGCTCATCTTCATTAACTAATGACTCATACTGTTCGACTGGAGGTACTACAGTGTCTTTTTCCTCATGGAAATGGACACTTCTCTTACGTGATAGTTTATTTGGTTTCGCGTAAACCTCCGCTATTCCCTGGTTGTTCTCTACGATGCCACTCTGTTCAGTTTCGGATTCCAATTTGTGAGGTTCTGATGGACGCTTCTTGTTCGAGGTTGCATATAGTTGACCCAATTCTTCATCAGTGAGGATGGTTGGTGTTATTAGGTGCTGATCTGATTTCACATTGCTCAGTTTTGGTTTCACAGAAATTTCAGGTTTATCAGAGATAACGAAAGGATTTGTACCAATAGGTTCTTCATGGTGTGCTATTGATGTACTGGGGTTGCTCTTGAGTTGATCAATATTGGCATAGCCCGCCTGCTCCGAGATTGGCCTTATAATAGCAACAGCGGGAATTTCAACTCGATTTACAACATCTTGTTCATGAAACGCACGATTGCCATACACGTGTATCTGTTGGTCAAATTGAGTCTCGGGTTTATTTTTTAGTCCTGGTTCAATGCCTCGGTCTTCTTGAAATTGATCACTATTTTGCTTGCTCTCATCAGATGACTTTCTGTAATATCATATCTGCATTCATGATTATGTGACTCGCAAACATACATATATCATATATCAATCCACACACAAAAATGACCAAAATTTGCCAATTTGTGCAACAAATGCAAAATTTTGACGTAATTAAAAAATCACTACTTTTGGTGTAATAACTCCAAAATGACCACATGTTTTCCTATTCAGCACAATTGTAACTGTTTTAGGTAATTGAGACATTTCCGAGAAAGATGGTATGCGGAAACATGATATTTCAAATAAAACAGGGCCAAAACGAACCCTGAAGATACCTGCATTATTTGAGATTTTGGCGTGTTCCAAGGGCCTGAAATGGATGGGGTAGGGGAGTGGCATGGAAGTGGCATACCTTTTGGGCTTATTCCAGTTACCATTTTAATCAAATGAATGGTGACATCTTAAGCTTGTAACGTGTGCTTCTATTTGGTATCCATATTATGAAGTCAGATGCTATATTGTGACATCATAGTGGTACCAAATGACCTTAAATAGTAAAAGAAGCACCAAAATGCGGCAAAATAATGGTGCGACTCAAACATTCTTTTGCCAATTCACTACTTGCCACAATCAATGAATGCATTTCTCATTGGGATACACTTCCAATGCATGATATGATGACTGGCAAAAAATAACTAGGATGATAGGTATTGTCAATAAGATTAGAGACACCATATTGTATCTGTCATTTATAACTTTGATTTTTATTAATTACGTCAAAATGTTGCATTTGCAGCAAAAAATGGAATATTTCGATTTTAGACCAATCAGAATCAAATGTTTCCCTCATCTAATAAATAAATCACAATCAAAAGTGATGGAATGAGAGTAAATATACAGACTTTGGACTTGTGTGGTCTCGGCTACTATTCACTCAAGACATTGTATTCATTTAATGTAAGCTATATTATTTAACTTTATTATAATAAGGTGCGAAATATACTGTTGTAATACACATGTTACACATACTGTAGTGCCATACAAGTATAGGTTAGATGTCCTATTTTTTTTTTATTAAACTATCATATCTTTGAGTCTTAATTTTATACAAATAGTGACTGCCATTGAGGGAAATAGTCAAAATTATTTCCCCAAGGGAATATCGTGTCCAATGACATGTCTTCAACAGGATATTCCCGAGGGGAAAATTTTTACACTATTTCCCGAAAAAGCGGCAGTCACTATTTGACGTTTAATTGTATACCCCATATGTACTCTGTAAACAAAAACAAAATGAGAAGTCTTTTCATTTCAACATTTAGTGTTGACAGGTTCTTATAGGCATTTAAAGGTATTTTGCCTTTCAACTCCTATAATATCAGCTATCAGTGAAGATAAAACATACTAATGACTGGTCACATGACCTAACTGGTGATTAGTACATTTTATCTTCCGTGACCATTTATAAGCTAATGAGCATCTAGAATACATATGGGGTATATAATAACACTTTCTAATGTGTTTTACACATTAAAAACAATAATTAGAAAATAAAAAAAACATGACAAGAAATGTATACTGCAAACCTGCAAGTTTTAATGACACGTGCGATGAGAATGCAGAGAATGATTATCAGGATCAGCAGGACAATCGCAGCAACCACTAGTATCACCACCACTGGAATGTTACATATACATGCTAAGACTGTGCATATTATGTATAATAGACTTATTAAAACATAGAACTACTACATATTGTAATAAACGGATAGGAAGTACGTTAGAACGCGATCATCAGTCTTGTAGCCCGGGCAGAATTGTTCTGTCTCAGAAACTAATTGGAGTTAGAACACCAAATTTGATGTATTTTACTTTTGACCCAATTCAAAATTTTATCTTTCTTTGATTGCCCTACGAACTACGAACTGTTTTACTGAGCTACAGCTAACCCAATGATCATGTTATGAAATAAAACGTTACAATGGTCCTGAATGGGATTTTTAACTCCAAACTTGACCCTTAATATTGGACAAGCCTATATTTTATGGTGAGTTTAATTATGAATTGATTTTTTAATATAGTTGCAATTGTACTTACGTGTTGTTGTATTGTCTGGGCTAGGTGTAGTCGAAATAGTACCGCTGGTTGTCTGTTGACTTGATTGTGTTGTTCGTGGTTGTGTCGATATATGTGGTGTTCCAGAGCTTCCAGGTGTTGAATTTATAGTTGAAGCGGATACAGGTACAGATACGATTGTAGACGTTCGTGAATATGAGCTTGATGTTTCTGGACCAGCAATCGTCGTAGTTGATCTTGTGTTGCAGTGATAACATACCTCTTCAAAATTAACTTGTATGTCCCCACGGCATGTACCATTAATTTGTGGAGGGAACATACACTGTTCCTCTTCGTCACACTTTTGTTTTATGATATCATTTCTAGCTTTATTAAACGGTCCAGTACAATATGCAGTGTGCGAACAATTTTTAAAAATGTTACGGGTTCCAGTAACTGTGCTATTTATTTTTATTACTTTGCCAGGTGTACAGCTCAGAGTAAAGTTCACGCTGATATCACATAGCCTCTTACAATCTGGAATTATAATAGTTTATTAAATTTATATTTATTACTAAGAGCTACAATGGAATAAGAATACTTGCAGGAAGTCAAGATAAGGCGCACTCATGTGCAATTCATTTTTCTTTTCAACTCTAGCTCAACAGGTTATATCTCACTAACAAAAGCTAAACAAATCTAGAATTGTCTAAATGGTTGTTTTTCATTAAAACTATTGAATAAAATCTGAATAATAATATGAAGAGATCGACCTAGCTTTGATAATGCAACCCGAATAACGTTTATCAAGTGTTTTATCGCGGGTGATGAGAAATATCTCTCTCACATCCATCACCTTAGGTCCCTTAAAAGCAAAAATGAATTTCCAGTTGAAAGGGTTTTTGAAAATTACCACCAGGTGCATTATTAGAAGTTCGTTTATGTTTAGACTTTATAAGATCATTGTTTCATTGCTAATAAGTCAGTGAGGTTGTTTCTTTTTTGTCATTCTGTTTTGTTCCAAACTGACCTATATATTTTCTGCTACATATTCTTTCATTGGTATAACTGAATACTTAAATTTTCTGATGTTGCTTTTTGCCCAGCCTAAAGATTACAAATCAATATAATAATTTTGGTTAGATTTAATGTTCAAGTCAACTTGTTCAACAATTTCCGTTACTTGATATACACAGGTCGTTCATTAAGTTCTAAGAATGACATAAAAACTAAGTTAACAATGCCCAAACTCGTTGAAAATGTCCACATTTATTGAGCTACATATTGAGCTACATGAACTTTCAGCGTATGATAAGACCATTGTAAATATCTAAAAATCTAATCAGTTTCGTTGCCATAACAGCCATTATGTCCAGGAGGTGGGGCACTTCAAATTCCGGAGAAAACTGTTTCATCGTGTCACATCGTTCCTCTACCATCAAACCTTATTGATGTTACATATACTGCCTGATCCCATCTTATTCGGGCGCAAACATGTATAGAAACATGCATAAGCTAACATCGTTCTCTCAAAGTAGTCTGAATATGGAACTTGTCCCAAGATGTTGTACTTGTCACCCCGGAATAGCCTGTCAACGGTTAAGTCAGCTACCGTTGACACAAATGGTGGACATAACCGTCGCTTCACTTAGATTTTCATGAACTGTATGTTTAATAGAGTACCTAGACTAAATTCCTTTGGAACAACAATCAATCACAGTGTCTTAATATTCATTGTACAGTTAATAGTGTTCTACCATCGAAATAAAATCTTTGATTTAACCAATCAAAATGAGATACGGGACAACGGACACTGCAATTACCATATGCCGTTCTCTTAGTAAATTACTCAAATTCAGATTCCATTGTCATTGACGATATCGAAGACGCTATATTTTGGCGATTCACGACCCAATTTGATCGAAATGGGATTTCATATGATACATTATCACAGAGCTTAATGCATGCACAGAATTAGCGACGATAAAATCCCATGAAATGAGGACCAAGTGATTAAACAGTTGAAGCGACGGTTATGTCCGTCATTTGTGACAACGGTATCTGACTTTATACCGTTGTCAGGCTATTCCGGTGTGACTTGAGGAGAGCACCTCTATGACAATATTGACCTCATGACTCGGGGCCAATCATCAAGCACTTGATCTGCCATTTTGTTGGTGTCTGATGTCATTCATACGGATGACATCATCACACGTTGATTGTGGTGTCATTGTGTTGTCATCGCAACATTATGATGTCATCAAAATCAGGAAAAGTGGAGTTGGGATGTAGAAATAGTATAAATTAGCATAACTGTCATTTCAAACGGTATGTAAGTGCAGAAATAGTATGATAAATGGCATCACATACAACGGGAAATATATAACAAACTATAATAATTAAGAAAAAACCCGAGTGCTAAGACAAACCAACGTCAGAGCTTGGTGCGGAAAGTCACGTTTATTTGCTAATTTCTCCAGCCCCCATGTTATTTCAGTGGGAGTTTTTATCAAAAATTGATAAAAGTTTCGCTAATTTTGATAAATTTGTCTAAATCTGAAAAACAATTTACTTTTATCAAAACTATTGGTAAAATTTTTTGGATGGGGAGTCGATGCGAAGACAAAAGTGCACACGTTAAATTAGCTAAAATTGATAAGTTTGATAATTATCAAAACTATTGCTTTTATCGCTAAAAAATTTTGGGTCTGGAGGTGATGTTCAGAGAAAATGGCACCAGGTAAATTAGCATTAGCTGATAATATCAGTTAAAAGTGATAAATTTGATAATTATCGAAACTATCGCTTTTATCGCTAAAAAATTTTGGGTCTGGAGCTTTCATCGCTAAAATATTTTGGGTCTGGAGGTGATGTTCAGAGAAAATGGCACTAGGTAAATTAGCATTAGCTGATAATATCAGCTAAAAGTGATAAATTTGATAATTATTGAAAATATTGCTTTCATCGCTAAAAAATTTGGGCCTGAAGCTTTTATCGCTAAAAAATTTTGTGTCTGGGGGTGATGTTCTGAGAAAATGGCACCTGGTAAATTAGCATTAGCTGATAATATCAGCTAAAAGTGGTAAATTTGATAATTATCAAACCTATCGCTTTTATCGCTAAAAAAAATTGGGTCTGGAGCTTTTATCGCTAAAAAATTTTGGGTCTGGAGGTGATGTTCATAGAAAATGGCACCAGGTAAATTAGCATTAGCTGATAATATCAGCTAAAACTGATAAATTTGATAATTATCAAACTATCGCTTTTATCGCTAAAAAAAATTTTGGGTCTGGAGTCAATGTTACGAAGAAAAGGGCATAAGTGAAATTAGCATTAGCTGATATTATCAGCTAAAATTGATAATAATCTTTATCTGATATTACCAGCTAATGCTAATTTCATGTCTGCCATGTATCAAAATTAACAAATTTATTGATAATTGATATTTATCAAATTTATCGCTAATTGATAAAATGTATCGATAATTGATAATTATTAAATTTATCGCTAATTGATAAAAGTGAAAGGCACATATGAAATTAGCATGAGCTGATAATATCAGCTAAAATTGATAATTATCAAATTTATCGCTAATTGATATAAATTATCGATAAATTATAATTATCAAATTTATCTCTAATTGATAAAAATGAGTTTCCGCACCTAAATGCAACGTCAAACACTCATAAAATCTACAAATGAGAGTGAATGTCATTTATACCACGCAATTATAAACTTCATGTCTACTTACTAAATTCCTGAAAGTTTCACTGAAAAAAACTAAGTTAAGAACCTCATCAGAGACATCCCTAGAACTCATTGAACATACTGGTATATTTATTGCATTAGTATACAGCGCATTTAAGTCTGAAACCTAGAAAGCTGTGAAAATTAAATGATAATTTTTGTTTTTCTGAAGAAAAGGGCATAAGTGAATTTAGCATTAGCTGATATTATCAGCTAAAATTGATAATAATCAAATTTATCTGATATTACCAGCTAATGCTAATTTCATGTCTGCCATGTATCAAAATTAACAAATTTATTGATAATTGATATTTATCAAATTTATCGCTAATTGATAAAATTTATCGATAATTGATAATTATTAAATTTATCGCTAATTGATAAAAGTGAAGGGCACATATGAAATTAGCATTAGCTGATAATATCAGCTAAAATTGATCGCTAATTGATAAAAAATTATCGATAAATGATAATTATCAAATTTATCGCTAATTGATAAAAATGAGTTTCCGCACCTAAATGCAATGTCAAACACTCATAAAATCTACAAATGAGAGTAAATGTCATTTATACCACGCAATTATAAACTTCATGTCTACTTACTAAATTCCTGAAAGTTTCACTGAAAAAAACTAAGTTAAGAACCTCATCAGAGACATCCCTAGAACGTATTGAACATACTGGTATATTGATTGCATTAGTATACAGCGCATTTAAGTCTGAAACCTAGAAAGCTGTGAAAATTAAATGATAATTTTTGTTTTTCTGGACAGAATAAAATGATGTAATATGAACGAAAATATCGCTATAAACAGATTTGTAATGCCTAGAGAGGCCGTGTCATATCTAAAGAACGCAATACTTACGAAATGTTTGGTAACTTATCTCATGCATCGATGGAACCGCGTGAATTTGACTAACAGCGACAATCGCAATCAGAGTCTGAAACGTTCCCATAGTAAAACATCTGGTTCTCATCCAACTGATCATATGCATAACTGGGAAAGTAGTTTAGATTTATTTCTATCGAATAAAATAATTTAAACCTTTTTAGAGAACACTTGAAGTTTGAAATTGTCGTGATGACACCTAATTTTTGGAGAGCAGATCAAAGATATTTCTAACATATCTATCACGAATAATTGAAAATTAAACACATTTGAGTAGATTTTCAGAATTATACAATCAGGACATAAAAATATTTTTTAATAATTTTACTTCCTGTACAAACAGCGCAGCTTCTCTACCGAATAAAGATGATAACCACGAGCGGATAATTATCAATTATTTCCACCTGATATAATGACTGGGTGTTCTGAATACACAGAGACCGCGTAATCAGTAAACCTTTGTTGTTCACTTGCCTTATGACACCACCTGTCTTGATTTACTAGACTCGTTTTTTATCAATATTCTTCAAAAAATTGTATGTCTTATAAAAATTGTATGTCTAATTAAGTTTCGATTATATTTGTTTCTTCCCTCGTTTGGGATATACGATCTAGGGTTGTTGTCTTTGAAACTCAAGGTCGTATTGTGTCAAACATGTTACATTTATTAGTGTATTGCTTATCCATGTCCTTAATCTAACATTTATTCATAACCAAGTAAACGTTGTCATTTGTATTAGCATTTACTATCGCTTGGTTTATATAGGGGTCGGTAACTTTTGGGGAATCAACTGGCACATCCCAATTCTGGTACAAGTCACTTTCAGGAATCATGTAAATCGCTTCTTGTTCATTGTGTTCATCATCTGAACTGCTTGCTTGAGTGGGTGTAGATGGATCGATCCCATCAAGTCTACGTGATTTGTGGTTAAGCTTGTTAAAGAGAACAGTTTCGTATTCTTCGGCCGATGACTGTAAATTGTTATCTTGTTTGTGTGGTGTTCGTGTAACATCGGGTTTGATTTGAAGACTGTCAACAGGATGTATTTGCTGTTGTGCAGCTACTGGTTGTATATGTGGAGTTATCCTTGGTTTTGTTTTAAGCGTCTTCTTTTGATTCACCCTGCATACCTCATCTGTCATCTCAAGTTGAGCTTCTGCCGATGTAAATGCATTTTTGTTCAAGTCATCAACAGATGGCGCTGGTTTTTTAGCTTTACATGGTTTCGAATCCTCCTTTTCCATCCCCCTAAGCCTGGAATTATCGATTTAACTTATAAAGATGAGAATGAAATTGTCAGGACAAAGTTTACATTTTACATTAGTATGCCAACATCTTCCTCGCTATAAGTTGTTTATAAGTGAGATATATTCTATAGATTTGGTCAATTTTCCCCTTTTAAACACCCTTAATAGAATTATAAATTTGTTTATATAGATGAGAATGGAATTGTCAGGACCAAACTTACATTTACATTATTGTTCCAACATCTTCCTCACCATTACATTTTTACAGGTGAGATATACATTCTACAGATTTGGTCAATTTGGTCTGAATAGTGACAATTATACTAGACTATTGTACACGTTCGCTATATGTACCTGTAGGTTTTGACGATGCAGACGATGAGCAGGCACAGAATAATGACCAGGACACATAGGGCAGTTGAAACCAAAGAAATCGTTACTGAAAAGGAATACAAATAAAGACAAAAACAGATGGCCATGTGGGAACAGCCCTCAATATCCCCTATTATCAAATGAACAAATAAGCAAAGACTCCTCAATATTCGGAAACCATGTTAAAGGAGTGGTATCGATATGGAGAACTTTTTCAACACACGTTTCTCTTAAACCAGTCATAAAAAAATCTAAAAATTTAACACATCCTCAATTTAATGGTCATCTTTTGAATGGTAACAATAAAATTTAAAAAATATATATATACTTTCATCTATATTGTATAAGAAAACACATCAAACACTTGTTTTGTTCTCGGAATCATGTTTCCAGAGTGAAATGAGACATCTTTCCGAAACTCATTGGAACAAAACGACATAAACACAACATGTTTACGTCTCTCAATATTGTAATTGTACAGAGGAAATTTTGATTGATTTAAAAAAATATCTTGTTAATGAAATACAATGTTTATCTTGATTTTTTCTATTTTGGGGGATTTTGATTTAATTTTTTGAATACTTTTTTAAAATCAACCAAAAATTCCTCTGTATAACTATAATATTGAGAGGTTTAAAACATGTTGTATATGCTATTTTTTTCCAACAAGGTTCGGAAAGACATTTTATTTCATTCTCAAGAATTGGTAGAAAGTAGCAAAAACAATTGCACTAAAAAAAACAAAACATGTTAATAAAAACAGTTATATAAAATATTTCTAAATAATTTTTGCATTAAATTGTTGTCAATCAGTCAACATTACATAAAATAACGTGTTTTTTACAGAATGTTTTCAATGATTGGTTTAAGAAAAAAACATTGTTGAATTCAGTTCTCCATATCGATACCAATCCTTTACGTATTGCTTACTGTAACATTTGCATTTGATAAAAATGACATTGTTGGCGCTCTGATCTGATGAGTCAGCACATAGTTTATAATATTTTATATGACACTAATAGGAACCCTTAGCAGTCAATACAACAACGAAAGGAACAACATTTTCATGAAATGAGTGGTTGGTGATCAAATTGTACTTTTATTTTCGGGAGTCAACTTCCGCATTCATTCATTATGACCACACCCACTTCAAACCTATACAGTATATATGTTCAGTGTCAACCAGCAAGCAGGCTTTTACACTGAGAAATTGTAAAATAATATTATGTATTGTACACATTTTCTTGACATTTTTTCTAGCTAGAAGTCTGCCCATTACAGATCAGTGATAAAATAATACGTTAGCAGTGGAACTTACACGGTGAATTACAATTATTTGGTTCATGGGCGCATGGTGTTGTAGAACTTAAATTGGTGATTGTAGTTAGTGCAGTTGAAAGTGTTGTTGTTAATCTGGTGGGTTGATAATCTGTAGTAGAGCTCATGGTCGTTGGTTTCGTTGTTCTTGTTGTTGATGTCAAAATTACACGTGTAGAACGAGAGACCGCTGTAGCCAAGCTAGTAATTGCCATAATCTGCTTCTGAAATTTTTCGAAATGATCTAGATAGATGAACAACTCTGTCAGTATTAGATGCGATACATTCTATAAATTTGTTTTGACATGCGTCAAGATCAAAACGTTTTGTCTTGCGATTGATTTGTCTATGTTTGTTACTTCATCGAATGTATGTAAATTTCGTCGTCTGTGTAAATCCTTATACAATCTAAAATGACAATCATAGCTTACCACATGGTTACTATCAAAGATCAACTAAAAGCGTATAATTTCACAATTATGATTCTAGAGTGTTAGTTACGTTAGTTTTGCGACTTCAATGGATGGCTCGGCGTTGGTCAACAAAAGGGAATGTTCTGTTTGTATCTATACAGGGCGTCCACAAAAAAGTATACCCAACTTCAAAGCCAGGATACCAGAATTCTGAGCAATTTAAAAAAAATTAAAGGCTGCAGTATATGGCCTAGTTAATTCTCCATCAAATGGTACCTAGATCATTATGTAAGTGGATGACAGCAATCAAGACTTTAATGGAAGGTGGTAAAATCAGCACTGTGCCAAGTTAGCATTCATGTAGGACTGACACAATGAATGTTTTTTTTGTGTTCAAAACATTTTAAATGTTCAAATTCAACCTTGTTCCATGTTCTTCAACCTTTTTTGCATAAATTTCCATAACTTTTTATTCCTACCTCCCTCGCGGGAATTGGATCCCAAGAGCCTCTTGAACAGCAATGAAACTTCTACTTGATGATATGCAGCCTTGAAGTCAATAGGATCCCCCATTGAAGTCAATACACCCTTGCTGAAATCCTCATTTTCCCAGAAGAACTCAAATTAATTGAGTGTCAACAAGTAGATTCATGTTGGACAGTATTGCTAGAATCCATTTTCAATAGTAAGAATAGGGACTCTTAAACAGGACACAGCACTTGCTTTTTGTTAGCTCTTCTGCTCAGGTGTCAGTTGAACCATGTTTGCAGGCCTATTTTAGAGTAAGTAAGCTTTTTGCCAAATCTTTTTTTCATAAGAGAGCTACTCAGCCCCCAGTTCAGTTCATTATGAAAGTCCTGTCATCTTACATAATGTAACAGAAAAAGAATACTAAGCCAATTACACATCGATTGCCACACAGGAAGATAACTTGGCACAGTGCTAAATTTACCACCTATCAGAAAAGTCATGATTGCTCAGTCATACGTAACTGTTACATAATGATCTAGGTACCATTTGATGGAGGACAAATAAGGCTTTTTGCCGTTGCCTTTAGATTTCAAAAAGATTGCTCAGGATTCTAGTAATTTGGTTTTGAAGTTGGGTATACTTTTTTTGTGGACGCCCTGTATTTGTTTCTCAAGTTCATGTAATATACGCTGTATACGGGATCTAGCTAGATAAGTTATATATGCACCAACTGTGACTCCTGGGTTAGTAACTTCACTAACCTACCAACTTCATCAAACCTCTGTCGAACAAATAAACCAAGGTTTTAAAGAATTTAAACAATGCGTCAATGGAGATTTGGCCCGAGCTTTTTTAAAAAAAGTTTAAAGTCATGAAAAATTATTTAGTAGCACGTCTGTATAAATCAAAGTTATCTTTTGAGGAAAACTTTTGAAAACTTTCAAATAGAAAGGAAAAGTAAGTCAATTAGAGGTTTCAAATGCAAATCTCTAAAACTATCGCAAAAACGTGAATAGGTCAGATTTCAATGCTGTATAGGTAAACTCCATTTCCAACATTTTAGGGGGACCCAGCATGGTCAAAGAATTCCTACTTACCTGCATTTCGCGTCGGTTCTTTGTAACTCGTCTGATACTCTAAGAAAACGCTATAGTGTTGTACCGGGCTACAATCCGCATCAATTAGAAAGGTTTTCCCATGCCCATCTTAGTATCTAGTTCGATGAATTCTGACAGGAAGTAGATTAGTCTTATTGTATCATGTATTGAACAAAATAGCTTACAGTTTTCAAAAGTACCCGATCATGAAATATTGAATGGTCGTGATGACAACTTATTCGTGGAATATCGATCGATCAAAAAGTGTAAAGGGGCGTTATCAGTGTTTAACTAAAAAACAAACAGTTTGAAAACGCAATCAGAATAACACCGGTGTGTGCCTGCCATAAAGATTTTTTTATATAAAATCAAACTTTATTAATAAACATATTTTACATTACATGCATACAATTAGATAAAATACAATTATAGGAATTTCAAGTTACATAGTTACATCTTTCTTAATATATCATTATTTCAGTATCAAATATAGCTTTTAAATTACAAGCTGTATTGACCCTTTTTTAAAATCATGTATAGTTTTTTTAATTACCAATGTTTTAAGTAAATCTTCTTTTTTAACAATTGCATTTCCAGTTTTTGATCATTTGTTTACATTTACATCATTCCAAATTGATTGAATACAGTCACAATTGATAAAGAAGTGGTCAATGTCATCTTTTACATGTGCGTTACAAAACTTACATGTGTCAGAGTTTTCTATGTTACATTTCTTCAAATAAATATTTTGAGGGTAAATACCATGTAAAATTTTCCATTGAATTACCAAAAGGGTAGTATCGGTTGTACATTGAAAAAATGAGACCAGACTTTATCATTTAGAATCTCACCATTAAATTTGATGTCACACTTTCTCTCTAAAACAATTTTTGTTCTCACAATTCTTATGTTTAAAAAATAATTTTGTACGAGGTGTTTCTATTTCATATTTGATAAGGAAATCTTGTGTTAAACATGCTTTAAGTGCATTTATATTGAAGAATTGTTCGGCCATTTCTCCCTATTTTCTAGACAATGTTATCATATGATATCGTTATGATATGATAACATTTCCCTATCCTGGACAGCATCTGAAATATATATAATGCCCTTCTCAATCCAGTTTTCAAAAAATAATGGAGAATTATTGAGAGTTACATTTTCATTGTTCCAAATTATGCTCTCATTTTTAAAATCATTGTGTTTCAACCATTCATGTTTCAATTAATTACCCATTTTCCATACATGTGTACATGGGTAAGCCTCTCCAGTGACCATTGCTTCTTTCTTGCAACTTTTTAACCCATTGTGCTGTATAAGCTAGTTGTAAATTAAATCTTTAGCAAATCATTTTCAACCCTCCATATTTATATTATTGTACCATTACATCCCTTTTCACTTTGTCAGGAATCTTCAATTCATCCTCTTTTGCACAAATAAACATCATTGTATTAATTCTATTCAAAAGTTTGTCAGGTAGAATGAAGGCTTGCATGAGATATGAGAATTGTGGTAAAAGTAAAGATTTCACGATAACAACCTGCCATATATAAAGATATAAATATTCGCTGCGGAGTTTTATTAATCAATATGTCTATTTGTGCATGATGATTGATACCAATAATATCAACCATTTAATAACTGAACTTAGTTTATCTGAAATAAAATGCATATCGTTCATGTACAGAACTTGCAGGAGATACATTTAACAATTTAACATGAGAAAGAAGAAGAGGACGTGATATGCGATAATTTACCATTAATACGTTTTTAGAAAAAAAACGAAACGTCTCAAAACGTGAAGAAATATAACTGTTAAAACTTTGGTAGCCAAATTACGTTTGTAAGTCATTAAAACTATTTGAGCCTGGCCATAGGAAAACCGGTCTTATCACAAAAATTAGAATTGTGCTGCAGAGCCAAAAATGTGCCCAAGATTAAGAGGAAAATGTGCTAAATTCAACTTTTTGGTCTATATATGCAAGGAAAAATTCTTAAGACATAAGCCATGGCTCATTTGAAAGGTCTCTTTGTGCTTTCTGTGATAAACAAAAAATCAGAATAATGAAAAAATCTGTGATAAGACCCCTTTTTCCTGTGGCTTGGCTCATTTTCAATAATCTCCATGATTCCGCATTATTTGTGTTAACAAAGACTTGATATTATAAATGCTTCCCTGTTTCTATTATTGATACATCCGCCAAACATGAACTTCATTTTTCAAATTATAGAACAAGCTTTTAAAACGTTCAATGTGAAATGATCTGGAATAAAACGATATCAAAGTTGTTAACATCATTGAAATATTAAAACGCACCCCTTAAAAAGGCATACATTTCTAACTATGTGAGTAAAAATAATATCTTGTGCTTTCAATTCCAACTATAGTAACTTTATTTAATTTTGCTTAACCCTTGAATGTATGCAACCTATTCTATAAAACTAAGTCGCAAGGGAGTGAGAGAGAGTGGGTGGGGCAATTTTGACATACCCTCTATGATTTTTATTACTTGTCTGATTTCAATGCTGGTATTTTGTAAGCCTTATTCCATCACCTCTTTAAGAAAAGTATTATTTACTTTAAAAACATAGGTCAACAAAGGTCAAATCGAGGTCGACGTGACCTACATTTAGGGGATGTACATTTTTAATAATTTGTAATAGATTATTTTTGGTGCCAAAATGTCAGGCTTCCTAAAAGAATAATCTATCATCTTTCAAATAAAACTAAAATCAAGGTAAAAGCTTTTCTATAACTGAACTTATGCTATTTCAAAGATAGCCGGTATTGCGAAATCCCATTGATATGAATGTAACGCAAAATTGAATAGTCAACGTCAACAATTTCAAGTTGTTTTTGTCTTTAGCATTCATACTTTAAGTTATATTCAACGAATGCAAATCAGTGGTTTAGTAAGAAAATAAATAAAGACTTGACTTGGTATTATTTCAATATAATTTCGGTCCATAATTTTGCCTAGCAATCACCTGGGAATATATTTACATGCTTCATTGGATGTGATACAAGCTCTGCGTCCCAAAGCCAATGCTCATAAATGACTGATAATGCAATAGATACAGAGATCAATTAGAAAAATAAAATTAAAACTGATGAAAAATCTTTTAAAAAGTTCCTTTGCTAAGACTAAATATGATACAAAACAAATATATGCAAATATATCAACAAAATTACACCATATGTGAGGTTGAAACATATTTAAAATGAACTAAATGGGCAAATTCAACTTTCCTCGGGATATTCAACAAAACAGTCGAAAGGTTTAACATCACTTCTAACAGAGCATTACTACCATCCATTATGAGATTACACAATTCACATAAGGCAGTGGCATATTACACCCCCCTCCAAAAGTTTGACAACCTTAGCTCCCTCATTGAACTGCGTATTAAAGCCTCTTTATGTTTGAATTTTTATTTACATTTAAACAAGTAGTTCAATGAGGGAGCTAAGATTGCCAAACTTTTGGAGGGGAGTGTACATGCAGTGCACTCAAGCTGGACTTGTAAAACCTACTCAATTCTCAATACACTTACCTCATAGTCAAAACAAAATAAACTCAACTTTCCTAAAATTGGACTATGGGTCATTTACCTTTCATAAGAGTTAATGTTGGGTTTAAATTAGATAAACGTTCGTACTGGATGTTAGGAGGACTAATAACCTCGGACCAAGGACCTCAGCTATTATTCCTCCTAAAGCCCGGTACTAGATAGTTTATCTATAACATAATACACATCAACAACAACAGCAATTTATTTGAACAATTTATTCAACATGCATCAGTGGCACATTTTCACTCAGGATACATGGGATACATTTACATGGGACTATGCGTATGGTAGAATGGTAGATTGTATTTCAATCATTCTAGGGCATATTTCTTAATTGAGATTACCAGATGATTTAACAAAGTGTATACATGTATTTTGAAATCATTATAAGTCTCCCCACTTCAATGCTAAAGCAGATATATTTTGTAATCATAGGGTATCTCCTTCATCAATTTGACAACCAGAATTTCCCTTTGGGTCGAGTGTTAGAGCCTGTCATGCCTGGCAATCAAAAATCATCTTTGACATTGGTTTCCGAGCTACTACAATGAAGGAACACAATAAAGATTCAAACATTAACGGCAGGCTAAAACACGCCATCAAATGAAAACTTCCAATGGCCATGCCTACAAAGGGGAGTGTAACTTTACTTTATCTTAAAAGCACACACCATTTCATGAATTTGTTTTTATTACATCGAGAGACATCTATGACACTGGTGACAGGGTTCCTCGATAGTGTGTGCGATATAACAATGAATGATTGAATAACAATGAATTTGTTTTTATTACATCGAGAGACATCTATGACACTGGTGACAGGGTTCCTCGATAGTATGTGCGATATAAAAATATCAATATGATCAGAAAGGGCGGTTGAGCCTAGCAAGGAGGGTTAAATTGCTCTTTATTATGAATATTTTGATATATACGAGGAAACTGTTATTTTAAATACGTTCGGGATTCCAGCGTATTCAACAAGCCTGAGGAGATGAGACCTTCAAAGTGTGTTGGAAATCAACGAGTATATTCCTAATACTGCCAATATCCATTAGTTGCACGAATGTGGAAGCCCATAAGAACATTTGAAGATTCACAGACTTATGCTCGCTGATTATTGCGATTTATCTAGCATTTTTATTCATGATGAGATAATCTTTGTCGTTTTTATTAGCTTCGACAACCTTTTGGTTCACATACGGGTTAACGCATTTGGCATGTTCAAACCCATGGTCAATAGGTACTTCACCATCATAGTTTTCATACAGGACACCAGGAGGGTTCATGTAAATCTCATCTGGTCCTGGCTCCTCCGCTTTTGGGGAAATTGGAATGGGTGGTGGAGGATCGATTACATCATGTTTAGGCTTGTTTTGTTTGCTAGGTGGGGCTATCTCCTCGTATGCCTCGCCATCCATCGGGGGACCACCAAGAGGCAGGTACTCTTGTTCGTTTTCGTTAACTCTTGGTGGAGGATCAGCTTCAAACTCCATATACTCAGCAGAGACGACTGGCTCTTGCTGATGCGGAAGTGGTGGCGTTTTCTTTGGTTTTGTTACAGTCCTCTCCTTTGTATATTGATTTGGGGAGGCCTCTTGCTCCATTTCTATCTTGGTGTTCTTAGAATCTGGATCTTCTGTTGATGAAGGCCTACTTTGGTTGACCTCCGCCACAGAAGGAGCTGTAGATTGCTTCTTTACTCGTCTCTGCCGTTTAAACCTAAAACAAAAGCCATGTTTAATATTTGTAAATTAAATGTTTATCTCATCTTCACCTACCATCAGTATCAGGAGAGGGGGCCATTTCCCAAAATCATTCGCAGAGATAAAGAATTCATGAATTCCACTATTCTTTCATTTACAGGCGTATCAAACTATATGGACGTAAAAATATTTGATGATACAGTGAAGGTGATGGTTGTAATTTGCCTACAAACTAAAGCCCAACAAATTCTAATGTTTTTAGACCTCGCTTCTAGGCCCCTGTCTTCTACTATGCAATTATATCAATGGCAACAACAATTACGATTTTTTCTGTTAATGATTTCCAAAATTAGTTCTGGCTAAGTAATTCCTTGTAGTTATTGTTTTGTGATTGCACTATCACATTTAGTGTAGAAAAATAACAATGCAACGGACCCGTGGCCTTCTTGACGTACCTATCTAGTTTATTGGTGAAGTGTAACAGGACGAGGATCACAACTGCAGTAATTGCAATCGCTAGCAGCACTGAGAGACTCACAGTAGCAGCAACTGCAATCACAACATTCATACATTAAATCCATGGAAATCACTTCCTTATTTTGGAAATACTCACAAGTACTTGTACGTACACAGGTTTCTGAAATTGATTTCTGAAATTGATTTTTTCAAAATGCCTTGACGGAAATGTTGTTTTTCGATTTCGAGTTGCCGGAAACTGTGTTGTTGATTATTTTATCTTTTATATCAGGGTAAAAAGTATCGTCCCATTTTACCTTCAATATAACATTTTATTATATCACTATCTAGCTAGCGACAGTATGATTGGTCAAAATCGGGTCACATGTCGTGGGATATCTGGCGATATTCAATGGCAATGCTAATCAGATAAGACAACCGTGAGATATCTAGCGATATCCCACGCTCCCGGGAATATAATAAAACAAATATTTCACTCTATTTTCGGTGAATACCTGTAGCACTTTCACAAGGTGATATTCCAATTGCCCTTCGGGCTTCGTGGAATATCACTTGTGAAAGATGTACAGGTATTCACCTCAATAGAGTGAAATATTTGTTCAATATCGTAAATTTCTCGTAATATCTTTATATGACTGGCCGATTATCTCTGGGTTATTCCTTCTCTTATTTAATAATCTATTTACAGTGTGGTTCCTTTCCTTCTTACCGGTTGTACTTTTTGGTGTCCATTTTCTCTCATTGCGTAATTTATGCTTTATCTGCTTTTTGTTCACATTTTGCTACATTGCAATGAAACTTAATGGGATTTATAAAGTATTTAGTCATATTTCTTATTTTAAAACATATTTTAATAACATTTAACAAATTGAGTACACGTTCACTTTGAGGTACTTGTAGTTGATTATCAATATTAAATAGCATATAATATACAAACGGTTTCTTCGAATTAGTACTTGAATATAGAAACACACTTGAGTTTCAATATTTGATATGATTCTTAGAAATATCTAATGTAGATATACACGTAGGTGGAGGTGAATCCGACAAGTATTCATTAAAAATTATAACACTCATTAAATACGTAGAAATACTGTTACATTGAGGTTATAAGTCAAGATGATCGTTTGATATTTGTTATCAAAATTTGTGTTTAGTTTTAAGTGTTATTATGGCGATAACCAGTCATAAAACACATAATATAATACGAATGATTAATACTTGAGGCAAGGAATGCATGAGCATGTTTTTGATTAAATAAGGTATGTGACTTACTTCAACCTCTATTAAACCTAACCTTGACCGTCCAAATAGTCAGAAATTGCAAAAGACATTGTCGCCAATTTTGAAATAAAAATGTCGGCAAATTTAAAAAAATAAACAGAAAGATTAGTTACATTATAAATTGTTTTGTTATCTTTTTATCAGCAGAGTTCATAGTATAGCAATTCACTATGCTCGCATTATTGTACAACTTTATGGGAAGTTTGATCCTCTAGCCTGAGGTAATTCAAGTGTACCTAATTGAAATTGTTGCATATTAACCCTTAAACGGTGAGGGGGGCAGATCTGTCCCCAAGGATTTTTTGATAACTTTTTAACTTTTTTCGTTAATTGTCTTTTGATATTAGACTTTCTGGCTTTTCTTAAAATTGAACAAGACATATTTAAGCGAAAATATGACTCCAATCACCTAAGGAGGGAAGTTATAGCTGGTCAAAGTTACTGAAATACCCAAATTGTCAGTAGTTTTGATTTGAAACGATAGACCTCTATGTTCTTAGAATATTAATTCCATAATCTATAATGGCTCAATATACTTATGAGTAAGCTCAAAACTGGGAATTGATATTTGGATTGAATTGAACTGGTATTTGAACCCCCTGATTATGACTAATTGCATTTTGGACGTCTCAACAGCATTTATTCATAAGTCAGATACATGACGTTAACTTTCGGGACTTTGCCATTGAAATGGATCTCTCAATATTCGCTGTTGTTTTTTGAGTATCCTCTGCTTGTTCGGATCGAGTAACTTCAAGAGTATTACCGTAGTTATGAAATGATGATGTTGAACTGATGTTAAACTGAAATAAACGCCAGTTCAACGATTTCAAATTTTACTTGGCGCATCGCGGCACTGAGAAAGCACGTACTCATGATTGTTCACGTGATCACATCTTGCAATTTGATGGAGATCGTATAATTGGGAATTCCCGAATACGATAGAATATGAAAGAATTATGGAGCTACTCACTTCTTCTTGCACACACGGATCGATCTCGTGCCATAAAATATACGCCTCCGATATATAAAAAAACTTCAAGTATGATGTACATACTTGAGGTACATACAGATAAGTATCACACACATAGAGTAAAATAAAACCTAAAAATAAGGAATTAAAATACCATCGTGCTGTTATATATGAAAATAAGTATTGTACACATATTGTAGACGAATGACATTCGTATGTTTCAGATTAATTAGTTCTTTGTTCAATCAACATGTAGGCTCTTGTAATGTAAGAAGAAACATCAAATATAAGGGACCACACATTTTATTAGCCAAACCTCTACCAATGAAAGATGCACAAATGCCATTCGCGTAAAATATAAATATATTTTCCACATATTATATTGCAACACTTTGATCTTTTGATTCATCCCTGTTTCGGAGTTCCAATGACGAAAATAAAACATTAAAATGGGCTTTAGTAGGACTACTTACGAAGGCCCGAACAGTTTGGGCATTTCCCAGTTTCTTGAGGACCTGTAGTTGTGATTAGACCGCTGTCATGTGTAGTTGTGAAATAGGTCGATGATGTTATTAACTTAGTTGTTGGCGTTGTTGTGAACTGCCCTGATGTTGTTATGCTAGAACTTGCATTGTTTGTAGCTGAAGACGTCGCTTCGACTGTTGTTTCATTTATGGTTGTAGACATCGTGTATTGTTTTTGATAAACAAAATAAACCTATTGTTTTAGGTAACTTCAAAAGAGGTATGATCCACTCTATATAAATACTGCTCCACATTACAAACACAAACTGTATTTTGTTGACTTCCTCTATGTTTAGCTCTGTAGTACTAATTCAGATCCGTTGTGTTGGATTATTCTAAAACATCTTCCTATTTGGTTAAGATATAGACAATGATAACAATTGGGGTCATAGGCTTCAATGTTTTCTACAATTTGCTTCCTTGTTGGGTAATTAGTAACCAAAGTCGTTTCAAGTGATCATGTACACAAGAGTCCTTCAACTTGAAAAACTAAATTCAACAGTAAGGAGCTGGATCACTTGCGACATCTCAAGGGGTTTGAACACATGAAAAGGTCACAGAGCCACAAACAATTGATTTTTTAAAATAATTTTGTCGTTAAAGGGAGTAAAACCTTTATTTTTTCCATTTCCTAGAAAGATCCACATATCTAACAAGTTGAACTACTTCAAAATTTGGCATTCTTCCATATAAAACTATGTTCAGTGTAACAACCTACATATATATTACATTCAGTTTTATATTTTACACCCACTTGTATACTTAGTTGTATACATGTGTATCTCATACTTAAGTTGGTTTGGGGTAGATATCACTCGGGAATATATATCATATCTGAGGAGCGGGCAGGATATATTGTATATGTCCCGCTCCAGGCCAAATGCAGGCAGATATAATATATCCATCCCGCTCCCGGGAATTTTTCAAAAGTTTAAAAAAGTTTTAAAAAGTTTAAAAAAGTATGAGATACACCAGTTATGCACGGTCGGTTTAGATACATGGAATATCCCTTGGGATATACAATACATCTTCCCTCGGTCCCTTCGGTCCCTCGGGAAGATATATTGTATATCTCTCGGGATATTCCCTGTATCCAAAACCTCCCAATGCATAACCCTTATATATTTACCCACTATATTTAGTTTTATACATTTCCCAACCTACATATTCAGTTGTATTGTACCAAGCAGATTAAACACCCAAAGTCAGTTCAATGAATGGTCAATTTGAGAACCTATTGGGCGTATCCGGGGAGTATATATTCAGTTTTATATATTGTCCAAGCTAAGGAACATATAAAATATAATATCATGTACATAAATTGTATAATTTTCCACCTACACATTCAGTTGTATACAGTTATATATGTATCATTCAAATTCCAATGAGTGGCCAATTTGAGAATCGAACGTATTCATAGGCGTAGGTGGGGAGTGGTAGCGAAGGGAACTATCTTTGTGGAATTTGATGGTATGTTAATATTCCCGTCATTCGACTTATTCAAACGTTTTCAATGAAATATAATTATCAACATGACACTAAATGATTGATCCTTTTTTAAAATTCATTACGAAGAGTTATCATAAATCAAGGAAGATAGTGAGTACCAATCACAAATTATGTCTCCATTCATCAACCGTGCCAATTTTCAGAATGGGTATTCTTTTGATATGGTGACTAGGAGACATATGCGATCGAGGGTTTACTGTTGATAGGGGAGGGGATGATATCGTTAAATCATACCATTTCGTTGTATAAGAAATATAAGAATATGAAAAATTATAAAACATCTTACTTTTACCCAAATGTAGTCACGTTAGTATTTATTATATACAAAAAGTCATGCATTCAGTTGCATTTTACCAATTTTATATGCAATGGCCACAATAACCATGGGGGGGGGGGGGGTAGAAGGTTTATCATCAATAAACTTTAATGTGCCAATTACCAATGTCAGATAAGATGATTTCAACCAGGAAGTGTTCGTATTATTTTGATTGGTGATGCTAATCATCCAGTAATAAGGAAATAATGAACGGGGAAACATTCGAATCACGTCATAAGTGTGATTAATGAGAGGTTTCCTTGAAATTTATTATATATTCATCATGAATTATACACAAAATAAATAAACCATTCCCTCTAATACAGTTATTTGAATCAATTGTAAGATGGCAGCATTTTACTCATTTTGTGGCCCATAACATAAATTAATCTTAAGATATTCTGCATTCGTGTTTGGATTCCCCTTTATTGAATGTTCCTTTATTTAATAACACAATTGTGTATAGCATTCTTTATATTAGTTTAATCAAAGGGAGAATCAGATCTAGCGAGTATTCAACAAACAATTTTAGAACATTTTGTACTCATTTCTTGTCATGTCTATTTTCTAAGAATCCTCAAAGTGCATTCTTAATTTCAGGAAAACTAAAGATTTTAATAATTAGGTGTTATTTTTATATAAATGTGGTTAACATTTTTATTATTTGGGAGAATTTAAACATTGTTCCCGATTTATTTGTACTTTGAATCTTCAATAACTTCAGTCTCTAATTGATGAACTATTATGGATCTTTTGGGAGATCTTGTTTTCGAGACCGCAAGGAATAGATTGTACATGTTGCTTGCAATTTTGTCACCCCTATACTGTATATCTGATTCTGCCTTTTTAAAATATCCATTATAAAAATATTCGTTATAAGTCCAAAGTAACACATGTTTCTAAATTGATGATCAAGTTGCCTGAACTGAAGTCCATTAATTGTGACCAATTCGATCCAATACAGTTTTGTAATATACTATTAGCTCTCAGTAAAACAAAACTATATTACGCTGAGAAGATACCATTCTGAGATCTTAAGACTCATTCTTGTTTCTTATAGAAAACATAAGTCACGATAACATATCGTCTATAGAAAATCTCCAGTGTACGTTATTTTCGTGAATTTAACAGTTTGGTCTGTTTTTGATGTTTTAGGTTCAGCAAGGTCAACATCTTCGAATTCATCAGGTAATTCCAAGCATGTTGAATCCGATCCGGTGTCAGTAGCTCCCTTCTTTAGATGGGCATACATTGGTGGTAGCTCCTGGTCTTTACCTGGAAGTATTGTGAATATATCATAATCAGGACATAAAGATGGCGCTATAAGTACAGAATCAATGCCATCTAGTATAATACCAGTATTCTTTCCTTCAGTATGTAAGTTGACAGTTAACAATATCCAAATAAGGTAAGGAGCTAAGGATGTACATTTCTGGTAGTCTTAGTGCATTTGTAACAATTTGAATGTAACAATTTGAATGAATCTTCAACACATTGTATTGCATCACCATCTTCAGCTTCCAATTAAGGTGGTAATAACACAATGTGGAGCAATTGAAACCTTGTGAATTAAGATGTTGCATCATTACATTTGATTAAAAACCCACAATTATAACATGAAGAAACATTGATACCTTCATTTGTACCAGGACTATCCAGTTCATCATCGGCATCGCTGTCTTCTTCAACAAACTCCTGTCGTATCTTGTCAAGTTTTTCCTGTATATCATCCCCGGGTTGACCTCTCCTACCATGTTTTTTGTGCACGCTGTGCCCAGATGAGCCCTTTGTTTTCGCACCAAAGTCATATGATCCAATGTTTTTCTCACTAGTCTCATATGATCCACTCTGAAAATATTAGAATAAACGTCTCTCCTATAAGCAATCGAACATTAAGGAAATTAAGTGGCATTGGTATGATAAGATAAAAATAGATAACATCGGAGAAAGATTAAAAACAACATCATAGGGCCCATTGGACTTACATGAACCATTTTGGTTGATTTGCTTTTCTCTCAGTTTGCTGGATTATTTGCATGATGGTTTGCTTTCCCACGTGTTAGTTTAGATTACATATAATATTTTTAGTTACCTTTTTGTGCCTGCTATGATGTTCCTTCCCATGCTTGTGTTCTTTTGTTGATTTATGGTGTCTAGTTTCATGGGCAGAGTGCTCGTCTTTCTCCCCTTTCTTAGGCTTCTTTGACTTTTTCATATTACGCTTTATTTCCTTTTTAGCGTTCTGCTCCGAAACATTGATATCTTCGTTATCGTCTTCTTTATCACTGCTTTGACGTGACTGTACCTTGGCTGATTTAACAATCTGAAATACACTCTGCACATTCAACAGTTTCTTTCCAGCAACATTACTGGTTTCCCTTTGTTTAATATGTTGCACAGGTTTAATAGGTGCAACTGGCTTATTAAGATGCTTCTGCTTTGATTTTAATTTATTTCGCTTCTCATTCGGGGAGCTCGCCGGGCTACTGAAAGGACTTGGTAACAGGTCTTCTGTTGATGACGTTTTCTTACCATGCTTCGGATGATTTTGGAGTTTTTTCTTCATTTCAGTTAATGATTTCTGAAAATTTTCCAATGCTACAGCTTTATCTAATTCTTCAATAGTGTTACCAGCAATTGTCATATCCATGTCAATGAGTGGTGACATCTTTTCAGTGTTTATTTCCTCTGTTTCCGTATGGACATTGTCACCACAATCCGTGTTAGTATTAAGCTTCTTACTTATCAGAACTACAGCATTTACATTACTGGTATCATCATTTGTGTGCGTGTCGGTCACATCTTTTCTTCCTTTTTTCTTGGCCATCTTCTCTCTACTGTACAATGTATTTTCTTGTGAATCACTACGATCGATGAGATGACGCTTATGATTCATTGCTCCATAGTTTTCTAAGTCCTTATATATCGTGTCACCAGTCCAGTCACTCGATACTTCATGTACAGACAAGTCGTCCAGATTAAACCTCCATTTCTTGTCCAATTGACTGATATTCAGCTCCTCGTCTTTTCGCTTCCGTTTGTGCCTTGCTCTGGAACATTGAAATATATGAGTGGGGTAAGTACAACCAAATCTCCAAACATTCATATGAACGTGCAGTTCAGAATGAAATAACTTGTGTTAGACTAGCTACGCAATTTAAAACTTGGGTAAATAACGTTTAGGCTCACCCTGTATATAGAGACAACTTTAAATCAGCATGGTGAAAGTTAATGTAACATTTACGCTAGAGGGGTTAATAATAACACATCAGCATTGTTGTTGTACCTATTACCTTTTGTAAATGAATACAACTGCTATGACAATCGCTATGACAAGGATCGTAATCACTATCCCAGCAGCAAGTGCACCACCTATGAATAAATGAAACAAATACTGTAATTTTAAGGAAAATAATGTGGAATAGGTCAATAAAGAGAGAATGTTTTACATGTGTTTCGTTATAGTGTTTTTAAGATGATTATAATTGATCGGTGTGAAGCAAAACATAGGGACGAAATATATCTATTTGGTGTACTATCGTATATGTTGTTTCATATTTCAATATTTTATAAATAGTACTAGTAATTGACAATACATCAGAGAAAATTGTTACAAATACCTTGTCGTTCAATTTGACCATTTTTGGCATCATTTTCAAGTTCAGCTTTGATTCGAATCCCAGATTTTGGTCTTTTACCATCGGGTGGCACTAGACTGTTGCTTACTGGGGGTGGTTTCTCGGCATCCCCAAACCCATGTTTGGAACATTGCATCGTAATTTGTTTTGACGGCTGGGCTAAACGTATGAACAGAGAAGAGATTAATTCGGGAGTTATGAATTAAAGCTTTCTTGTTACATTATATTCGAAGCTGAATTTGTAGAAGCTTGTTAAAGTTCTATCAAGTATTTCTTTGAATCAGTGTACGATATTTTGACATATCATCAATTTCTACGTTGTCAAAAGATAGTCAAATGCCCCGTTGTACCTTTCTAGTTACATCAATACTATATCTTAGTCCTTTGATTTCATTTCCGTACCTTTAACCCGGGCCGTTCTTCTTTTACAACAAATACATGAAAGTTGGGTTGACACATTAATATCTTATGAACTCACATTTGTATTCCAACCACATCTTCCCTCCATGTTTTCTTATTCCAGTATGTAATGTCAAATAAGTCCATTTTGTATCATCTGTCCTATAAATGACGTTATTCCACATGATCTTACAGAATCGAGTCTTTGAGTTTTCAGTCCCTTTAACTGTGAAGTTAAACGTTTTGTCACAATGTTCTGGATCTGTTGCTCCTAGGTGCATATTGATAGCTGTAATGGTGACTGTTGATTCGGCTGGTGCCTTAAACCTGCACGTACAGGTTCTGGTTATTCCTCCCGGGTAGATGATACTGGCCAAGTAGCCATGGTCCTGCTCCAGGTCCAGTATACCACACATATTCTGGATGGCTTTATCTAAAAGCAAATTTATGACTTTTTATGTGAACATTTTGATAATGCTGCTGTTCAGTTGGTCGTATTCATCGCGGCTTTTCCGTTTTTTTTATCTACTATGATAATTCTACTTAATTTAAAAAAGCACTTTAATAAAAGTAAACATATGTTGCTAATGTTATGTTATGTTCATTGTAGTCAGAGGTTTTCGTGAATCAATAGAACTTACTTGGAATACATATGTATTGTACCATGACGTAATCTGTTGGTTTGTTGACATCACATACATGGTCAGCCCTATCTGCAAGGGGGTTACACTCAGTTTTACCCATACATACAGTCATCAGAATCTCGTTGTACTCCGGTCGTGTATCGGGAATAGATACCCTGCATTTATCAGATGGCTTTGGGCAACACATGACGCCATCATCACAGCCCTGGCTGATTCCAAATATTGCGATTTGAATGTGGATTACATGCTGAGAAGGACACTCCAGGCTAAGTTGACTTCCAAAACATGCTGATGATAGCTCTTCTCCTTTAAAATATCAAACACATCATAACCAAAGGGAACGAAACAACTTCTCCATGATAAGGAAATATTCTATTCATATTTTACGAATCATTATAATCCAAAATTGGAAAGGTTACTGTTAAATGGTATATTATTGAACGACCTATCATTAAGAGTGACATAAAATTGTAAGAACAATAGATGATATTATATCTCTTTCGTGATTTTTCGAACTTGTACCAAGTAACGCAATTAAATAAACATGTAAATATACCTCTTGATGCCCAACACAGCAGAAGATTGAGAAACACAACTTTTCCAATCATTTCATAATCCCAGGTTAATTCCTCAATTTATAGTAAGTTGTATAATGTACGGCATCGTTGTATCCATAACTTATAAAAAATACCTATTGCTTTGATTCAACTTATAAAGAAACAAATATGTTGCAATGGGTTGAACATTATGCTTTGAATAGTTGTTCAATGATGGTAGAGGACAATTGGATGTCACTCGATCACCCGGTGAACCCTTTGCGCATATGTTAAAGCAGAAATTGCCCAAGGGATATTGTCAACTGTCAATAACATGCTAAATCTACATTTTGCTTTCTCATTAGAGCTTGTGGAGTTTGTTGCAATGTACATTGTACATAAAAAGTATAAACCGTGCTTTGGGTCAGTTGAATTCACAAAAAATATTTAGAAACAGTGATCGAATGTGAGCCAGTTTACATCGACTCGCTCAGTGAAACGTTTAAAGTTAGGGGACGAGGAAATGAATGATGCGTTTTAACAATCCTTGGAAATATTGATTTACTAACAAGATCATTGAATGTTAACATTGCACATCATGTCATTGTATATATCAGCTGGTATTTAAAGGTTATGTATAGTAGATATGAAAGTGTAATAGGTTACCTCGTACAAATACCACAACACATATCGGGAGAGTAGTAATATGTCACGAAACTGAACAGGTAATATTCTTATAAATGACATTGGATTAACGTTTACGCTTTTTACGTCTACGCTGGTATGGGTTGAATTAATAAAAACGGAAGTTGTTATGATTATACACTGGACGTAATGGTGTATATTTATTCCATTAAAGCCAAATAATAGTTATTCTTCCCATAAAGATTAAGATTGTCATCCTCTTCAGTTGAAATTATCTCAGCATATATATTATCACTGTCTACATCCCTTACGTTGTTTTCGTCAAGCAATTCTTTCTTCTTTATTGTGTCATTTTCACATACGGTTTCCGACACAGTGTTTATGGGTAAGTTGGTTCTTTCAGGTAATTGCGGAGGTCGAGTGCCATCTTGGGTGATACATTCAGCCTTGTATTCCGAGTTTTGTCTTGGTTTCCTTACTCTTGAGAGTGTGACACTAGTGTTAAATAAAGCTTTCTTTGTATGGTAAACGTGTACAGAATTATAACCTGAATGAATTGAAATGCTACTATATTATAATGCTAGATCAGATCAATTTAATTTAGAAGTGGACAATTAATACTATTTAGTATATCGTACATGATATAGATCAGAAAAAACAATTCTCAAATCGGTATTACCAAACTTACCCGTATTTACTAATAAGGCCAACAATTAACAGAACGCATAGGCATCCAGCTACAGTTACACCGATTATAATGCCCATTTCTAGAATTCAAATTTAAAATCATATAATCGATATCAGTTAGACAGTTTGTTTTAAATAAAAAATATTTAGAGTGCAAATATACATCGTATATGTATTTTGGCTTAACGGGATATTCATTGCGTGACAATTTCTCTATTGATATGATAGCCCAAACCATTTACAGCACATCCATATTTAGCAAAATATGGGAAAATGTTTAACAGAGTCAAATTGACCATGAATAATAAAATACTTATTTTCAGGAGGCTGCCACTTTTAACAGTTTATACAAGAAGTAATAACATTGAATTTCAAGTTTTCTATAGTAAAAGGTAAGAATGTATAAGAAGCACAAAGTCAGCTAAATATTATTTTTCAATGTTGTCTGATTTAATTCCTTAAACAATCCTTTCTTCAATTCTAGGTTGAAAAGCCCTGGAAATAGTTTCTATAGAAAATATGGAACAATTGTCTATAGCTGGTTTTGCGCTTATTTTTCGATTCTATACCACCTATGAGTCAAGTTGTGGACAATAATTTGGCTCAAAGTTAAGGAAGATAGTCTAGTTTGAGAATATGCAGGTGGTTCTATGTTTGGTATATTAACGAAGACGCAATTTACAGATTTAGTCCCTCGCTTTTGTTACGTTGACGATCTTCATGAATATTGCCAATGTGACAAGCCCGGAAGTTCTTCCATCTTGTTACGCTGACGTATCGTCAATATACGTATACTAAAACAATGCTCAGACAATTCTTGACCTAAAGAGGGCAATCACTGCTAAATGTAATGCCATAACAAGGGTTGAATGGGGTAAGGGTAATTGACAAAGGAGTGGTATCGATATGGTGAACTTTTTGAACACGCGTTCCTCCTAAAAATGATCATCAAAACATTCTAAAAATTGTACTTATCGTCATTTAATAGTCATCTTTTGGATGGTAACATTATAATTTGAAATATATTTATATTTATATGTATACTTTTCTCTATATTGTTTTAGAAAACACAGGAGACACTTCTTTTGTTCTTGGTATCATATGTTCGGAATGAAATGAAACATCTATCCGAACCTCATTGGAACAAAACGACATAAACACAACGTGTTTAGGTCTCTGAGTATTGTAATTGTACAAAGTAAATTTAAGTATCTTGTTAATGAAATAAAAGGTTTATCTTAATTTTTTATCCATTTTAGAGGGTTTTGTTTTAAATTTTTGCATACTTTTAGTTAAATCAACCAAACGTTCCTTTGTATAACTATAATATTGAGAGGTCTAAGAAAATGTTGTATATGCTATTTTGTTCCAACAATCAAGGTTCGGAAAGACATTTTTTATCATTCTCAAGAATTGGTAGAAAGGAACAAAAAACATGATTGCACTAAAAAAACAAAAACTTTTAACAAAAACAGTCATAAAAATATATATAAATAATTTTTGCATTGAATTGTTGCCAATCAGTCAAAATTACATAAAGGACCGTGTTTTTTTACAAAATGTTCAATAATTGGTTTAAGAGAAAAACATTGTTGAATTCAATTCACCATATCGACACCTATCCTTTGCCATATTAATCCAGCTCTGTCTTTTGCTTATTGTGGCCATTTGGAGCATGTAATATAAATGATGACATTAGTTTAGGGTATTTGCTTACTTCAATGGTCTCCCTTTTCCGATTACCCTGTACATGTACTGTAGATGTGCATTATCGTGTTTGGATATTAGAAATATGTTTCCATACGTATGTGCGATTGAAATATTTCTATCAGTCCCCTTTTTGAAATTACCTGATTCAATATTCGTCTTCGGTTTATCAACCATTGTATTTTTACTCTTGTTATTTGATTTGTCATCCAAACATACATTTTCAACTATAAATACACTGCTGTCTCTGTTGTTACACCTTGTTATTTGAACTCTACCCCCAGTATCGAAGGAACATTTAGACTTCCCTTCACACTGGTTCATAATTGCCTTGTATTTCTCTGGGTGGACGTCTTCAAGCGGCATCTTACACAATATATGGTCCCCTAAACAGCGGGGTTCCTCAGGGTTGTTTCTCCTACTTCGACCTAACCACATGTTAATGATAGATATATTGGTCGTCTGGGGACATTGTAGGGTTAATATCTCATTGCGACACGCTTGAATTAAAGTACCTTAAAATATATAGTTAATAGAATGGTGAAGAACTGTTGGAGTTGGTCGATAGGTGGCACGCATCGTTACTGTGCTACATACGTTCTGACACGAGCAAAATATAAGAGACCAGAATGACATCATAAATCATAACGTTTTAGAACTTTGTGATTATCGTAAAATAAACCACACATATTTTAATGACGCAACTTCAAATAGATTTCAAATTGTTCTTTTTGATTCACCTAGAAACAAGATATGATGAGAATATATATGTATATCACATTTGTCCATCGTTAGTAATATAAGCATTAAATGATAAGTGGCCATGGTTGACCACATTTTCATCCCAAATGGTCCCTAGATAATAAGAACTCACCTTCATTTAGCTTAACAACTTTAAAGAGTGAGAGTAATAACAAAATATTCCGTAATACAATTTCGTTCATTCTTGATATCACTGTACTGTCTGCAGTTCAAATAAATGTAGTTTTATCTAACTAGCCTTTTGTTTTATACACCATCATTTAAGCCACAATATTTATACAGCTGAGAAAGCAAGAATCATGTTGTTATAGATAATATGTTCATAAATATTAATTTGGTTGCATTTCTAACTATATTGTTCAAGTGTTACCTGTTTAAATCAAGAACACGTAATAAGATGACAGTGTGGCTAAATTCAATCTGGCCCAATTATTACAGCATTCTTTCAGTATGGTTAATCATCAAAATCAGTTTCAAAACATTTATAGACCAGAAAGGTGAATAAATGAGGTGACGAGCGAATACTACACATATATAGAAATCTGGAGCATTGTAGATTGGCACACTTTTTCTCCCTTTTTGCCAGTCGACTTGCCATCTAGTGTTTGGAATTTTGTATAAATCCTAAAACATTATCAAAGTAAATTAAGGCAAGCGTCAGGGGAATTTGTGGTGACTACTAAGAGTACCATTTAAAATTAAAAAGACTTAGTAAGTGGGTGATTGTGTAAGATTAACTTAAACTTACAATACCAAAGTCTTTTACAGGAAGACATGCCACTATATTGAAGAACGGAAACTTTTTCATTTGATTAGAACCTTTCTAATTTAATTATGCGGTATCTGGGGTGAAATGTTCTTATGACATCAATAGGAAAAGAGAATTTAAAAAAAGGTGGAAGGGATTTTGCGTATTTTATTGAAGAGATATAAAGAAGTCAGGAAAAAATGGATAGCTAAATATTGTGTTTTATTTTAATTCATCGTTATTCATTTTTTATCATACACATCTATTATCATAATTTTAACAGCTTTATGCTGAACATCATTCACGTAAAAATTGTACAATTGCTTTTGACAATTTGAGTATTGAATTCGAATATACATGCACACACAACGGTGAAAAAGCAGATAAAATTTTTTTACATCGCACTTGCGAGACATAAGACCAATCCTCTTATTTGACTAGAGCATGAATAGAAATAACACGTGAGGGATGTCGATGCCTCGGTATACTTAAAAGAAGTAAAAATGAACATGTTTAGGGTAATGTTTTGAAAAAAATGTCACAATCGAGCCATCATACAATACAATATACTTATTTTGAAATTGGACAATTTGTCATCTCCAATCATCATCTTCTATATTTGTCCATGTTCATTTATCTTAAATCTCGTTTTCATGAAACAAAACTATCAGGATTGTAAGGATAACATGTGGATGCTCACGATCTCGATCGCCTCTCCTTCATCAAACCATTGCTAATTATTACGACCCAAGTATATTTTTGCTCAATAGCCATAGTTACAATGCAGTTGATTTTTCGTAAATGTCATTGTTGACTAGATCGATTCCATCACTATCAAATGATTTTGATGTTTTGTTAAGTTCACAAGAGTCGTACAAATCGTTATCTATCAGACTGGGATTCTCTACTTCAGAAGGGTTCTTTCCGAAATTGACAATATCAGTGGTTGATACTGCATCTTTGATTTGGTTTTGTTCTCCTTCGAGTTGTTTTACACCGTGTTGGGATTCAACTGATGTTGCTCCACCACTGTAAATATCGTTGTCCATCATGATCGGTGTTGGTTCACTAAGCTTTACCGCCGCATCATCGTTCCTTTCTACAGGAGAATATGCGGCATTCTCATTGGCACTCTCAATAAATGATTGTCCACTGTAGATCTCATTGTGGAACACATCTGGGCATTCCACGTGTGTAGATCTACAAGGATCTTTAACTTTAGCCCCATTAATATCATCTTGAAGTTTGTCATGTTGTGGGCTTTCGATCACAACTGACAGACCACTGTATAGATCATTGTCTAGCATCTCTATCGCATCATTCTCATTTTCTCCATCTTGAGTCAAGGCCTCGTTTATAGTCTCGAGTTTTCTTGATTGCTTAGGGAGAGCATTTTCTGGCTGCTGACTAGATGTTTCCAACAAATACTCATCATTCAAAGGATTACTTATATTTCTTTCAAATGAGTAAACACTGTTTGCAGAGGCGTTCGTTGTTTTTTCCAGTGAATACTCATCGTTGCGCAGACATGCATCTTGATCATTTGATGTATCATGAAACGATGTAGGTGTACGTTGTTGAGGAATCTGGCTTGATAACACTGGTATTTCACTGTAGAAGTCATCTGGTGCTTCATTTTGTAAAGGAAGGTCTGCATATGTGTAAACATGATCATCAATTTGATCTCGATTGACATTTGTCTGCCCATATGCATAGCTATATTCGTTAGATGGTTGGCCCTTCTCGGATGCATTTATATTACCCAGCGGAGTCTTTCCTTTTAACTTCCTGCTGATGAGGGCATATAAACTTTGAAAAGCTGATTGTGAACCCCCTTTTTTACTTTTCTTTCCTTTCTTTGTTTCGTTACAAGGGCTAGTTTTCTCATTTGTAGTATTTTCTTGATTATTTGAACAGTCTTCAAAATCCGGGGATTTACTTTCGTCCCTTATCTCATTGGGGTTTGAATCATTATCTTTTATTCGTTTATCTTCATGATAGTCATCACTGTTTTTCTTTTCTATTGTATTATCATGGATTTGTATTTTATCTTTGTCTGACTTAGTATTATTTTCACGCCCTTGGTTCTTTACATCTGTGTTGGTATTCCGCAGTCCAGTTTCAATAGCGTTCACGATCAAATGAACTGTTCTATTTTCATAGATATTTTCATCAGGCGCTTTATCTATACCTCTATCAACACATTTACCAGAATTCGTCTTCTCAATTCTTTTCAAATTTGATATTGTGGAATGAAGAAAATCCCCAGTGAGGCCATCAACTGAGCTCCGGTGGTCATAAATACTGGAGTTTTTACGTTCAGCATTTGACCTTAAAGATGATTCATCCAACGAAGACTTCCGATCCCCTTTAAGTTTTCTGGCCATTTTCTCGTCGTCTTTCGTTGCCGGAGTCGATTTTGAACCATCTTGCTTGTGGTGTTGAATTTCAGATTTCCTATGTTTTTCACTTGTTGAATCCGTTGTTTTGCTTTCTAATGCCACTTGAGAGCTTACAGATAAATTTGGAGAGTGAGATTTCCTTGGTTTTTCTACTGATTTGTTCTCAACAATTTTGCTCTCGTTAAATTCGTTAATAGCAGAATCAATGTCACTTTTAGAATCTGATATCTTTTCTATGGGTTTATCTTGGGAAGTAACTGGAATTACATTTTTAACTTGGCAAGCTTTTCCAAATGAATTGACTTTACTGACGATCGTTTTAGTATTGGGTGAAAGTAAGTCTTTCATCGTTGCATCAACATTGGTTCCGTTTTGTGGTCCATCTTTATAATCGATTTTAGAAGCATGTTCAAGGTCATATAATGAAGTGCATTCATCAACAGTAGAATCTTTACGAGCCTCTATTTCACTCAGAGCAATAACCTCAATTCCTTCATCCCCTACAGAACCAGGTACATGAGAACCAAGAGCTTCACCTGCTGCATTTACATCATTAACATTTACATTATTACCCGGATTGAGTGGCTCACTTACTTTATCATAAACAGAAACGTGATTTCCATCGTCTCTACCAACAATAGTCAAGTTAGAATTACCACATTGTTTAACAACAGTTTCATTTATGATCGCTACATTGTCATGTTTATTCACAGTTTCGTCATGCCCGCTTCTATCAACTGCATCAACAGTTATCTTGTTTTCATAAGTGTTATGAACGACATCAGTCTTAGTCTTATCTATATCTCCACCATCTTGGTTAGATTCGTTGTCAATTCTCTCGATTCTTCTGGATCTAAAATGCACGTTACTTTTAACATCAGTCGTGTGGATATATCATAACAATGCCAATTCAAAAATGCGAATTGAATAATTAACCGGGATATTATATACAAAGGTGAGGAAACCTAATTACACAGGTGGACGTCGTGGTGTAATTCAAACTTTCAAAATTAGCACTTATCAAATGAATAATAAAAATCGAAATATTAAACTCAAATTGACAATATTGATAATATAAGAGCATATATGAGAATTGACACAAGAGTAAAACTTCTATTACTAGTTTTTATTCAGCCTTGACTTGATAAAATATTTGCTGTTCATTCGATGTGTCATATATAGTAGAGTTGGTGAGTGACAAATACGTTCATTATCTGCGTTTGACAAAATCAACAAAGATGAATCAACCGTCATCCAAAACTAACATAGCTCCAGAAGAAAGCTCTTGACCTATGTCATCTTAGAAATCATTTCATACTCATTTACCTGCGAAGTATCAGCACAACGGATAATATCACCATGACGACAAATGCAACTGGTATTGTGATGTATACCCAGACAGGTAGCCCTGTACATGAAATACAAAAAGGGGAATCATGGCACTAACCTTTTTAAATACAAATACTATTTCATGATCAAATGGTTTATTTAACCAGTTAATCTTAAAATTCTCTCGGAGAGTTTTAATCACGTCAGCTTATATTGCAGTCTTTGTCAACGTTATCAAAATTTGGAAAGGTATTTGGTTTAAAATGTTAAAGTTGTTTTTGAAGGATTTTTAATCGAACCTGATGGTTCCATGCTTCAAACGCGCTGCTTCAACAGTATTCTAAATACAGGGTGATCATTTAGTTCTGGGAATTTATCTGTCATTTCATTATTTTTCAACAAATTTCCTTGACATTTTCAAGGTAAATGGTGAATGTAATTTTCGGTCGGATAAAACTCATTGTCATATGATATTACAATGGATAATTGTTGTTCCAATAGCAACATGACAAATGGCATAGCGGGTCAAGCAAAATTTAAATTCATATTTATTTTACTCGATTCAAAAGTATGGTTAATTAATACCTATTTGGTGAACATATTTCTGTGATTTTTTTATATTTTCAAATATTTCTAACTTTAGTTTCTAAAGTAGCACCTGTATTGTGATATAAGAGTATACTTTGTTCTATTTTCTTACCTTTGTCAGACTGTCAAAGTCAAAATCATGACTCAAAATAGCCGAAGTTATCTTCCATTATGACTATGCTATTTCCTACTCCTCAAACTGCCAATACTTCTCTTGGAGAATTTGGGGTTCACACAAGTTGTTAATGCCCCATATTAATCATATAATATTCACCACATGAAGTACCATTAGGCTTAAGCTATTTGGGTGTTCAAGCATCATATGAGAAGTTATAAGTTTGATTCCGATAAGGAACTGATTTCAACAGCTTGAGCAAATCTTCAAGGGATACCAAATGAAAGACTGGAGAGCGTCTTTATAGACTAGGTTTGTCAATAATGCATGTGCGTCCAGATTTGCTGACCCGCGGACCACTTTTACTTTTGTTATAATTAGAATAAAATAAATTGTAGAAGTGATATGTATAGGAAACATTTGCCTGTCAATTCAGAATTATATAATGTACACCTGCTGCAAATTTCAACTCAAATGATTGAGAAATCTTGAAATGGCAGACCAATTCCTAAAACTTAATGATCATCCTGTATAAACTCCTTTATCAAATGAGTTACACAAGGTAGTCTTACCATCTTTCTTTGTTTCTCTAACCAATCCCACTGTTGTAACTTTGTCCGTACCGCCGATTGTGATTTTGGTGGTACCTCCAGTTGAACGTTTGGTGGAACTTCCATTAGTACCTCCGGTCGTAAATTTAGTGGTATCTTTAGTTGAACCGTTGGTGGTTTCTACAGTTGTCCCTTTGGTGGTTGTTTCACTTTTCCCTTCGGTGGTTTCTACAGTTGTTCCTTTGGTGGTCGTTTCACTTTTTCCTTTGGTGGTTTCCACAGTTGTTCCTTTGGGGGTTGTTTCACTTTTCCCGTTTGTGGTTTCTACAGTTGTTCCTCTGGTGGTTGTTTTAGCTCCAGTTGTGATTTGGGTTGAACCTTCAGTTGTTTGTTTAGTTGTACTTTCAAAAGTCCCTTTGGTAGAACCTCCAGATGTATATTTGGTGGAACCTTCAGTTGTACCTGTTGCGGTAACTCCAGTTGTGATTTTGGTAGTAGCGTCTGGTGTACTACTGATGGTACCTCTGGTAGTAATTTTGGTGGTGTCTTCAGTTGTACCCTCAGTTGTGAAGTTGGAGGTACCTCCAGTTGTGCCTTCAGTGGTCTGTCCAGTTGTGTCTTCGGTAGTACTTCCAAATGCTCCCTTAGTGGTACCTCCAGTTGTGATGCCGGGGGTACTTCCAGTGGGACCTTTAGAAGTCGTTTGTTTGGTGGTACTTTTAGCTGTGCCTAATGTGGTACTTCCAGTATTATTTTTGATGGTACTTTCATCTGTACTCCCCCCAGTTGTACCTGTTTTGCTATCCGAGTTCGAAGTGGAAGGTGGCATTGAACCGCTGGAGGTTTTGACAGTCGTTGTGCCATTGATTTCTCCCTCGAGCGTGCTAGTATTGGTGATCAGAGGTGAACTTGCCTCCGTACTTGCACTTGTGTTAGGGCTACCTACAACGATGTTAAAACAAGACTTCTTTATCAGATTAGCTCTTAAAGCGATTAAATTAGATTTAGTTTGTGGCATTCATTTGTCTTTTAGATCGAGAACCATGACTGGAAATCAAAACTCACCAGAACCATTGGCCGTGAAAACCAATGAGAAAACAATCAAGACGATTCTGTCCATGTTTGCTGCTGCAGCCAGTACCGCGTTTGTTAGTTATAACATAGCCAAACGCATACCTGTACTTCCTTATGTTTTGAAACTACATGGTTTATTACCAATTCAATTAGTTGTCTACCAAAATATATCAAAGACAAGTGTGTCAAAATACATTGATCACGAGTTCAGTATTTTATGGGTATACATATGAGGAAAGTGTATAAGGAATGTTGTGAAACGACACTCAATATCAAATTTAGAGGCCAGTTGTGGCAACCAATGGGGTTTATTTCCTCTAAACCCTTTCTTGCAATCATAAAATAATTTATTTCCTTTAAAAATGAAGATATCAGGGGTGTCACTAGAATTTCTCACAACAGGCTAAATAAATGAAAACAACAGGCAGAATTAGTTAAAATCATAACACTTAACATGGACCTAACAGGCGATTTTGTGAGAGAAACCTGTGAAAATCGCCTGTAACCTGCTGAAAATGAAACCTCTGAGATATATTTACTGAGCAAATTTTACAACATCAATTTTGTCATAACTTTAGATAAACGTTCATGAACATTGTCCACATAAAATATGTCGAGTGGACGGTTAATTATATATTGGTTTCACTTCCTCAAAAGTACATCAAACGATTCAAATTAATCATTGTTACTAACCAAGCAAATACAATGCCATCTTTTTAAGCATAATTTAAAATACATTAACAGTAAAAAAGTGGAAAATCGAGAATGTTTTATATCATATTACAATTTAGTATAAATCCTGGTATGTGCACTTTAAAAGTCAGTATGAGAATAAGGAAGTTACGTTAATACATGTTATACATGTTATGTGATTGTCGTACAAATCGGTCTCGGAGTTCCACGCGGGATGTACATAAAATACTAATAAATGACTTTTTAGAATACACATGATATTAACCTCATAAGTTGTAAATTAAACCCTGTATGTTAGATCTTCAAACCTTTTTTCCATAAGACCACAGGGGCGTAGTCAGCAATTGTCAAGGTGCAATTTTTGGGATTTGCATCACTGCGAACAAAGTGAGACCCAAGGGGGGAGGTACAGGGGTTCATTTACGGAAATCCTTTAAAATTTACATTGTATATAGTGCATTCTAAGCATGTCAAACCATATAAAGTGCAAATGCCTTCCATTGGTTATTCTAATAAATACTCAATATTTTAATATTCTGGTAGAAGTATTTTTAGTATAATTTAGTTTAGTATAATTAGTGACGCAAAATAAATAAGGATACACCGAATCATTATATAATGTAACATATGATTCCGTATGTAGTCTATGGTATAGTACATGCATGTATATGTCTTATTCTCTTTTTTGTCTGTTTACCTACACGCAAATGTTTCCTTTTAGTTGCATTTATCCATAGCACATCAAATTAGTGACATTTGGTTTTATTATAAATTAATTTTTTTATTAGCTTAAATCGTGATAACGAATGATATGTGTTCATGTGTGGTCTCTTCAGTAGGCACATAAATAGGAAATAGATGGCATGAGTATTTACAATAACTGTCAGGAAATTCATTTTTGAAACAATGTAACAGTTGACATCTGTTCATTAATCGTTTGTATTTTGTATAATTCACAAAACACGTTTATTCTGTTATCTACAGAAGAATGTTTTAAGTGTGCTATTTAATAAATATTTATAAATGTGGGCTCTTTTATAGATATCATGTTCAAAAAGGATATTTGTGTGGAAATACACGTGTATTGTAGTTATCACAAATAATATATTAGCTGTAAGTTGACTGGACTTTTTTTATCACGACTGCCCAGTTCTATTTGATCTTGGAGTACTTGTATTACTTAGTGAGGCCTCGTTATCAATATTGTCTTTCTCCTCAATACCTCCTTTTGCATCCTCTTTCAGCCGATCATACGGCTTTACGATGGGTTCAATTTCACTTGTAACGTTTGTGTTCTCAAGTGTTATAAAACTGTTTCTTGGAGCTTTATCACTGGGTCTATTAACATAGCTATTCCTATGTATATCAGTTGGCACATTGACATAACTATTCCTTTGTCGATTTGCACCTTTTTCTAAGTCACTTTCTGGATCACCGGGGGATTTACCCATGTGTGGATGATCACCATCTTGTTTGTTAAGTATACTAGTATACGCATATGAGTATTCATGGTCTTTAGGTTTAGATGTTGATAGATGCACATGCGGCTCGCTATAAATGCCACTAGTCTTCTTTGTAGATAGTTGAGGATCAAATGGTTTATTATAAAATGGGCTAGGTGGATTTGTACGTGGAATATCAGGGGCATTTTCAGTAGGCGGTGTTAGTCTAGCGATTCTATTTGTGTTATCATACTCTACATATAATGGGACTGCATTAGGTTTAGATTCGTCGGATTCTGCTGTGTTTCTCCTGAAAATGAATATTTACATAATTAATGTAACGTATTATATTTCAAATTTGTTATTCCAACTTAATACTTTGTATATTATTACATTTTCTTTTTTCAGCAATCTTTTTACGGATCATGAAATAAACACATAAATTAACCTACTTTCTTTTGTGGCAGAAAAGCACTATGGCAGCAATCAGCACGAGGATAGCAAGAATGAAGAACATGATGGCACCGATAAACATACCTGTAAAATTTAATAAATATCGTGAACATAATAATGGTGAAATTACAATTAGTTCCATTGCGAAATGAACAATATAGAGCGTATGTTATATTACAATGAACAATACTAGACAGACGAACGTACCCCACTACATAAAGTATGTGTTATGAATAAGAAAGGGATATTACTACATTATATAATATCATGTATATTGGTTTGTAATTTTGTCATATCCTCACCCATTACAGCTTTGTTTCGATCGTTGCTCTCGGCCTTGGCAGTAATCATCTTAGAAGAATCAGTTTGTAGAGTAACAGCTGGTACAACGGGTTCAATGGTTGTCTCTGGTATGTAAATTGCCTCTCTCGCAAACACACCACACTTCACTGTCACACTAGCTTCAGTAGCTACAACATCAGCTTCATCTGCCATCGCTGCATAAAATAAGCGTTTGTTGTTAACATGAAAAACTATATCTATCATCAAATATCCATAATATAACATTGAAGAATCGTAGAAACTGCAGCTTTGATAGTGACATCTATATTCATGTAATATATAATCATGATTAACAGACAAGCCGCGTTGAAAATTGAAACGTGATTTTCCATTAACACAAACGGCTTTATACGATGAGAGAATCATCCTGTCGATAGTGTATCAATAAGATTTTGAGATTAACAAATAACTTTGGTCTGAATTATCAGTTTAAAATGAAAAAGAGAATTAGGGTGTATGTGTCATGTCATGAACTAATTTACCTTCATATTTGATTAGCATCTTCCCTCCATTTGGGTTACCTATGTTATGTTTGTATACGATCTCTACCTCCTCCAATAATGATGACGTCATCAGTGTGGAGTACAACAGCTTTATCGGACAGGTATAATTTGACCCTATCTCCCCATTACGGAATATGAACATCTGATCTGAGTTATCGCAGTACGTTGGGTTCAATGTTAACTCCTCGACGCTGATCCTCACGACATATGGCTGGGGGATCGTGAGCTTACACCTACATGAGGCATCCATGGTGTATACTGGGGGGACACCATCGGGGATGTTTGGAGGTTGCGTCCCGGGGATGTAACCCGGGCTCTCGAGGTAACCCGTATGGAGCTGAGTTTGAAAATCGGTACACACATCGGCGAGTTCTGAAAGTTTATATTCAAGTTATCAGAGGATTAACCTAGCTTTCGACGTGATTTGCTCTATCAAGAATCCGATGTGGAGATGGGTGTATAATATAATGACGCCATTCGTATGTAATTTGCACTATAATTTCAGCACATGCTTATTCATTTCAAATAACTAAATACAGTATGACACATGTGTTATCTCGATTATTGGTTAGGTATACTGAGCGGGTAATCATTTTAGAGACAGTATTCAGGCAACATGTTATAACCTTATTGCAATGAGATATTGCCAATGAACTATAGATCTAATGGTATTATAAGTTATCTTTTATCCCGTCTATTATGCAGGGGAATGAAGATTTTTTCTGACTCACCTCTCGTAGGAATACACTCATATGATACATTAATGTAGTTAATATCGCTAAATTTCTCCTGGCATAGAATCGTCCGCCTTTTACGGATCAGTTGGCATTGTTGCCGGGCATTACATGTCTCTAATATATCATCTCTGAACCACTGAGGGTTGTACTGCTTCAAGGACACCGAACAGCTCTGGTCTGGGGTATGTAGGTTGGGGTGTGGTCTCGTTCTACATTTCTGGTGACTGTGACCATAAACAGCATCCACGACCTTGATGAAGTGTCGCGGGCCGCATGAGAGCTTCACACTGTTACATGCAAAGCTATACTTTAAACCTGAAATAAAATGGTGAATACCATTATGTTATTTGCTTATGAGACCAAACTATGTTACAATGGCAAGGTTTTTATATGAAAATTAGCTATTGAATATTATTCAGTCTTGAGGTTTGCATGAGGTTTGGTAGCCTAAAGAGGAAACGAATCAGAAAAGTTAAAGTGCAAGGTTAACATGGTTAAGTGATGGTTAAAGCAATGCTGAAAATGAAGAAAATAAATTTCCTTTCACAATGCTTCAGGCCTATATAAAGTAAATGCTTGTTTAGCAACTCTCTCCAACTCATTCAAAACATCCATGGGCAAATAATTAATGCTATCACCAATTTATTTTATTTTTTGACAGATAATTTACAATTTTGAAAAATAAAAAAGATAGCGAACCCCGGTTGCTCATTTCCTCACAAAATTCACAATTAATCGTTATTGGCCTTGCTGCCCTGGATTGTACGACTACACATATGATTTCTATTAGAACTTGTAAATGATCACCGCTTATACTCTTAAAACACAGTATGGCCTCTAGATACTATGTCAGTAAAAGCCTCTCATATGGTCTTCACAAAACACTAATGACTATTTTGCATTTGGTTAAAACAAAAATAATGAAACAATTTTTGACAGTGTTTGAACAATAACTTTTGGAAAACAGAACTAGTGAAATGTAATAGATGTTAAACACGTTCTTGTAAATGAACATTTTTTTAGAAATTGTCTTGTTTTTGGCATTTGTTAATCCATATTTATTGATTTTTAAATAATTGATGGATTTAATTAATACTTGTTTAACATCCAAGTATAATATTAAATTCTAAAAAGTAGTCCAGATTAAGTCTATTCTTTAATCAAAAAAGTAAAAATTAATCCCCTTTAGTCAAATTAGTTAAAAATAAGTCGATCCTTAAGCTTATGTTTTGTTTTTAGACGAATTTGATGTTATTTAATGAGGACCCTCACCTTGGACATGTATTAATATCCCTCCTATCTGCACCATCAAGAGCCAGTAAAATAGCTTTACCATATAGGAATGTATCAAAAGCGCCATTGCCATGGTCTAAAGTGGTAATCAGTATTATGCAATTCGTTTATAAAATTTACAATTAATCAATCAATTGTGATTCAGACTTTACAAGTATTATTCCTTGAAGGTTACTTAGTGTAATGTATAATCGATACTCCTTAAGATTCCGTTTTGCGTTGAGGCACAATTTTCGCATTCGTACAAGTATATGTCTTGTAATGAGAATGCTTTATACTTCAGTTGTTTCTGGCAGATTTACAGACGTATCCAATAAATCAGTGATGCCTTGTCCAGTTTCTTTAGCGGCTTTGACATCTATTCGTTTTCTTTGTTTTCTCTAATAACAGTTACACTAAAGCATATCGCAAGTATTGATGTTTCCTAGACCAAGACTACAAAAGGTCGGGCTGGTCTCTTTACAATGTCCTCTTGTAGAGTGCTGGCAGTATTCAGTGCAATCCAACGACGAATGGCATCTCAGAGATATTGATTTATATGCAATGTTCCCCTTCCTGGTGCAGAGATGATAGCGTCTAATTTGATAGCGATGGTTTGTGCTGGAAACCACAATTCTTTACGACTACTTAATATTAAAGATTAGTCATTTCTTTTTATTATGGCTTCTGATTGAACAATATCTATACCCTGTTTCGCAATTGCCATATAGTTCCCTTGCTCATTATCTAGCTGATACAGCCATCTGATGTTCGTGTTATTTGCGTAGAATAGAGATCATATTTACGTTGTTCGCTTTTTAAGTGCAGATGGTCTTCATGGAATGGCTATACGTTATAGATGTATTCGCTTATGTTTTCTTTAAGGATCGTACACGTGTTCACTGTACATACATATTAAGATTGTTCAAATATTGTACGTTCTCTGAAATATTGAGTTCCTAATAGCATGATATTAACCTGCTATCCCATATGGCAGTTGATTGTAATAAACTGTGATGTATACATGTGCCTGGTACAGTGACAGCTCAATAACTATCCATCTGTGGTTTAATTGATTTCTGGGAATCGTTTCCTCTTCTTGAAGAAAATTGTTGCCTTGAATATAAGTACTGTATCCGGTACCAATGGCTTTGAACAGAACCAAACAAACGACGATAATTATGTTCACTGCATGTACTGTCGATATTGTGCCAGAAATGGTAATTCCAAAAGCTGCAATGTTCACCTACAGTGCCATATGTACTAGGTTATGAAATCAAAGAGTCATGCATTTATTCAACATAAAACAAGTGTTATAGTGTCAAACTGTTCTATAGCCGTAAGGTAATTTTAGTATTTTCATTTCCCCAGTGTTTAAGTGTCTAAGCTCTATGAAAACACTATATCTATCATATCTAGTTATTTACTCTCTACGAAAATGTCATGCCAAAGTCCCTGTTTCTAACTGCCTAATTGAACTTCCTGGCCAAATGCTTCTGCGTTTCTGGTCATGGCCTTCTCAGATCAGATTACTATAGTCTTTTCCACAGATCTGTCTTGGGAATGATGTGTGTGATACCAGCGTAAATCATGTCTAAGAGGCTAAAATCAATTAACAGTTTGCTTATCACTGGGATTGATTAATGTTGATTCTACACATGTAAATATAGCTTCATACAAATCAGCTGTAGCGGATTAGATTACAAACATGTAACGTGTGTGTTTGTATTTACTAGGTAGGCTGGTTCCCTTCTGTGGATTATCCATACACGATCGTGAGTCGAGTACAGCTTGATTATTAAGTTCTTGCATTCCACCTACCCGATAACGTATCGTATCCAAGATTATTATTTGTATCCAATTTGTGTGTATCAAATTCTGGAAAACTTCGTTAACGATAAATGCACGCCTTAAAGTACTTTTTATTTACATATTGTCGTTTTTCATATACCGGTTTATATCAATCCAACATATTAGTCCATGGTAGTCCTTTCATTTTGTCTGATTTAACTGACACTTAACGAACGCAGACTCCCTTAGTAAAATGTATTTGGTATACACAAAGTCTTAACCGATGCAATGTATTTTCAAGTTGACATGTGCGCAATGTGTAATGTGCGTATGTACACAGCGTCGCAAAAACACATCCCATTAGAAGTCTATTCGACCTCCTAAGGTACATGTATATGTGTCTATAAGTGTCGAAGGTGAGCTACAGGTATGCTGTGTTGTATTAGTGGTTTACCTTTATCCTCAATATGCGATTACCTTTGTATTTATCGAGGTTCATCTGTATCAAGCTATATACTTAATATAAAACCACACTGTGTGAGTATACATTTTTTTACCGCAATTTACAAAACCACCGTATCACCCCGGATTAGCCTGACTACGGTAAAGTCAGATACCGTTGTCACAAATGGCGGACATGACCGTCGCTTCAATTAGATTTTCATGAACTGTATGTTTAATAGAGTACCTAGACTAAATTCCTTTGGAACAACAGTCAATCAAAGTGTCTTAATACTCATTGTACAGTTAATAATGTTCTACCATCGAAATAAAGTCTTTCATTTAACCGATCAAAATGAGATACGGGACAACGGACACTGTAATTACCATATGCCGTTGTCTTTCTAAATTACTCAAATTCAGATTCCGTTGTCATTGACGATATCGAAGAGGCTATATTGTGGCGATTCACGACCCAATTTGATCGAAAATGGGATTTCATATTATACATTATCACAAGAGCTTGATGAATGCACAGAATTAACGACGATAAAATCCCATGAAATGAGGACCAAGTGATTAAACAGTTGAAGTGTCCGCCATTTGTGACAACGGTATCTGTCTTTACCGTAGTCAGGCTATTCCGGTGTGCGTATGTAGGCCTTTATTTTTACTTTTAGCATATATCGTAAAGGTGGACAAGTAGCAAAAATTCAATAACAATAACTCACCATGTGAGCTAAAGATAAGTATATATTTGTATAAGTTATTGTTATATGTATATCAGTTTGGCACATCCATAGGAAAATGCAAGATATGATCCAACCAGATATACCAGACTATTCAAAGGGGAAATGAGTAAAAATATCTTTCTTTTTAATAGCATGTATTAGAAACACCCAATATGTTTTATTTTATTTTATGATTCTGAAAATCACGGATTTCCTACTCAATCACATGACTCAGAAGTATAACGGGATTGGAGCATTTTGGAACATTTTTGCCTGATGAACATATTTATCAATTATTAATAAGAAAAAGTGTGAAAAAGTCACTTAGACTTTAGAAGTGTTTTGTTGAAGACCAAAGATGAATATTGATTTTTAAAGCAATGGCTGATAGAGTCTGGTGGTGAGTCATTTTACGAAGATGACATGAGGGGACCGGTTGAATCTCAGGAACACCGATGGAGATGACATCTATCAATAAAAATATTTCAAAGTTAACTTACCATTCTGATAAACGATATTACTGATATTTTGATAAGACTGGAAAATATGTAAGTACGTTTTTTCTCGATCTGAAATTTTCTATATAAACAAAATCAGTGGTCCCCACCTGGTTATAAAGACGTTACGTCTTTTTTAACGAAATTGATGATCTTCCGTCGGGTGGATTTTTTAGTTTTATCATTTTAACAAAGAAGAGGGTCGATATGTACCCAAATATTTTACCATTCTGTTAATAGAAGCATCTGGTTACTGAATATCGAATCAGTCACGAGTATATACATCCAAGGAATCAATAATCGAGTGAGAATTCAACACCTTAGCAACCAGGAGGTTACCTTGTGAATTGCATGTCTTGGTTGCTTCATATTGGAGAGTTTAAGCTAGTACATGGTGTTCCGAAAGTATGCCCCCCTAGGCAGACATATACCAATTCAATGTCTCCATAGTATGTATCGTATACCATTTTAAAGCTCATCCAAAGTTCCCTGATTTGCTAAGTATCATGGTTCAACTCACAAAACTCATAAAAGTTTCAGGCATTTCAAAATTTAGTGTTTGGCCAAATTTAAAGTTCAGTTTTACAACAAATTAATAGTCGGTGTGTCACCTGTAGGCCATGTTGACAGCAGCAATTCTTTCGGATATGCCTTTAAAAGCGACTTAAATATAGATGTGTGGTATTTGGACTAATTAGCGCTTTTTTGTATGTGCGCGTTGTTAAAAAAACATTGCTTAAACTCTCCAGTATGACCCATTAATGTTCTTGTTGCTGAGTCGAGTAATTCATATATAAATACGAGTAAAATATTTGGATACAAATCGACCTCCTAAGACACTAATAAGGTAGAAAATCACTACATTTTTAGTTTATTTTTATGCCAAGGTTTAAAATGACATTACGTCGCTTAAAATAATTCATCAAAAGATGGCAGCGCTATCAACCCGATTATAAATGAATTTCCCCACTGCCATCTTTAAATCGGCTTACATTTATCCGAATCCTAAGCTTACGATCTCTGCCACGTCTCTCTGTCAAGAGCGAAAGCTGCCGGTTGCATTGCCAGGATCATTGGCAGTCAGGCAGCTGTGAGTTTCAAAATGTACTGATAATTGACTATTTAAACCTTACCGAACCAGTAATTTCGGTATTATCGCCAGGCTCAAGTTGATTGTATATTCGCATACATCATTTGGACCAAACGGTAGGTAATGACCCCTATAATATACTGAACAGATCGAGATCGCCCTCTCGATCGACCATGTCAAAACGTTTTTGATAGACCCGTCACCGGTCAACATAACTCTGACCTGAAGTCCGTACATATACATCAATACTTTGTTCAGGCCTAAAGCACGACCTTATCTATTTACTTATAAGTGTATTTAATGTACGCCGCCATATCTGGTTGTTGTTCACAAAAGGCCTCTAGTTCGAATACGGCGTGGTGCTTGTATATTCAGGCTTATACAGATACAGACGCAGTTTATGCAGTACAAGAATCTTGTCAATATATCAGCAAATAATCTCCATAAGCACTACACATAGAAGCATTTTCTGATAGTGAACACTGTTTGGGTAAGTTTCTTTATTCTAACTTATAAACACCGTTTAAACACTGGGGTGGTATAAGTGTAGTGCACGTATTCTATTCGTATTCGTAGTTCTCGCGATCGGACATACTGACACAAATGTCACATGATTTATGTTGAACTGTCGGAGCCATTTATTTAGGGGGTTGCAGTACGTGGCAACTTTGTGTCAACGATCGAGTCAAAATAGTAAGTGAATCAGAGGTGTGGCCAACACATACACACCTTGTCAACGCAGCAAAAACACATCCTTACTAATAACGTCGCGAGGCTGAAAACTATCCACCGATACTGTACTCCAGTTAACTACCTGACAGTATGTAAATGTATTTTATCAATACAGCAAATTGAAAATTTGCTCGCGAAGGCAAGTGTAAATATTAATTTACTCCATTCGATAACTCCAATAAGCAACTATACTGTATTTAATCTCGACAATCCGCTAGTATATTGGAAATTAATATTTCCTCGACAAAACGCTGAATAATAGCTCATAAAAGGAGCTGTTCACATCGCCTCAGTATGTTGATTTATCGAGGAAATGTTACTGTTGCCGAAGACGTTGATTCTATCGTAATCAAAGGCTAGACATCCTTTATTAGTATGTTAAGCTGTAAAGAGTTTGTGTAATTCATTAACACTGCGAATAGAATCAAATAGTCGAGAGACGGGGAAAGACAAGGGAAATCGACAACATAAGTTCGTAAAGAATGCCATACTGGCTGAGATATTGAAAGCGATATGTTCCATACACTGGACTCGTGAAGTTTAATGTGAGGATAGACTTTTACCTACTGGAGATTCGTTAAACACGGGAGGTACAATGTACAATTGCCAAGAACACGCCTGGTTAGAGTATTGACTTACATCCAGGACAAGCAACGTGATATGCCTGTCTTGGTTATTAAATCAAACGGTTAAAATCTAACAGTTATGTTTAGACTAGATGCAGTGTCCCTTTTTGGTGTTAATGTATTGAAATGAATGAGTTAATGCTACATAAACAAATGTAGGAAATGTATAAATACATCCAGGTGGATCAGTTAGTTCTGGTAAGGCAAGTGCTAATGATTTGATATAGGCGTAAATCACTTGTACTTTGTGTACTTATACTTCAAAACTCAAGATCAATAGGGACATATATAATTCAGACATGCACGTTTCTTACAAAGATAAGGACAAGCTACACCGCTGCAAGTATTCATTCAATAACGTATTTTTCTTAATTTTCTAGACATGGCTGGTGTACTGAGAGGACGGGAGACGGTTGTTGAAGCAACAACGATCTATGATTATTACGAACGCAAGATAAACAACACTCCAGGGACTGCTGGATTGGAAGCTATACGCTACAATGGAAGAAGCATCACCCATGGGAAATTGAATGCCAAGGCAAATATTCTCGCTAAAGCAATATTGAAAAGGATTGAATCCTCCAGTGGGACAGTAGATCCGATTATTGGTGTGTTTATACAGCCGAGTGATGCTCGAATAATTGCGATTCTTTCAATCTTCAAATTAGGTGCAGGGTATGTACCGCTGGATCCAGTTCTTCCAGCAGAACGAATCAAGCATATCGTCAATGAAGCGAAACCGTTGTGTATAATCGCATCAAAGGAAAATAAAACACTATTTAACAATGTCGAAATACTCGGAGTTGATGTCTTCGAGATTTCAGAACTATTAGACAATGAAGAGTCCATATCCGGTGACAATCTTATCCCGAAAGAAAGACTATCAAATGCTAAGGACCCACTTGCATGTGTCCTGTATACGTCCGGGAGTACAGGTACTCCCAAAGGAGTGAAACTGCGTCACAGTAATGTTATGAATAGACTTATGTGGCAATGGGAGACGCTTCCGTTCAAAAAAGATGATGTTGCATGTGCTAAGACTTCCATACTATTTGTTGACTCACTCACAGAAGCATTTAGTGCGTTGTTAGCGACTGTCCCGATTGTGATTGTTCCCAAGTCTGATACGCAGAACCCTGAGATTTTTGTAAACATTTTGAGTGAAAACAAAATTACTCGACTCGTTGTTGTCCCGTCGTTGCTAAAAAACATACTACTCTATCTCCAGTTAAAACAAGATTCAACGTCTCTAAAGCAACTGCGAGTTGTTGTCACAAGTGGAGAAATCTTGCCATCACTCCTGCTTACAGAATTCTTCAAAGCATTTCCAACGGGCTGTATTCTAGCTAACCTGTACGGGAGCACCGAAACAACAGGAGACATCACTGCAGAGCTTTTCACAAGTGATGACATCACAAACAAAATAACAAATGGAAAGGTAAAGATAGGATCTCCTATTGACAACTGCAACGTCTATCTATTAGACACAGACATGAAACCAGTCCAGGATGGTGAACTTGGCGAGATGTTTTTCAGTGGCGCAAACATATCTGAAGGATATATGGATCGAGAGAAAATGGTTCAGTTTGTAGCGAATATGATAAGTCCATCTCCCAACCATGAAATTCTTTTCCGATCTGGCGACTTTGGACGAATCATTGACGGTGGAATACTATACGAGGGAAGACAAGACGCTCAGGTTAAGATAAGAGGTCACAGGGTAAACTTAACAGAAATAGAAAACGTAGTGTTAAGAGTGAATGGAGTCGATAAAGCTGTAGTGATAGCTCACGAGACGAATGAGTCTAACAAAGTTCTTGTTGCGTTCTTTACATGCCTAACCGGGGAAGATCTTACAGAAGTCGTCAGGACAAAGTGTAAGGAAAATGTCCCGACGTATATGGTGCCACAGGTGGAGCAATTAGACACGATGCCACTTCAGAGCCACACTGGAAAGGTCGATAGGGTAAATCTCAAAGTGAGATTCGCTGCAAAGTACGCCAAAGCCAAAGATGACGACGATGCAGTCAAGATGCCCGATCCAGTAGCTGATGTTATATTTTCTGTGATTGCTAAAGAGTTGGGAATTTTCAAAACATCACTCAATTATGAAGATAATTTCTTCAATGTTGGAGGAAACAGCGTGAACGCCATGTCCGTCTTGATGAAGCTAAAAACACATGGCGTTTCGATCGGGATAACGGATTTCATAAAAGCTACCTCGTTGCGTGAGGTTGTACAACTTGCCAAATCTTCCACTGGAAACATTGCGTCTTCCATCCCACCCGGGAAATACATCGTTAGATTGCTCAATGACGATCCAAACTTAGAGGAAGCTGTCCGCCTGAACGCAGAAAACTTTTGCTCAAAAGAATTCATGACAGAGTATCTGAAAATACCAGTTGATATGTTTGTCAACTTCGTCAACAATTTCATGCCACAAGTTCTTGAAGAACGTCTGTCTATAACTGTCAGGGATGCAAACACTGGGACATTACTTGGTGCTACTTTTAACGTAACTACGGAAGGGGAATCCGATGTCGTATGGCCTGATAAAATGCTTCCAATAGCGGCGTTCTTGGAACAAGGCGAGGGACCATTGAAAGAAAAGACTGCAGAACTGGGTGGTAAATGGGTGGCCTCTTTTGTAGCAGGGACAAACTTGTCTTTGTCTTTCAAAGAAAATCTCGAATTGATGTGGTTAATGGAGAACGAGAGTTTGAAAATAGCACGAGATGCTGGCTACGATGGCTTCACTTCAGTTAACACCCACTATGTCACATGCGTGAGTTGTTATAGGCTATACATTCATAGTTCAAAGCTTTAGAATATACTATCGTTCCACACCCTAATATGATTAATATATGATCAGGCTTGAACGTTATTATCAATTTACCCCGACCCTTAATTAGAAACTGGTTATCATTGACTATATTTCTAAACTAACATTAAATATTTTTTTTTTTTGAATAATTTGCCCTGGAACTGTTGGAATGACATCTTACGGTATATCATATCGTCATATCATATCATGTCAAATCGTATCATATCATATCAAATCGTATCATATCATATCGTCTTAATCAATTCAATCAATAAATGGTAGAATTTACTGCATCGGTTCATTCATACTTATTTATAAATTGCATTTTTATACATTGCAGGATATGGCTGAACATACGTTTGGATACACAGTGGTTAGCGTTAATAAAGTCAAAGACTTTATTTATGATGGGAAACAAGTGTTCAGTGGCTTACCAGACGATTTGTATGGAAAGGGGGCGTACATTCAATTAAAAACAGCACAGATAGAAAATACATGAAGACCAGAGACGAGTTGAGAGAAATTGTCACAATATTTCTTGGCGCACAACATTCGATGTATCGTCTTTTTATAATGAGTCCAGCATTTGTGTTTTTTTATCACGATGATCTTTATTGTTAAATTGCTTCAAACACTGGTGATCCGCTCGATTACGCTGGTTACCGAGACGGTTCGTTTCGGTAACAAAATGCCGGAACGTTGAAGGAACGATTTAACGAAGGTACGATTGGGATAAAAATGTCGTGAGGATTCTGCCTACATCCGCCGAATCGTTTCGGTAACCAGCGTAATCGAGTGGATCACCGGTGTCAAAGACATAGCTTAAACTGCTTCCAACACACATGTTTATTGTACCATACACATAACATTTTCAACATTTTACATACATCTTAGTCAGGCCAAATCATGAATCACACCAGACACTATCTTATTTTTAAAATGTCGTATTTTTATACCGTAGTTATTTTTACAGTAGTCAGATTGACTTTTATCAGCAGATAGCGCGAATTGGTTTTATCCGCACATTTCGCTTTAAATTTAGGACGAAATAAATATATTGACAGTAAACCAATTCGATTAATGTTAATCATGAATCAATTTATTCCATCTTGAACTGGAAATACATACCGTCAGAGTTAAAACCATAGAAGGTTTCTCCTTATGAGGTCACACTGGTTGAAACAGTAAAATGAAGCACACCCTTTTCAGTTAGCCCTACTATTATATGTATTCGTGGAATAAGTACCAAATTAGTCGAGCAATCGAGGGTTAAGAGAATAACGTTAATTGTTCCATGAAAATACTATTAATGAGCAATTTTGACAATCTAAACATGTTTTAAAAGGGGAAAGATTTTGAAAAACGCTTTTTACACAAGTGAGTTATTTCACAGTTAAATTAATTTAAACTAACTTTTAGGAACTGAACTTGAATCTTGTTGACCCGGTTACCCTTTACAACGGCTGGTACCTTGGTTGGCAATCACTTGTCATTGTTCGAGCTCACGTGACGTTCAATACTTACTATTCACGACTACTAGAGACACTCAATCACCTGACATGTTCCATATAAATGAACACTGAATAGCAACATGTACGTGTTTTGTCAAGTTTTAGACGGTAAACACCAGACGTGATTTTTTTAGAAAGATGTTTTCAAGCAATCGAGATTTAGCTTCAAAGTTCGAAAGTCACAGCTGTCTGACTGCCAATTTTTATTTATTCAAATATCATCAATATATACGTCATGGTCTGCCTGCCAATAAAAACAGTTAACGCTCTTGGCAATGGACCGAACTTGAAAAACAGTTGCCTGTTTGGCGATGGGCTGAATGTAGCTTACCCTGCGTGCAGAGTCTAGTTAAACTAGAAGACGAAGCTCTCTTTTAAGAAGTGAAGTCAAACGAATGCAAAGGGTAAATGTAGCTTGCAATTATTGAAGCTGAAAACTGAGAATTCAGCTGAACATTAAGGTTCAGATACAATAGTTGATATCTAGGCCGAATGCAAATGTGGTAAATAGTGGCAATCACGTTGTTCAACATGAGTCATGAACCCTGGCTGATTCAGCTTGTTGTTTAGAATTTCTAAAAATATTACGAAACTTGCAATTGAAGGTCATAGCGTTATGTAATGACAACTTATACAACACCGGTTACCTTGGCAGTGATTGTATCATGAAGTTTGCTCCTTGGCGTTTTTTATCAAGGTCAAAGGTTAGGTTATAGGTCAAAAGAAAGATCGAGCAGAGAATCTGCGACTCTTGAGGTAACTGTGTGTGTTTTTTGACTTCTTATGCTATCCTCATTGGAGTCACATGCTATTTAAAGGAACACACAATTTATTCCAAGTCCAGTCTACATCTTTAAATTTTGCACAACGAGTGCTCTAATGTACCTAGCTAGAAAAGAGTGTGAAGAATATTGTTATAAGATGAATAAAATGAACAAAAAGTGCAGAATAAGCAGGTCACTGAATTTTCTCATTTCTCAACCAACCCTTTATCGCATTATCTATATATGGCCTAGGGATAAGACGGTGTGCTTCACTACAGTGGTTTAAATCTCATTTGTTCTTACGTCTTTTTTTTGTCTTTTATCATACATTACAATTAACACACTTACAATATCCATTTTCGCATATTCGTATCCCCATTTTAGAGACTATGTTTTATGCGTGTCCAGGAGACACGCGTTTTATGCGTGTCCAGGAGGACAACGATCTCAAGAAGATTATTTTGTCATCTGAACCTGGGTTTCTAGGCTGCATCGTCCCTCGGACTTCACTAACTTTTATATCTGGACAAATGCGACATCCTTCTAACCAGAGTTAAAATTGTTGCTTTTAGCCTTTCCCATTCTGCGTATCATTCAATCTGTTCAAGTTATGCCTAGGCCCAGTGACAAAATAAGTTACGTGGTGAATACGCTCATTGAATACGCCTTAGTACCCCATACTTGAACGTGTTACAGGTACATAAAGGAGATTTGTAAAAATGTATATTTTCACCAGCGGGCAGATATAGCTTTACGTCCCGCTCCGAGCGGGCAGATAAAGTATATCTGCCCGCTACGTCATAATCGACATTCGCATATCATTTTTGTACGTTCTCATAATAACTGTAAACGACAATGGAAAAAACGGAAAGAATCGCGATCTGTTTCATGGTGTAAAGAAGGGAAGGAGCATCCTGTTAATAAACGAGATTCGAGAAAATAAATGTGGATGAATATCTGAAAGAATAGGAAAATCCGGCCACTGTCAAGAAAACAAAACTGGACATGAATATTGGTTGGAATATTGGTTGGACACTTTCTGAACTTGACCATTTAAACAATGTGATCAGATGACCTATTGGAAAATCAGTCATTGATGACACCCAATGCCTAACATCAGTTAAATTACGATTTACAGTATATCGACGAGACCTTAGGACTAAGGTCCGGTGTGAAAGAAATGATGGTCCCCCAGGGATTATGGTCCCCTTTCTTAACGGCCCTTACTGGCCCTGATTGTGTATAAGATAATGAGGGAAAGAGTTGTATCTAGGTCACCATATAAATCAATGGAGAGTAGGACCATAATTTGATAGGACCTCCTACCCTTTTACACCGGTACATAGGGAAACTATTCACAAATGAGACCTTTGGCCTTAGATAAGTAAATAAACAATATTTGATATATCAACGAGACCTTAGGCCTAAGGTCGGGTATAAAGGGAGACCATTTATTAATGGAATCTTAGGCCCAAGGTCAGTTAAATATAAGTGTGACATCTGACCTTTGATGACCCATGTTAAGTGACCTAAGATCAAGGTCATTCCAAGGTCAGAGGTGGATTTATTGATATTAGGCATTTTAATGCGTTTTTGGGGCTGTTGTGACCCCTGGCGACCCATGATAATGTGGCCTGAGGTCAAGGTCAATGTTTATGGGTCAACGTCATTTCAAGGTGAAATATTAATATCTAAATGTGACTCTTGGCGACCCATGATTAGATGGCCATTGAGATTATTGATATTCCAAGGTCATATGTTAAAATCTAGTTATTTGGTATACCTTTTTTACTTTCACCGACTTCGACAATAGAGTCCCGATACCGACTTGATTACTGTAAATCGATACAGTAATTGCATATTTTCAAAATTTATTTTTGAGCATGAACTCAATACTTTCACCGAAATAGAGATATGATTACGATATAATTTACTTTTAATATGAAAATGACTGTAAACCCGTCATTTATCTTGTTATTATTTTAATGAATGTAGTAATGGAATAGGTACTCACACGTTACGAAATATACAGACGTTTATGAATGGTTTATTTGTAATCCATATTTATTTGAAAAGTCATTAAATTATTTGAATAAACTATTTTTGATTATTGTAATTATTGTGAATCATATCCAATGTCTTTTAATATTTTGGGCATCTCCATTGATTTAATTGTTTCAAGTTCGTCTCTTTTCCAGACATCAATTTTCCGAGTTTAGTTGATAGGCGAGTTTGTAGTTACGTTTGAATTTTTATTATCTTAACCTGCAATGAAATAACTTATAATATTGATGGAAACGTAACTTGACTTTATTTCCAATACCTCCAAATTTTTCCAATTTTTTCCTCAATTACAGTAGGTCGAAAATTGATGATAAATTTGATGACTTTTTGAAAATTGTCATTCCCATGTAAACCGATTCAATAATTGTTACTATTAAACTATCTAATGTGCAAAAATTAAAGAATCTCGTTGGAGATAATACCCACTTTTTGCCCCTTGCTTTCCTATTCCCCAACACGGGGTCAAAAGCATTCATGCAATTAGAATTTTAAATGAATGTTATGTTTTTGCTTTTCAGATTCCGAGTTCCTCATTTCAAATTACGAACTGCTGTTTTGTGTTACATACAAGTATAAGCAATTATACAGTAGAGAAAAAGGAAGATCGGATGATTGTCAAGTAACATGAATGGAAGTTCATGGTTTCGATTAGTTGTCTTTGAATGGATCATTAAACACAAACACGAATGAAGAATTGATGCAAATAAAGCAGGTAAGATTCAATATGAAGTGCATTCCAAGGATGAACTCGATCATCCGTTTAGATTCCATGCATAGTAAATTTAAGAATGGCTAACTACATGCTAGTGTCTAGCTTCCTATTATGCTGCCTATGCCTGAGTGGAGCGGTTGAGTTCAGGAGGCCCGAAAGTACTGATGACGTCGTAATATTTGGTATGTACTGACTAATGTAACATTGGTATCGATCTGACTTTTATCAGTTTTATTTCCTTTAAATACTGTTAAGACGTACTTCAATTTTTTTCAAAATCATCTACAAGTTTCCAGAAATTCAAATCTGACTTTAGATTTAGGATTTCACCTTCAATCATCTTCTCAAGGTCAAAAGGGTATTTTTCAACTTTCTTCAAATTGACCTTTTTTCAAAATCATCCACAATTTCTCAAAAATTCAAAGACTTCAGATTTGAGATTTGACCTTCAATGACCTTCTCAGGGTAAAAAAGGGAAATCGTTTTTTCATCTTGCTTCAAATTGACAATTTTTTTCAAAAATCATCCTAAGAAGTTCAAATCTGAACTGAGATGCGTGATAACAACTTCAACAACCTCCTCAAAGGTTCTTTTTCAACTTGCATCAAATTGACCAGTTTGTAATTTCAAAATCTCTGACTTAAGGTTGAACTAATTATATTGTGAGCAACTAAGTGGTTACATTTTGTCATGTTAATGCCTCGTTTGTAAATTGTATTTGATTTACTACTCTTATATTAACTTAATACGATTTTCTTTATTGCTACACATAACATGTATATACACATTGTCAGTTTTGTTCCAGGCGATGAAACCGATTGTAACAAACCTTTGCGTTGTCCCAGAGATCTTGTATTTGCCATAGATATATCATGTTTTGTATCTAATCGATCGAAAACTTTGATGAGGAATTTTATTCGTGAATTAACAGCCAGACTGTACATAAGTCCTGGCGCATATGGTACAAGGGTCGGACTCGTCACGTATAGCAATAGTTATTATCATAAGATGTATTTTGAAGAGGCAGCTGACAACTTCGAATTGCGGAATATTATACGCTACATGGATCTCAATCAGCCAAATATGTGCTTCAGAAGGACAGATCTGCTCTTGAACTCCATACGCCTTCGTTATTTTAACCCTCATATTGGTGACAGGGTGGTGAATAAGTATGCGAATACAATCGTTCTGATAACTAGTGGAGCCACGTGGCCTTCGTCTTATTCACAACAGGCGATTATCGAGGCACAGGAATTGACAAAGATGGGAGCAAAAATTTTAGTTGTTGGATTCTTTGAACCTGAGATTCCGAAGTCTAATGTTACTACATCACCTACAACAGCAGCGCCTATTAACAATACTACACAGAATGATACCAATACAACCCCGCCTACTTCCCCAAGCCGCAGCTCAGATACTACCCCAGCCTATCCTACGACAACGGGGGAAGTTTTCCGGACAGGGGAGCAGATCAGAGCTATGGATGAATGGGAACAACTAGCAAGCAATCCCTTTAGTAAATATAGATTCTTTGTAGAGGACTTGGAGAAATATGTTACATTTGTTAATCCAGTCATGAAAGTTATGTGTGACAGTAAGTATGAATTATTGCAGTATTTGATGTATCATCCTAATGATTCAAATAAACTTCGTTTGAGATTATAATTGTTATTACTTGAAAATACCCTGGTATTAATAGAAGGCTGTTCTCTTAAGATATATTTCCATTAAAATGGAATCAGCAATATACGGTTTAACGAATATTTGTTCAAGTAAGGTAATTTGCAAACAGGTACATGATTTGACGTTTTTCAATTTCAATCAGCATTTCTACATACATTTTAGCTTACAAGTCGTGTACCTCAGATAAGATTGCATGTGCTCCGAAACGGCTTTGCTGCGGATGTGACTATATGTTTGTAGAACCAGGGCTAGATCAGGTGAGTCCAATCGATACCCCAGTCACATTTGATCTATGGCAACCGTACAACGACCATAGCTTCTAAGATTCGAGAGAAATATGCAGCATGAAATATAGGGATAAAAATTAAAGCGGTACGATGTAAATTTTCTATATCGATTAAAGTGAAGCTAGAGCCGCTGTACGGCCTGCGTAGATCAAATGTGACTAAGTTTTAAAAAATACAGTTCATATTGATATATTGAAAATGCCTTCGTGTAGGTTAAGACATCCACCTGAAAAATAAGCTGGTTAAATTCAATTTAAAAGAGTATAGCAATTTCTTAATAAAATACGCCAAGCAATATGATTCATTTGATATATTTTACAAATGTTCAAACAAAAGAAACTTCCGATTCGATTGTAAAGATGGCATGGGAAGGCCATACGACCAATGCGATATGCTATCAATGCATCAAATATACTCAGCTATTTGATCAATTTGTCTAATATGTTTTATCAGTTAATTCGTCTGGCAATCAACCAGGTAGCAAGATAACGAGCGGAGCATTCAAAGTCCACTATAATTATCTCCATCGTCCATTTATACATTTTATTGTTCTAGTTTTTTTTTATAAAAAAAACATTGAATATACATGTACATTGTCTGCCCATATTCCACTTTTCTTTTCAGACAATGATGTGGCCATTCCTTGCTGTAATGTTGGGTAAATGTTTAGAAGAGGGTTGTATCAGAAACCCAGAAGGGTACTGCAAAGGTAAGTACGGTGCTTTAAATGATTAAAGATCATAATATACAGTATATTTATACGTGCAGGGAGATTTTCGGAATTTTTTCAATTTTTTTTCAATGTTTTTTCATTTTTTAAAGCGAGAAGACATGCCCTGGAGCGGGAGATATGCCGGGATGTATGGAGGTTCTGAAAAGGGAAACCTCAAAATCAGGATACGAGATATATCTTACAAACGTATCTCCCTAAGACTCTTCTTGGCATAGGATAAACAAGTATATGTATTATTGTAGTGACTCGGTTGCCCCCCGTTCCGCCATGTTTGTCCGCTGCGCTGTTGAAACATGCTCTGGTTGAACTCACCAATTTGCAGCTACTGCAAGGCTACAGCTATGTAGGAATAGTAAGAGACGTTATCTATATCTATCATGTATAGTTTATACGAACCACACCGCATATTATGTAATATATGTAGGGTAAATGTGGTACTACCATTTTCCAAAAAGGTAATCATAAAAAATAGGCATATCCATAATTATAAATTTTAATATATTTTTACGTATTGCTTTCTCCGAAAATTTAACATAAATGGTTGCTTTTTTGAGTTGGCAATGAACAGATTCGTACTGGCAGAGCATGGATCACCACAAGGAAAATAATGTAATATTGTTCTAAGAAGTAGGCCTTGCTGTTACTAAAAACTCCATGCGTCCATGACAATATGATTATAGAGCAAAGTCGCCTTACAGATGCACATGTGAAGTGTGCAGTATTGTATTACATAATAAGGTTAATTCCCGAATGTTCTTTGAGGCTTACAGGTTCTTTGAGACAGATCTGGACTTAGATGGATTCTTTGGGATGTTCCAAGCTGCGTCTAATTACAAGGGAGCCAATTTTGCAAAAATGACTGAGTTTCAGATAAAGAGGGGAGTCTCGGCAACTTTCTTCAATCTGAAGGTATACTTACGTACACTATAATCAGATTATGAAAACAATTTTAAAAAAGCATAGAGGGAATTTGATGGAAAATATTTCAGATGATGATACAAGCAAATTTATTGGCTGAATAATTTTTATGCTATTTACCTCTTATGTATATTTTTGTTCATTCTGATACTTTAGGATGCAATGAAAGCAAGATGTCAATCATGTTTTAAAGTTTAGTTAAAACAACAATATTTCTCTTTACTGCCAAGAATTTGGCTTATGTATTATTAAGGAATGAGAAGGCCCTCAGAATATAAAAAGTTGTAAGCAATGTAAACGGCATCGCAAGGTTAAGACTAGAATTTAGAGGACACCAAATGTAAGGTACAGTAGGGTAATTATGCAATCCGGTACTGTCCTGTCGTTGCATACTACTCTTGTTGCAGATGCAGCTCCTATAGTGACTCACACAGCAAGGATGACATCGAAACAATTTTCCGTCCTTTTCTTGGGCTATGCTTCGCAAGAGACATTTGGAGGCCTACTTACTGTATATTCAACTGTTGTACACATGTAGCTACACATACCCTGACGAAGAGTCAGTACGTTAGTAATTTTGTAAACTTACTATATGCTTTACTTTAAATTTGTTATAGCTACCTAATAACTTACGTATCAACAATGGCGTTGAGGCCTTGTATATAGCCATGGATATTGAGAAACTGTTATTTGAAGGTATGGAAGAAGTAATTGCATTATCCGAGAGACATAACGATGCGGAGGTGAGTGATTCGATCTGCCTAGAGTATTTTTTCAATTTTCCAAAAATGCCAAGAGATACTGTTTAATTTAGATGTTATTGAAAACTTTGGTAAAGGAATAAAGAGACAATGCAAATACGCCAAAATAAGTTCTAAAGGAAATGTTTTTTCTTTCTTTTCAGTTAGCAGGATTTATGAAAAAGACCATACTACCAGGGTCGATTAAAGCCAGGAAAGAAGTAGCACAATATATTGCACAATATCATTTACTAGGACCTGATATTGGAGAATACATCCTCAACAAGATTCTTAGGGAAAAATATCCCATCGGAAATGTCAATTTATTTGGAATACCTAGAAAAATGAAATCCTCTGCGAAAACAAACGACGTTGATAATAAAACCGAATTGTGATCGAACATTGTGTCATTGATATTTGATAACCTTTTTATTTTGGAGATATCCAATGGTCTCCTAGGCCTACTCCTACACCAGTGTAAAATTGCCAATAGTTTTAATTTCTAAAAGCAGACAGCATGTTGATGGAATAAATAAGTTGTACACCCTTTGTTGCAACGTACCTAAAAAGAGCGGATCGTGACTATGATGGATTCATCTGTATGTACAAATTACAGGGTGTCCAAAAGGTAGAATTACCCGGTGACACTTTCATATATTTATGATAATTAAATTGTCTTTCAGATGACTATATTCTGGGAATATTGCTTCATCACTCACAAAGTTAGTTCTCGTTTATCTCGCTACTGTCATGGGAAATGGATGATTGTTCTTAAACGAGCTTTTCTCCAAAATAAGCAAAGTTACTTTGTGGAATTTTCAGATCTTTATGATTATCAACTCGCCTGTCAGATGACTACGTTTAAACAATATTCCTTTCACACTCAGATTTCCCAGGGGACACCCTGTACATAATGTTTCCAAAATGACTTGTACAGTGCTGACCAATGCAGCATCGGAGCGATGTCTATTGCTGTTAGCAAGCTCCTATGCCAGCTCAATCACAAACTTGACAATTTACTTTTAATGTTTTTTCTGATCTTTTTATGCAGGGCTTAGTAGTATAGCTTAATGTAATTGTTAACTGAGTACATAGATGTTCAACTTTGCTATATATTATCAAGTTGTGCAATAAAATACCCGTTAAACCTGGATAAAATAACAAAAGAGACAAGTAGAGTAGCATGATTTTATCAGAAAACTAGATTGCATTATATTGAATTGGATCATTAACCATTTCCTTTAGTGTTCAGTTATTACGAATTCTCAAGGTAATATACAATATAAATTATAATTACAAGTATTTATTGAACAGTAACTTTTCTTTTGTTCATGCATAGTTAATGTGAAAATGGATAACTCCATATTAGTTGTAGGGTTTCTATTGGTGTGTTGTGTAAGTATCTGTGGGAGTTCTAGGTATGAGAGGCCAGAAGATACAGAGGACGTTGTGATTTTTGGTGCGTATTTTTCATCTTACTTCGCTTATGCGCCTTTTATCTAACCCATGAGTATTGATACTATATCAAAGATCGAAATAAGTAGGTTAAATTATAATTTACATGTTTACACAGTTATTGTACTATGTAATATTTGTTGTTGTTTTTTATGAATCCTGTACGAATTCATGTAAAGCATATATTTAACATTCAGCTTTGATCATTTACTTATCAGTCTACGTTTCCTTTGCATCATATTTTGACAAAGCTATCTCGGTTTCATTCTGTTCCAGGAGATGACACGGATTGTCACAAACCTCTACGTTGTCCCAGGGATCTTGTATTTGCCATTGATATATCATGTTTCGTCTCGAACCGATCTAAGAAACTAATCAGGAGCTTTGTCCGTGAATTAACTGCCAGGCTGTACATCGACCCCGGTGCTTATGGCACCCGAGTCGGTTTCGTTGTGTATAGTAATAGTTACTATCATAGGATGTATTTCGAAGAGGCAACTGATAATTTTGAGTTGCGGAACGTCATACGCTACATGGAGCTAAACCAGCCGGACCTTTGTTTCCGTCGAACAGATCTTGTATTGAATTCTATCCGTCATCGATATTTTAACATTGAACAAGGGGACAGGGTAGGGAATGAGTTTGCGAATACAATCATTTTGATCACCAGTGGAGCCACATGGCCTTCAGCTTACTCACGACAGGCGATCATCGAAGCTGAGGAACTGAAAAAGATTGGAGCTGAAATTTTAGTCCTCGGATTTTTAGAACCTGATACCAATACAACTGCCTCACCAACAACTGCAGCACCTACGAATGATACCACTAATTACACATCCCCACCTACTACCTCAGCCTATCCCACAACAACAGAGGTTTTCCGAACAGAGGAGCAGATCAGGGCTATGGATGAATGGGAACAACTAGCAAGCAATCCCTTTAGTAAATATAGATTCTTTGTAGAGGACTTGGAGAAATATGTTACACTTGTTAATCCAGTCATGAAAGTTATGTGTGACAGTAAGTAAATTACATCTTATTTAACATAATATGACCTTAAATCTCATTAAGTTTTCGTTCACATTTTGTTTTTATTCTAAATTTTTCAACCGTTAGTCTCCCAAATGCACTGTAGGAAAAGTTATTTTTGGTGAACACAATCAGTAAAGTAAAAGTAAACAAAATTCGTTCAAACAAATATACTTCCTTCAACCTTGTTTAAAACTACATGTTCATATATACAAATGAATAAGTAGTTCCATTGCTCACATAGTGAAAATGCATTCGAGGCATTTCTGTTTATATACAACTACATATGATACAACTACCTGTGCAACTTCATTAATTTGGTCTTAATTTGGTTTTAATTAATCTGGTCCTAATTTGGTCCCTTGGTCTTCTGGTCTTGGATTGTGATATTGGTTCTTGAATGGTGGGGAAAGGGGGTATTATACATTGTTTCTTTTCACGTTAGACCATGGTTTTTGGCTATATGGGGTTTGTTTTTCTTTACTGGTATGCACTTAGAGTTTGCTTTTTTTGCTAAGTTCCACTACAACTTTTGGTCCTTTCCCTTTGGCACTAGTGCTTATATATTCAAACAAAATCAATGAAATACTTTCGGAGTAAGTAATATTTTGATTTCAAATGCGACAGCCATTTTGGATTTCAAACATATTTTGCCGAAACCTGTAGACATTATTATTGATACCTATGAAACAAGGTAGCTGTATAGTTTGAAGCAAGTAGATTGATGAGTACTTATTTAGAGTTTTGACTTAAAAGAGCCGAAACATGATTCGTCGATATTAAGGTTGTGGCCATTTAGCTGGTGTACAATTTTAAGCAATACAATACAACACTTTTGATACAATTGGGGTAATATTTAAGGAGGTATGACCACAAAGAGGGCTGAAATCCCGATTTGAAATAATCTTATCTTGTAACACTCAATTCCCAACCGTATTGTGTGTGCTTTGTTAACAAGTATCTTTTTATACATCATATTTATTTGTTTCCCAGTTTAGCTTACATAATTTATACTTTGAGACACTTTGTAAAATCAATAACAAATGTAACTAAAATTATGCCATTTTATAAATATTTTTAGCTTGTGATAAGTCATATACCCGTTAGGGTGTCATTATTACTGATATGTATATACGATTTAAAAAAATAAATAAAATAGTATATCTTAGTCTAGAATTTTACCATTCGGTTGATAATTTCAATATCACCTCAATAAAAAGTTGATACGTTTAGTTAAATTCCACGGTATAATTTACACGGTTGCATCATAGTTCTAAGGTAGTAATTAGGCAAGAAGAGCAAACCTCAATTATATGCAAATAATATAAATTTAATTCCAAGGCTGCTTATGTAATAAACACGTTCTATATACAGAGTGGGCCAAAAAAACAATACCTAAGTATAAAGAAGAATGATTCATATTATGTGTTAAACCATGCCATGTATTATACGTATATCATGTTAAGGATAAATCATTTCCTATAACAAAATGACATGATCTAATTGAAATTTTTTTTTCTCGTGGAGTTAGAGACTTAAATTGACACAAGGTGTGCTGTGAGCGACAAAAAATAAACATGAAAATTCCAAAATTGTCTTCCATATTGCAGTCACAGCGGCACTCAATATGCTTTACTGAATCATCATAAATTTATTTAAGAGTACTACAGAATAGATAATTAATTAAAAATGCTGAATTTTGCACTATGGTACTTGTATCTCTAGCCTGACTTTCCGTAATGCAAAAATTGTCTGTCAAAAGTGACGGAAATTACATCTTGGGAAACAAGGGTCATTTAAATCGCTTACGAACATCTATTTGTAAGAGATTTGACAATAAAAGTTGTACAGGCTTGAAAATATAATTCAGTTCGATGTGGTCACCGGATCCCAAATTTTAGTGTTGATAATGGATTATTTATTTCCAAACTTTCCAAAGAATGTGCGTGTATAATTACACATTTTCTATGTTCTAGCTTACAAGTCGTGTACATCTGACAAAATCCCATGTGCTCCGGAACGGTTGTGTTGTGGATGTGATTATATGTTTGTGGAGCCGGGATTAGATCGGGTGAGTCAAATAATTATAATACCGGCCGCGTGTTCAAGAACACGTATCAATGTTTTGTTGCGTTTGAGCATGGGTACTCTCTGATATTAGAAGTAGTATTTTAGTTAAAGAAGAAACATCAAAACATAAAAAATATATGTCAAGTAAAAATTTTCATAGTTATCAAAACGCCATACTCCGTCTTAAAATGTTCTCACTCACCTTACGAAGGTCTTTACTGTATTTGTCTGTTATCGCAACGGTTTTGTTTTAGACAATGATGTGGCCATTCTTAGCTGTATTGATGGGTAAATGTTTGGACGAGGGCTGTATTCGGAACCCGGGAAGTAACTGCAAAGGTATTTGAACAATGTTAATTTGTTGTTATCAAAGGATTTCAGCCCATAATAGGCCTACCTCAATCAACTGTGGACGTTTTTACGCATGACGGTCTCCTGTGACGCCATATCATCTATGTGGTAATTTCAGTTAATGCAATGATCTTCCAACTAAGTTATTATAGTATTTCTGCAAACTCAGCATCAAATCAATAATTTTACTTTCATTTATATTTTGCTAAATAAACCTCATGATTTTCAAATGAATATCAATTGCACCTCAACAACCCTATATTTTGAACAAACTTGTCCTGCTAAGGGGAGAGCTGTCATCAAATTCAATATCATTAAGAAAACATCTTACAGATGTAAATGGTGACCTGGGAGTTGTCAATGGATGAAGTGAGTGATTTATATATGATCCAACTGATGAATAGAATGGATACTGTTGTAACACACAGTTCAAAAAGAGATCAGAATTATCTGAACTTGACCCACAGAAAGGACGATTCTCGGTTTGGAGAACAGTCTCCTGGGCTAATAATTTTTTTAATGAAAAATATAGAAATATTACTCAAATTAAACTATGAATATTCAAAAGAGGACATTTAAATATACAAGATGTAAAAATAACAAATTGGTCTGAAGCAGGGATAAGGCTCAATTTGACCGATTCAATAAAATACAAGTCTCGATTTGGGGAAAGAAGTTCATCAGTGTACTGCGCTAATATTTTTTTGCGAAAAATCTAGAAATATTACCCAAATTAAATTATGACTATTCAAAAGAAGACATTCAAATCTATATTATGTAAAAAAATCAAATTTGTCCGAAGCAGGGATAATGCTCATTTAGATTGATGAACTTCGTTCTCCAAACCGAGAATCGTCCTTTGTTTCTAAATAACCGAGGGAAAATTATAATTATGCATTTACTTATTTAATTAGATTAATAAATCCAAAGCTACACAATCTCAGTAGATATTTTGTGTACATCCTCCTTATTGACCCAGGGTCATGTTTGAATTGCAATAAAGAATCCTACATCATTCGTGTCAAGTGAAACATTAAGATGCGATAAGTTTCAGAACGTATTGTAGTAATTTTGGCTGTCAATCGTTAAATCATCAAGACGTCTAGTCGAGTCTTTCCCAGATTGCATCTGTAATTCACTTATCATAATTCATCATAATATTGCGTTATTGTAGTTACCCGTGAGCCCCCTATTCCGCCGTGCTTATCTTCAGCCCTACTAGACCATGCGCTGGTTGAATTAACAAATGTTCAAATAGTGCAAGGCTACAGCTATGTAGGAATAGTAAGTGATGCTGTACTAAACGTTAACACAAGTTCATATTCGTGCCTCGGCTATTTAATGGTGTTGTCACATATAGTCTGGTCAGCTGAACGGCCTTTCATTGTTCTTTAAAAAAAACAGAGTTCAGCACGGGGATACCATCCCGATAACACTTCGCAGACGAATATTATTCGATCGGCGAATTAAAGATTTGAGCATGCGCATGGCCGGCAAAGTTCCCTGAGTATTTACAACGGGTGGGAAACGACCCGCTGTATCTCGAAATTATCATCAAGGTGTAGAACGGTGACCCACACGGCTATATGTGACAGCCAATTAAAATAGTTTATACCCTTCATATCGATTAGAAATTGGAATCGCCATTCATAATTTGAAGATGATTTTTGTGCTTCATGAGAACTAACGACCTTACTCATCTTAGGCTTATAGGTTCTTTGAGACAGATCTAGAACTAGATGGGTTCTATGGAATGTTCCAAGCTGCCGCTAATTACAAGTCTCAAAACTTTGCAAAGTTAACTGAGTTCCAGATTAAGAGAGGTGTCTCGGCAACATTCCTCAATTTAAGGGTATGGTCTCACGCTATGAAACAGCTATTTTTTAAAGAAATAGTGTGACATTTTGTGTTTAAAATTTGAAATAAGATGAGAAAAATTTAACGAGAAGGTAGAATGTACATAGAACCTCAGTTGATGTGAAACACCACTGACATATACTATCAGTCTAGGGCTAACACACATTTTCAAAAACGCCTTAGTTAATCTTTAATGTCCCTTTTAAGGAGCCCTATATTCGTACTATTGAAAATGGATTCTATCAATACTCTCCTACGTGAATCTGTATGTACTTGTTGATGCTTGATCAACTCTGAGATTCTTCTGAGGATGGATTTGTATCTATCCCCATGTATGATGACATGATGATATGCAGTATTTAAATCAATTGTGTATGTCCCCGCGACCTGAAATCCTCATTATCTCAGAAGAACTCAAGTTGATCGAGGCTCGATAAGAAGATTCTTTTGGGATGGTATTGATGTAATCCAAATCAAAAAATATGTCCGTTTTTTTATTTTCAGTCGTATCTCGCAAAATCCCCTTTGGACCATTTGGCTAAATTCACTATTGGCCCATTCCCTAGCTTTACAAATAATTTCAGGTGTCCTGCTTTGTAAAGAGTAGTTGTACGAAATAATTTTGCTACAAAGAATCGGCAAAAAATCTTATCCGTTTTTTTATTTTTTGCCATATCATTTATTTATTTTTTATTTATGCCATATTATTTTAATTCATTTTCTTTAGCAAAAATCATGTATCATTCCGGTCCCCGATGTCCCTTTGAAAACTATTTCTTTCGGGGATAAAACCTTATACATTTCCTTCTAGTACATAATCGTCATATTAGGATGCTGATCGCATTTGCAACCTCATTTAAGCAATTATGTAACATTTAACATTATATATATTAGAAAGAGTGTACAAACAATGCCAAACCTTCAGTAAATCGATTTGAGAAAAATTCAATAGCCAAATGTTCAGCATTTTTTTGCAGCTACCACATGACTTACGCATCCATAATGGCATTGAAGCCTTGTATATAGCCATGGATATTGAGAAGTCGCTATACGAAAACATTGAAGAAGTAATCGATCTATCAAATAGAAATAAGGACGCCCAGGTCAGTAACAAAACAAAATGTTTACAGCCATTAACCAATGCCGGTAGAAGTTTTGGGTTTAAAAAGCACATACCTTGATTCAGGTCAAACTGTGATGTATGTCCATTTCTCATTCCAGCTAGCAACATTTATGAAAACTACCATGCTTCCGGGTGCAATCAAAGCTACCAAAGAAATAGGAGAATATATTGCGCAATATCACTTACTTGGACCTGATATTGGACAATACATCCTTAACAGGATTCTTAGGGAGAACTATCCCGTTACGAAAATGACTTTATTTGGAACACCTAAACCAATTAAATCACCCCTTATAACAAAATATAATGATCATAAATCAGAATTATGATTTACTAACTTAAGGCGTTGTTGAAACATTGGCAATGTGTTATCTCTGACGATTTTTTTAAATGTAGACACTATTATATATTAATTATTCAAATATGCCACGGGAAAGCATTATATTACGCAGTAGCACGGTGCCTGTATGAACGATTGTTGAGGACCAAATGTTATTGACTACGTATACCCAACTATTCCGACTCTAGCCGAAGTATTCCATCCAGACCCAAGTGTTCCGAGTTTACTTATTTTTTTTAAAAACATTCGATAGATGTCTTCTTTGTTTTTTTTATCATTTTGTCGTTGGATTCATTTTATTCGAAAGATGGCCGTTCCCCATGCTCACTCCGGTTAACTCTGCTAACTCCTTTCTATGCATGAAGATAGGTTTGTCATATTTCGGCTTTACCACTGGTTGTGAATTTTTCTTTTACGTATGTTATTTCAGGTTCCGACCTCAGTCACTCCGCCTTTAGCTTTCTATGATTTAACTATAAATGGTTTCCTAAAACCACATACTTTGATAAATTGTATCATATTTCAGGGCACTCCTTGATTAACGTTCCAATCCTTTGTAAATTTTCAAAAGGAACAAAATTATATATAACATGATAGGGTGACAATGCTACATGCATGAGTTTAGGTGCATATATATGGAATCTAACGAGAAAATAGCCCAATAACCAACTTAGACATCTATATAGTGTATTTTTTTTTAAAAGTAAGCCAGCTCGGAAAATTTGGGCCAGGTCAGAATACTTTGGCATGTTCGATATGTTTAAATTGAGAAAAACAGGAATCTCTTTTTAGAAAATGAGCCTAACATTTTTAAAAAAGTGCCAGGGTGGGGTCCTAATCCATATTTTCAGAGAGTTGGATACTATTATTAGATAGTTTACTACCATGGGAACTTCACTTTTAAGAAAACATATTGTTTTTAAAAAAACTGTATTGATAGCCAGAAAGTACCCATGGTGAAAGATATGACCGTCTAAAATCACTTGCCATACTGCACATGGACCTTTGCACAAAAATTATAAACTCCGCTTGATATAATCCCTGTCTCTCTATCGCCTTTTTGATGAGACACATCGGAACTTGGGACTCATAGCCATTCAACCAAGCCACAAAAAGTATGTATATTAGTTGTTCAACATGTTCAATTGTGTTAATATTTCCGGGTACTCGACCTTTAAGTAACAGTACTTATATGTTTTGCATTTATTTATCAATGCCGTCACTTTCAATATAAATCCCTTCAAATGTGCAATATGTACACACATTTGAAATCATTATAAAATAAACGTTTTATTCATCAAATAGTTATTAAACTGTATTGCCAATTCTATTATTTTATATCTCGATATGTGGTTATCTACGAATAAGACACTCTTTGGCAAAGCTTTTTAGAAGTTCGTCAAAACCCGTAGCATCTTTTGGCACGGCCCAACATTTTCTTGCATGATCCCACTGTACGGTGACACTGAATTCACCAACATGGACGATCCCTTTATTCTCAAATCGTGTTCGAACGAAGTACCCCATGGAGGACACTACGCCTGGAAATTCGTATTGCACTATATTGTGGATTGTAATCATAAAGATATTGCTACATATACCAATAAAGACACTCTCGTAATTAGATACACAACTTTATTGCTAAGCAATAAAAAAGGTTTCAATCAGTAATATTTTATGATGTCTACTGTTTTATGTACTATATATGAGCCTGGCCATAGGAAAACCGGTCTTATCACAAAAATTAATAGTGTACTAAAGAGGAAAAAATGTGCTCAAGATTAAGAGGAAAATGTGCTCAATTCAAATCTGTCGTTTGGTCCATCTCTACACGGAAAATTGTTAAGACATAAGCCAAGGCTCATTTAAAAGGTATTTCTGTGCTTTTTAAGATAAACAAAAAATCAAAATATTAAAAAATCTATGAAAAGACCCCTTTTCCTGTGGCCTGGCTCATATATATATTGATGTATTAAATGGAAAAGCTTAGCACTTACCCATTATGCCCCCCACTTTTAGATGGGCTAATTTGTTTAGCTCACCGATAACGAAATCTAAATGTTTAGGATGCCTGCTAATGTATATAGTGACAACATCTTCAATGTGGACATGCATCGATGACTTGTAAATTTTTATCATGGTTCCTCTTTTCTCGACAGTTTGTAAAGACAATGTATCTCGTTTCCACTTGCGAATGACTCTGGTGTGTGTGCTATTAATAAGAATATAATACATTTCCGTTATTTAAGTTATTCAGTTATTAATAATATTTAATCTCCATTCCATTCCATTCTCCATCTTGAATGATGGTATACATATTTAGTATTATTTACGATACTTTTGAATATACATTCGATACGATTTAACATTAATGCACTATTTTTAGTGTGTTGCATTTTTAAGACGTATACTAAATCAATATATACCCGTTAGCATGTCTTTGTAGCAGAATGTCAACAACTGTAACATGTACTGTAAGATTATTTGTTTTAACCACTATCTCCCCAATGTACTTCGCAAGCTCACCAGACTTTACAATATTGGAACCCTCAATAAAAACGCCTGTTACAAAGGTTCCTGTATGTAAATAACAGAAAAGAATAGTGAGTGACTGGTGCACTTTGATGCTCCTTATTCATAGGGTTATATGTCTTTTAATGTAACAGCAATTGTATTAAGTTTTGTATGGTTTAACATACATTTATCCATTTTTTGCAAAACTTGAATTTTGATTTTTAGCCACTCTTTAAAAATATGTTTTAGCATCCTGGATCTAGATGTAGTAGTTCTACTGAAATGAACTGAGACGAACTGAACCAAAAGTACATACATTTTAAATATCATATATTCGAGCACCATAGCCAAATAATAAAAAAACAAAGTATGAACATCAAATAAAAGCGAAAGAGAAACTTGTAATAAGGTATAAACCCTTAGGTCCAGGGAGCCAATAAGTCAACGTACAACGAGGTACTGAACGGGTTAAAAAGCACGGTGCAGATCGTAACTGTTTTTTGAAGTTCCGTTTACGTAACTTAAATGAGGAATTAAATCGACGATTATGATACACGTTTGTGACAAAAAAATGACTTAAATAAGGAAAAAAGAAAACTCGTTCTGACATTTCGTTACAGAAACGAACCGTTTCGGTAACTAGCGTAATCAAGCAGATCACCAGTGAGAGTAGGTTATGCTTATAAGAATATGGAATTATATAATAAGATAATAATCTGCATGCCTTTCTCGGTTACATATTTCAAATTCGATATGATAATTAGCGTATTTTGGAACTTTTACCTGTAGAAAGCTCTGTTAAAAACTCATATACTTGTCCTGGTTTTCCAAACAAGTCATAACATATTGGGTCATCTGTCCCTTTCACAAGTTGCTGAATATGAGGGTCACCTCGCACTAAATTAGAGGGAGACAAAATGAAATGAAACAACTACACGAAAAATCCATTGCTAAACTTGTCCGCACTTGTGCACATTTATGACTATTATATCATGTAGAGAATATTGACACCAAGCATTCTTTTTTTAGATTGCGGACTTATTAACAATGTTGTACTATGTGTGATTGATACTTCATACACCTCGATTGGATATTCATACAGTTAGTACCCACACACGTTCTAAAAAGCAAGCCCAATGTTCTATTTAAGAACCCCTATTCTTACTTTTGAAAATGGATCCTAGCAATACTATGCATCTACCTTTTGAAACTCGACCAACTTGAGTTATTCTGAGAAAATGAGGAATTCAGCAAGGGTGCATTGACGACAACATTGACGTCAATAATAAGAATTTTTGAGGTTACATTTGAGGTTAGTAATAAGTGGTCGAGGGACGGTGTATAGGTAATTATTGCTATCGAATACACTTTGTGGTACTACTTACCACACATAAAATTGGTACAATTGTAGTTTGCACCTAACAGCTTCTTGCACTCCTTTGTTCCTTGGCATTGGTGTTTCATTAGCTTCGGGGTTGTCCTGGAGGGTGTCGTGATCATAGTTGTACTATCGGTTGTAGATATGTCCAAGGTAGTTTTACTTTTTGTTGGAATTGTTTTTGTTGGTGTTGTTACTTTTATTGTTTTAGCTATGTGCTTTGTCGTTATTTGGTTTAATGTTGTTGTTGTTGTTGTTGGGTTTGTCGATGTTTGGTTTACTGTTGTTACTGTGTTTATAGTTGGCATTGTTGTTGTTGTAGGATTTGTTGTTATTTGGGTTGTTGTTTTGGGTGCAGTTTTACTTGTAGCATTGGGGTACAACCAAGGATCATCAACAGGAGGCCTGTCTACAAATACAGAACGTAGTCTATTAGTAAAAGAGCACTTTGACAATATATACCGGGTTCAACAATAAAATGAATAAATGCTATTTTATCCTATGTATGCATAGTTGTTTATGAGGAAGATGCACATACGAAAACACGCAACAGTCATCTTCCTTCTTACGATTGCTTCTAAAGAGTAGCTGAGACCGGATGTTCCATTAATGGTGATGACATGCCAGTCTGTTGGGTCTGTGGCCATGTTATTCCATTCTTCAGTGTTGACATTCTTGGTTTTATCTCCATAAACGCCAATAACAAACATCTCAATGCCATCCTTCTTGTTTAGATCACTTTCTTTTAGTGTTTGTTTGAACAACTTTTTAGGAATTGTCACACCATCTGTTATTATGGTCAAAACGTTAGCATTTGTCATACGATCGCCTTTGCTTTCTTGGAAGAAATCTGTTCTTGCCATTTCAAGTGCTTGGTTTGTTTTTGTTTTACAACCTTCTTCTTTTTCTAAGTTCATCGGGATTTCTTTTATACGAGCCAACGGTGTAGCAAGATCTTTTGAATCAACAAGAAAGAATCGCGCAGTTGTAATTTGATTGTACGTCAGTATCCCTATCTGGGTTTGCCTTAATGCAGGTCCGATGTCATTAATATATTCAACAAACTTGATAATGAACTGCTTCATCTTGATTTTGTCCTCAGTAATGAAGCTACACGAGGTGTCAATCGCAAGAACGAGGTCCAGCCCACATGCTAGAAGAAGAGAATCGTCAAATGTGTATCACTTATATTAAATAATAACGAGTCGAAATAGTGAAACTTTTATTAAATTGTTTCACTTTATCAGCAATCAAGTTGGGTCGTTACAATCGTGGCAAAATGCGTAAATAATGATACAATAAATATTCATTTATCAGGTACTTGGATTATTGCGCTTGATACTTGCTTCAGCAATAAATATATTAATTAATCTAAATATTCATCCGAACAGTAACTATGCATCTAATCCTCGAATGTCCTCACCTCTTTCATCGTTAGCATCGATACCCGCAAATCCCAGAATAACAGCGATAAGACAGATTGCAACTCTTCTCATACTAAATATAAGTATTATTTATCGATCTCTTCCATCAAAATAATTTCGGTAAAGCACTCGTGTAGCACATGAAACAATGCCAAAATGCTATACACAAATAAAACTGGATGAATTCAAAATACATCCTGTATCAAATACCACAAAGGTTGACGATAAATATTACATGCTTAATGAGATTGTCATAGAACATTCAAATGTGTAAACTTAGTATGCGGAAGCATGCAATAACTTGTCGCAATAACGTTTTCCAAATCGGTGTTATGCTTTCAAGTACATTTTGACTAAAATGTAATATTTCAATTAAATGTTATAATCGATGATGTTGCTATCTTGATAAGGTCATACTTTAGGTTTCCGAGCTAGGGCTGGTCACTAAACAAACAACCTCCCTCCCTCTCATTCAGGTTTGTGATGTTAACAGTATGAACAGGGATATTTCAATTCATACATGGAAATATGAGTCCCCTTTCTGGATACATTATACTTTAAGGGAGGTTGGTTTTCGTTACTGAGATGGTTTTGCTCTTGGGTCATCAGGACTGCGGCGTTTTTCTAGTTATGAGTAATTTTTGTTCTACATATGTCATCTCATATAATCGCATTTGAACACAAAGCAGAAAAATGCTAATAATGACGAGTTGGAAACAAATCTCACGTACTTGTATCAGTAGATTCCAGCACTGCTACTCGAACAGCGGGTTGCAAACAATATGCTACAGTGTCGATATTTGGCGTTTACGACATGGTCCATCAGCTTATAGAAGAGAAGCATCCAGACTTGCCCTATTCTACAAAGGAACTCAAAACCGAGCTGCCATCTCTCCACCAACATACAGTACCTCAGCCCTAAAATCACTAGACAGTACCATCCATCTACATGCGTTCAACTCGCTGATAGAACAGATGTACAAGGATTGCCCCACAGGTGTTATTGTTGAAAAGGGAGAAGAAAATCTAAATTCAAAATGGAGATGATAGTCTATGATGGTTCATTGAAATCAAGTTTTATTAGTGCAATCAACAGTGAACATGTTAAGACTTTACATTAAGTTTTTTGTTCATCTTATGTGTATACAGGGTGTCAAATAAATATGCGCTCACCCTTAATTCAAAGAGAATGAACTTTTGTGCATAAAAGTGCATCTAGTTGAGCTAGTCATCTGAAACTTCTTGACGTGTAGTTTGTTATGTGAAGCCAAGTTTTATGTCCTAAAGAACATTTTCGATATCATGTAGAGAAAAAGGTTATCCAACATTATGTGGATGTTAAAGCTAAGGAGGGGAGAACATATTTATTTGACACCCTGTATAACCTTATGAATAGTATGACGATATGATTTGATTTCCTACAAATATATTACTTTTTTGTGATTGTGGTCTTGAGTTTGAAACCTTTTGAAAATTATTGAAATTCGGATAGATGGCAGAACAAACGATCAGCTTTTTTGATTTTTTTTTCATCAAGAGATTCTATTGCCATTAATCATTAAAAGTACATATCATACATGAGAGACCCAATCGCCAGTGGCATTATAGGTGTCCCTCAATGTAGTAATTACAATTTGTAAACATGGTTTATACACAATTATATATTAGAAGAAAAATAGAAAAGAAAGCATCTGCATTTTAATTGGAGTGTGGGGGGCTGCTGCCTCTGCCTATAGGGTCCTGGAAACAAAGATATAGTAGTATGAGTAGGGAACAGAGGTTCACGCCATAGTCTCCCATGGCTAAATGGCTGATCTGTACTTTCTATGTGGCACAAAGAAGACTTCATGGTGCTACAGTATAATGTAAGAGAATGAAACAATGGGAGAAAAGCAGTAGAGATAAGGAGTGGTAGGGCTGAGAACAAAAGTAGACCAGCTTCCAACTACATGTAACTATGCGTGCTCAATAAGATATAGGCTCACCACTGATAAAAGATTGTCAATTTGTTCCTGAGTAAGTGAAGGGTGAGCAAATAAGTAAAGATTTATTTTGTCCATCTGGGTCCTGAGCTGAGATTGGTTTCCAGTTATTAGTTCAATATCTCTATTAAATTTAAGAATTTGTTCGGTTTTCAATGGGCATTTAAAAAACAAATGGCGGAAAGTCTCAGGGGCTCTGCATTCGCAGTTTGGGGGTCAACAGTTGTCCAGTTGTGGGCCTTGAGTTGTGATTTGAGAATGAGATCTGATCTTGCACGATTTAGAATTATTTCTTGTTTTTTGATTTGTGTGGCTCATTTTGTTAAGACATTTCGAATTCAAATATGGACATTTGTAGCTATTGTTGAATATGGGGTAATGTCTATGAAAACTATTAACATCAATTTTCCCTCATTAGGAAATACTAGTAAGAACATCATTTGCACAATAAAGTCATATTGATAGATTTCTGTAATGGTAAATTGGGTGATGTAAAGAATGTTCCGCCTTCCCAAAAGTCAAGTTACCATTAAGTAACCATAACTTTGAACAATCAAATGAGAAATGCTGTAATTTAAGAATTAATTTTTACACATTGTGTAAGAATTTCATCTAAAAATATCAAAAATCGTTGACATTAGAGCATTTTTCGGAAATTTATTGAACGACCCGCTGTAAAAGGGTAGGTGGTCCTATCAAATTTTGGTCCTACTCTCTATTGATTTACATGGTGACCTAATAACAATTATTTTCCTTATTATTTATACACAGTTAGGGCCAGTAAGGGCCGTAAGGAAAGGGGACCATAATCCCCAAAGGATCATAATTTACTTTACACCGGTATAAATGCTTTTTATTGATATATATTTGCTGTAAATGGGCTTATTAGCCTCTTGCCAATTATCAATGTAGATATATAGGACGTCAAAGTGCATGTTTTAACTGATTATACTTATGGAAAATCACAAACAAAAATATACTTTCTAATAAACTATGTATAGCGTCAAGGGGTCTCTACAGATAGACTGCCAATGTTACAAATATAACACAATGCAAGGCTTTTCATTGTATATTATATTTTACTTTACTCTCTTTTAAGGCGGCATATTCTTTATTAGGTGTACATTTCTGCGAAACAAACACTTACATCCCCTGGTATCAACCTAAATCATTCATTTAGGCTTCATATACTATTGTTCATTATCCCATGTGGAATCATAATATGCACATATCACCATTATTATAAGTTCATCAAATGCACATCAGACACACAATTTGCAGTAGTCATAAAATTAGAGTAAACAAATTACTGACATCATTTCAGTGGGATGATATTCAAATTGGGCAAATCATTAAACACATATCATCAATGCCCAATTTACATACTGCGTTGATTCGCTGACAAATTTTATTGTGGCACAACACACGTCATAAAACTAGTAATCTATGCAATGTCTTATCAAGCTTGATAATAATGATGAGTCCGAGGAGATTAACACAGTAATTTTTGGAGTAGACACGCTTGTTTACAAAGGTAATACAAATGTTAGCATTACTCTGTTAATAGACTAGATGCAAGTAGAAATGATCTTGATTTACGTCATTAAATATTCAAAATTCAGTCAAAGTGATGTCATATTTGAAATCTACATGTAAAAATACATCTAAAAATATGGTTCGAAAATTGTTTATCAACTTTGAAAATTCAATATTTTTTGAAAATGTGACTTCTAGTTCGGATTGATTCCCCATAGACCCCATATTACAAAATCACAAAAGTGAAATATCTTTTCTTGAATTGGACATATAACATTTTCTTTTACTGGACATACTTTAATTTGCTTAACTATTCCATACATGAGGGCTATATGAAAATTGAACCACTAAAACAGATCTCGTAAGTTAAGTTAAAGGGAACTTTCTACTATATCCGCCAGGCTATCTGACCCGAGCGAGCCACCTGGTGGTGAAACTGGTAACTACCTACTTCAATTTGCGCTATTCATTATATCCTTCCAGAGTCAAGCCAGCTTTTAATATAAAATAAAAATTGTTCTGTCCTTCGTTTAAAAGTACAAGTACGGAAACCTTAAGGAGCATTTGAATTGTAATCATGAACTCATTTTTAAATCTGTACTTTATTCAAGCTATTTGCGAATATCATTGTATAGTTTCAAAAATGTGCTTTTAGTCTGATAAAACCTTATAATCTGTCTATAACAGTATTCACATAGTGAATAATTAAACAAGTCTAGTCTGGAATCTAAACATGATATCTGGATAACTAATTTGGGCGCGGAATAGCTGATTAGATGCTTGAGTTTATCAGACAACTTCTCGCAAATTGTTTTAGAAGTTGATCAAATCCTCTGGCACTTCTTGGGACGGACCAGCACTTTTTATCATGGTCCCATTGTACAGTTACACTGAACTCTCCTCCTACATGAACCGTCCCTTTGTAGGCAACGGCAGAGGGTACAAACTCTCCGTCTGATGAAACTATGCCTAAAATGATAAATGAACACGTGATTGAAAAATATACCAGACTACGGATAAGAATACTTTAACATGAATTGAATCCATAAACAAAGAACAAGAAACCGGTGCAAAAATGTTCTTTTTTTATTCTTTTTTTGTCGGATATTCCAAGAGGGTGGGGAGCTTATAAGTTTATAATGTATCAATTGTTTTCATTTTGTTTTTTTAATACCTGTTGCACTTATAATGACTCTGCAAGATATTGTACGAATAATGCAACTGGTATGTTGCCTCTTCGACTGACTGATAGATGCTTGGACATGTAGTCAACGGGGTACATTGTTAAAATGGCGAGTGATGACATTCACTTTGTGATAGCATTGTAGCCCAGACGGATTAAGCCAAGACTCTACGCAAACGCCATAATTTGACTTTTTAGGATATAATATCTTTAAGTTATATTTGAGAAAACTATGTAGCCTGAGCATCTTTACAATGAAATAATAAAATATGAAATAATATCATGTATATACTCACCCATTATTCCACCGGGCTTATTCTTCATATCAGCAAGTTTGTTAAGTTCCCCGATTACAAAGTCTAAATGTTTTGGATGTCGACTAATGTATATCGTAGCTACATTGTCTATGTGTACACTCATTGATGTTTTGTAAATATTAACTTTGACCCCCGTTTGTTCTTCATTGCTGAAGTTAATAGTATCGCGTTCCCAGTTATGGATGAACCTAGCATCTTGTCTGCAATAGTAAAAGCGTCATTAATTTCCTATTTATTACAAGCCATAAAAGTAGATTACAGTTTACTGCTATATATATTTTCTAACCTATTAACAATTTCTATCAATGATATAAGCTTTGGAAACCTCCAAAGGTTTACAATCCTCGTAAATATCTTATTCTATAAGTATTAGTGTTTATTGAACTTTAATTTGCAACGAACATTTCTGAATGACGTTCTCGTTAACTTGATATCATTGTTAATTCGTGTATTATCACTTTTTAGCCAATCAGAGCAGAGTATAGATATGCTCTCTTTAAGGACTAACAATAAAGACTTACTCTATTTCCAATGGCTCGAAAAACAGTTTTATATCATTTGAGCGTTTCCCAGTACCCCTAAAAATATAACAACTATATATCCATTTGTGTATATTACATTTCAGATAAAGTAGTCATCTACAAATATTTAGATTTGTGGGAAGACAAACTGTTGTCCCTCAAAGTGTTTACATTTTACACGTTACCTCGACATACAAATGTCAGTCGTTTTAGGTATTACTTTCACATTCGCTGCCATACCTTAGATCTTTTTAGGTAACGTTATTTAAGTAACAGTACGTTAACAATAATTTTTAATCAAATAGACTATAGCATTGCCGTCAATGTTACTTACCTTTTTGCATGTAGAAGTATGTCTACCATTGTTGCATGGATAGTGACCGTGTTCGTATCTATTACTATTTCACCTATATATTTTGCCAAGTCCCCAGATTTAATTGTATCTGATCCCTCGATAAAAACACCCGTCACAGAAGTCCCTGCAACGTCATACAAAACTCCATCAATTAGCAGAACTATCGACGTATGGAGAACATCAAAAATGTGAGTAACGCGAGGGATTTTCTGACAATTTGTTTTTTCATTACTCCGACATACAGAAAATGCCAACGAAGGGTTTTTGGTCAACATAATTATTGTAATAAGTCTGTTTTAGTCGTCATGCAGGTTTCGACTCTGAAGGATTAAATCCACTTAAATTCCGAGAAAATTTAAATTTTACGTTTAACAACCTTGTCCTAGATTTACCTGTTGATTTTTCCGTTAGGAACTCGTATATTTGTCCAGGTTCTCCAAACAAGTCATAACATATGGGGTCATCTGTCCCTTTGACTAGTTGCTGAATGTGGGGGTCGCCCCGCACTGTAAGAAAAAATCAAATCTAAGTGTCATAATAACGGACTGTAATTAAGGCAATTTTTCATATTTGGCAGATTTGGCATTATTTTCGCGGTTTGTCAATTGCAATTTATACATGAATATACACGTTCACATCGATTCAGCTGTTCAGTCGATTTTTCAGGGTCAATACTAATATGATTAAACGCTGCCCAGTAATATTGTTACATGGAAACATTCCACAGTGTTTTAAAGGGTGACGCATATCGTTTAGCAAATCGAACGCTCGTTTCTGGTGTTGCTCACCGTTTAGTATAAAAGGCCCGATCCCGGAATAATACTCAAGGGTTCACAGGTTCGATGTCGTTGTGTCAACACCTCTAACTGTTATATAGCATAAGTATATTATAGATCGTCACACATTTATAAAAGGGTGATTTTTATTTTGACAAATCAATTCCAAATTTATGGGTGAAGTTTCAGGATCTTCTATTTGTGTATAATAAGGAAAAATTGGCATCTAAATTTCCCCATAACGTAGAGTCCATTTCACTGCTTCATTTCGTCAGTAGAACGGCAAAAATAAGAAATTGGGAGACCATTGTGCAATAATATATGGAAACGTATATTCATAATGTACATGAATGACATCTGTATATTTCAGATTTTTTAGTTTTTTGTGCAATAAGCCTGTGCCGTCTTGTAATTTGAAGAATTTCAGCCATGTTAATCTTATTGAAAATAACATGGCGGAGAAACATTCAAATATAAGAGGCCACACACTTTATAAGCCAAACTAGAAGCAATCCAAAATATACAAATGTCATTCATGTACATTATGAATATACTTTTCCATATATTATTGCACAATGGTCTCCCAATTTCTTATATTTGCCGTTCTACTGACGAAATGAAGCAGTGAAATGGACTCTAATAGCACACAGCTTGGCATATGAAATATCCTACAAATGAAACAAAGCAGTTCTAATACAAGGATTTATATTGGCTGTTGTACATGTACTGTTTGAACGCAATCACTCTATGGATAACGTTTTCAAAATCATTATAAACGGATTACTTTATCTCAAAGACAATTTCAATAAACTGGATTTTACAGAACTCCCCTTATTTCTTAAAAATGGACTGATCCAGTCGATATGCCTGGAGCCGCCATATTGTTTTTATACGGGATGCTTATCGGAACCCTTTAAAGCAAAAGATTCGTCTAAATGGAAGCTGGAGTATTGCAGATCTGATCTTGTCATAACATACATTTTATTTATGGTTTGTTGTCACTTATATGCCTCCAATAATATAACACAATTATTAACTCTACAAAATAGACAAAAATAATTACCGCATATAAAATTTGTGCAGTTATAGTTTGGACCGAGTAACTTTTTACATTCTTTTGTTTCCTGACATATTTGCGTGTTAGCTGCCACTGTAGTAGTTGTTACTGGTGTCGTTAGTATTGTTGTAGGTTCAGGCGTCGTTGATGTAGTAGATGTTGTTGATGACGTTGTTGATGTTGTCGTCGACGTTGTCGATGTTGTCGTTGACGTTGTCGTCGAGGCTGTTGATGTTGTTCCTAACCAAGGATCATCCGCCGGTATTTCATCTAGAAATATGCACAGTAGTTACTGGATAGCTTCCCTAAACTAAGGGAACTTGGTAATGTCAGACAGAATTCCATTAACGTTTTATGCCTTCCTAAATACGTTAATTGTTTGCTATTGTGACGATTCGTCGTAAATCCTAGTAGTCTCTACACTGATATTTGAGAATAAACACACAGCACGTGTGCTCAATCATTAACAATCGTATGCTACATAAAGTGTCAATCGCAAATACAGATTGATATATAAATATTTAGTATAAATAGAGTAATCAACGCAATGCAATACTTTTCATCATTTTTGTATCAAAAATAAAGTTTTACACATTTCTTCATGTTTCAGCTAGAACAGTTACAGGATGATAGATTTTGATTGATCATAATGTTTTGTCATACCAGTCATGCCAGGATCTGCTCCATAGAAATTACCGATCACGCATCTCATTCATTTATCATATATACGAGTAGTATTAAATATCTTCTTACCATTGCAGGTTACTGACATCACTCGTTTAGCAATGTTATCTACCAACTCTTTCAGCATATCTGTCCCGTTAACACTCATCACATGGTGATCGTCAGGATCGGAAGCCAAAACAGCCCACTCCGCATCAGCTTCGTTAGGATCTACCTTTTCATCATATATACCAATAAGGTACGTTTCAATGTTGGCATCAGTGTTCTTAATACCATTAGCTAATGCGTTTTTCATTAATTTAGAAGGTTGTGTAAGACCATTAGTTATGAGAATAAGGACGCGCTTGGCTTTCCTTCGTCCACCGTTGGTCTTTTGAAATGCCTTTTTCGCAAGTTCAAGTGCCAAATTGGTTTTCCTTTTGCATCCCTCCGCAGTATTCCTATTCATGTTTAAAAGTTCGATTAGGCCTAATGTCGAGGCTTTGTCTGTGGAGTCGCTAAGGTTGAATCTGCTCACAGCAATTGTGTTGTATGTGAGCGCTGCAATCTGAATCAACGCTTTGTCACGGCCGATGGGATTGATTTCGTCCAATGAAGTCACCAATTCAAATAAGAAATCTTTTACGACACTCTTCTCTTTCTTGGTAAAAATACACGACGTATCGACAGCAAAAACTACATCCACCCCACATGCTACAAATACATTTTGGCAATGTGAAAATACTTCCAGTCAATCTTTTAATTTCTACAAAACATTTAAAATTGAATTTCAATTTTTTGATATTTAATCTTAATATCAGTTTCGTACTATATGTATAAGTATTGTATTAATAAAAATAAGATTTCTAAAAAATTAATGTACCTATTTGTCCAAGCACTCCATCCGTTGTTGCCAGTATAGCAGCTATTATGAGAGCAACACCTTTCATCTTCGGGGCAAGCGTCTTGAACATTCACAAACGACCTTAGAGTTAAATTCAAGAATTAATTACAAACAACTCGAATACAACATTAATTATGTAATTATGAATTGAAAAAAAGCAATTGAAAAACTTAAAATTGACACTTATCTTTGTTTGATATTGATAACGTTCATTTGATCTAGAATAAAAGCCTTACCAGATGTACAAGTTTTGATCTTTTTTAAGTAAGATCCCGCAAAATGACAGTTTTGTTCTCCATGTTAATATCGAACACAGCGTTCATTAACACATGAACATTACGGTAAATGTCCCCAATAGTTGAATTTCGCATGCCGCAGCACTATCAATCATATCGCAAGTCCATGTAGCTTTTTCTAATGTTTAGGTTACACGCATAGATAACAAGCATATGTATTAAATTGATGATTTGTTTAGTTGTCTATGACAGTGGTTTTTCGAATGGAGTTTGACCTTTTGTACTTAAAGGAATATTCCTTGCCAGACCCTTTCTCTCTTGATATGGTAGCTATAATCATATATATAGTTTCCATATTTAGCAAAACATGGGAAAATGTTTTAATACGGTCAATCTTGATCATTTAAAAATCTAGTGCTTATTTCCAGTGAGCTGCCATCTTTTAAGATTTCTTACAGGAAGTGATGTCATCAACTCTCAACTTCTATAACCTTGCCTATAACAGTATAGGAAAGTAGCACAAAATCACTTCTAGACAAGTGATCATTACTTTCTGTGCAAAAATATTTTCAGGGCTTGTCAACTTAGAATAAAAGAAGAGATTTTCAGAAGGATTAAATAAGATACAAAGTTGAAAAAGAATATTTAGCTGGTTTTGTAATTCTTAATAGCTCCTCACCTAATGCTATATGCAAAGTTGAGAGTCGATGACATCACTTCCTGTGTGAAATTTTAAAAGATGGCAGCTTACTGGAATTGAGCATCACATTTCTAAGTGATCAAATTTGACCATATCAAAACATTTTTGCGTGTTTTGCTAAACATGGCAAGCATATATATGGTTATAGCTACCATATGAAGAGAGAGATGGTTTGGCAAGGAATATTCCTTTAAGGGAATTTGAGACTCGATTCTGTCCGGTCTATCGCCCTTCAGACTGAATTCTCCATTCGTTTTACGTAATGCAAGACCACTGCCTGCGATACTGATACTCTAGTATTGCCATTTGAATTGTCCACACCTTCTCACACCTTATCACCCTAACTAGATATAAGTAGAAATACTATTGATATACGTCATTAGATATTTGAAAATAAGTCAAAGTGATACCATATTTGAAGTCTATATGTAAAATTGCATCTAAAATCTGGTTTAAAAAATCAACTCTTGGAAAATTTAATTTTCTTTAAAAATGTGACTTCTAGGTCGGTTAGATTCCTGTAGAAGCCGTATTATAGAATCACAAAAAGTAAACAAACTTTTTGTGTCGGAAAGATCGTATTTCAGACACATTGTGTTGATCAACTTGAACTGATGAATGTTCAAGTTAAAGGGGACTATTGTTATCTGACCCAAATTAGCCACTTGGTGGTGAATCTGGTTACTACCTTGTGGCATCTGTGTTATCAATATATCGAGTCTTCCCTCAGTCATTGGATGATGTCAGTTGTGTTCTTGCATGTGTCCCGTTTGAGTGTATTCGTATCCGGCAAAACATCCCAAATTAACGTGTCATTAAGTCCATAGGCAAAAGGGCAAACATTCATTGTTTCGAGTTTTATTTCTGAGATATCAAAAACAATGTCTAAGGTATACTTTGACACTTGTCTCAATAGGGGTTAAATAAACTTTTTGAGATAATCGGTCAATTTTGACACTACCCCCTCTTGTCCAACTTTTCCGCCAAACATTGAAATCCACAAATATGAACCAAAAATTAATACACAAATTTCCCTTCTGATAACCCCTCGTAAACACATTTCTAGAAGGAATGAAATGTTATCATTGCAAAAGATGACAACTGAACCTACAAAGCAGTTTACGTACTCGACATCATCAAAATTGCGTAGGGACTTCAATCATTTTTAAACTACTTTTTCGATTCAGCGGAAGTGACGTATGAGTGCATTTTGGCCTCCGTAAAAACACAGTCTTGCGAATAGAGAGCGCAAGATATGATGACGTACTACACATTTAAGTATAGGGGATCCTATAAATGAACCAATTACGTAAAACGAAAATTCTCTATCATCAATGAACATGACTTATACAGTTGTAAATAATACATGAGATGGTCTCATTGTGTTTACAATTAGGAAAGGTGGTATTACACAACTGAGACGCTTTAAGGATGCAGTACCGGGTCGGTTTTCACGTCTGTTTGCGCAGGTTTGACTTCCGGTTTGAGAAAGCTAGCTCCCAAGAACCTAATTTTCGCATTTAGTCTTATTCAAAAATTATAGTTTATTTCGATAATGGTGTTTCCAGAAAAGAATTAAATTGCAAACATTTTATCAAGCATATTTTATCCCTTTCACTTTTATGGGAAAACGTGTTCTTGAGTCGCAATTAGTGGATACGGAAACCAGGGTTCGAAAGGTGCAAGCTCTATTGAAAACTCAAAAAAGTAAAAAGATTCATTTTGGGTAGGTAAAATAATTTTTTATTTTGTAATTACCAGACGGTCAATCCTCTTCATATTGCACTTGGATGATGATAACATCATAGTGATGCATTGTAAAAAATATGAGCAAAATCTAATGTCTGGAACTTTTTCTACGCTGACCTGGTACTGCATCCTTAAGGATTCTCGATATTAAACTGTATAAATGAATATTACTTATTATTAGGTAATAACTGGTTAATTGTAATTGCAAAAATGAATGGGATTATGTGTTCCTTTTTTGTTATTGCCTCTTCGGGTTTAGCTATTATTTTGTTTTTTAGTATTTTTTTTCTTTTTAACTTTCGTTAAAAATAGACAAATTAGTCACCAAGTCACCATTAAATGTGTTTAAACACAGGTAAACGATATTATATAAGCCCCAGCTCCCAAATGTTTAAGAATAGGCATTCTAAAATGTTTTCAGTGTTTGTTTTTCAACAATTGATATTTTATGGTAGAATTTTTTTCCTCGTTATCAATAATTCTCGTCTCTCGTATTAGCATTATCAGTGGAAGTACATTCGTGCTACACTGTTTGTTCATTAAATATTCGCGGAAATGTTTCTAGTTTTGCAAAAGGTTAGGATAACCTGACCTTATCTGATCTCACGCAATTGCTGCACTCAGTCTTTTTGATAACATCGGGTTATAGCAAATTTCAACCTTTGATGTCGTGTTTCATTCATAGGGTCTATCTATATCATGTAAATGAGATATCAAACTCTGAACGACTTTGAGGATAGTTTATTGGCAATATGTATATGGTTGTTGTCCGTTTTTTTATGGTAGATTTACTAAAATGCCGATTCATTACAACTAGCCTAAATCATCGCCCAATGTCAATGATACAACGATTAGGAACCCTACCCAGTATCCGATATAATTACATAATACAACATTAGTTTTTTCTTCTCGATTTTTAGACTCCAGATGTAAATCTGTCAATATTCTATTTCTTCTTCTTGTTCTTCTTCTTCTTCTTTATGTTCTTCTTCTTCTTCTTCTTCTTCTTCTTCTTCTTTTTATTGGTCTTTTTATTATTATTTTTCTACACACGTTTTCTCAATAACTAGAAGACATTGAGCCAAGACCTGTATGTGACCAATTATTTATCTAGGTCAAAGGTCAAGAACTAGGTAAAATCCAGTACTTTGTCAATTTTTCAATTTCTCGGTCGTCCTTCAACAATTTCGATCCGGTTTTTTCATTGCGTTCCTTCCTGTAGCTTAACGTAATGTCGATTTAGTCTTTTGAAATCTCAAACTGATTTCGAGATATCAGTGTCCGAAAGCTCAAAAATCGCAAAATTTGGTGCCCCATGTTAATTCAATGGAAAAAAAAGATTTTTTTGAAGTGTAAAATACGAGGTATAGACTTAAGTACAGCTAAATATAATGGAAGCTCATAAAAGAAAGGGACCTCAAAACCTTCTCCTCTTAAAAATTTGGACACCAAAATGCCTAGGTCAAAATCTAGGTCAAATTCAAAGTTTTTCCTTATTTTTGCGATTCTGACACTACACTTTAATTATGTTCTTCGAAATTGTGTAAACATGTAGCCAAGAGTGTGCTAATAGAGTGTGCTAATAGTGTTAGCATTTTGCCGTCATAAAGTATTTTGTCTGGAATATTCCGGATGACTCGGCTTATCATTGGTGACTCGCCTGATTCTGGATGCCTTGACTTATTCTGAATGACTCGGCTTATTATGGATGACTCAGCTTAAAAAGTCTAAATCTGGAGTCTGAAATTGAACTTGTTCAATTTCCAAAGTCTAGTTTAATTATGCATCCAATTTATTTCACCTTAGTTAATGAATAAATTCTGAGAATTGTACTTAAGCTGAAAGAAAAAACGAAGTATTCTATTAGATACAAAGGTCGTTGACACAAGCTATTAATAATATGCATATAGGGACAAGGAAACATATCAGGTACGTTGTTTTGTGTAGCATGGGTTTTGCGACCCATTTTACTTACCATGATATCGTATTTTCGTGTTTGTGTACTTATTCAATCTGATTTTAAATTCAAATTATTTTAAAACTTAATATCATTTAGGATTGGTATCGATATGGTGAACTTTTTGAACACACGTTTCTCTTAGACCAGTCATCAAAAAATTCTGAAATTTTTACACATCGTCTATGTAATGGTCATCTTTTAAATAATATAATTTGAAAAATATATATACATAACAAACAATTCTTTTGTTCTTGGTATCATATGTTCAGAATAAAAATGAAACATCTATCCGAAACTCATTAGAACAAAATGACATAGGAACACTGTATCTTGTTAATTAAATGAAAGGGTTATCTTATTTTTTTTATCTATTTGTTTTTTTAAATTTTTAGTCCATTTTGTTTAATCAACCAAAATTTCATTTTTATATCTATTATATTGATAGGTCTAAGAAAATGTTGTATATGCTATTTTGTTCCAACAAGGTTCGGAAATCTTTTTTATTTCATTCTGAAGAATTGGTAGAAAGTAACAAAAAAACAATTGCACAACAAAAAAGTGGTTACAAAAACAGTTATATAAAATATATATAAATGATTTTCGCATTAAATTGTTGTCAATCAGTCATCATTACATAAAATAACATGTTTTTACAGAATGTTTACATTAATTGGTTTAAGAGAAAAACATTGTTGAAT